GTCGATGAGATGGATGATTGACATTACTGCCCAAACTGGATCCCGTCCGGAATGTCCACCACCAAAACAGTGCACGCGTCGAGCACCAGTGTTGTCGGAGAGAGAGAGATACTTGCCCCCATCCAGGGCTATGCCATCCATTCCTTGGAAGAAGAGTTCAGTCGGGAATGGGAATCGTCAGCCAGCGGGAGTGTTTGTTTGTTCCGCAGCTGAGGTGTCTCCGACGCGATATGGAGAGATGGAAATCGAGGAATCCGGGGGTTGTACCGGGGGGTTGTATAAAGAAGGACTCGATCCAATTCCGATTCTGGTTTCTATATTGATCTCTCGCTCTCTCTCTCTCTCTTTCGCTCCCCCCCCCCCTCGTTGGTAATTTCCTTTCGACTCGGCTTGGGTATCTAATTGGAGAGTTTCGGTTTTCTGCTGGCGCTTAATCTCCGCAACTTAGAGGTCCAACCTGTTCAGGAGTTTCGGTAAGTGCAGTGGGAAGAGCAGTGGTCCAAGCAGAGAGGATTGACAAAGGCAGTTGTTTCATCTCGTCGGCCATCCGTTTCACGCCGTCGACGGTGCCTGGCGATCCAGGCAGGTGATTGGCAGTGGCTGTAACAGACCCGGCCTGAAGAGGGAATTTCACAGCAAAAACCGTACCATACGATACGATACGAAACTATACAGTTCTGCACCGAGTGACATCGGAGTAATTTGTTTCATCCACCTTAATATTCGAATCCTTATATCTTTGTCGCTGCTCTTTCTACGTTGTCTTTCTTCTTTTTTGTTTCTTTGCTCCTTTCTTTCGCTCTCCTTTGTCGTTTGTCTTTGGTGGTGTGGTCCATTCTTTCTTGGTTTGCTTCATCCTTATTTCTTCCATTCTTCGCCCCTCGTCCTGTCTCGACTCTCTTTATATTCATCGTGACCTCTCAGGTCGGGTGACGAGATCAGCCGACGGGTTTTTGCTTCAGTACTGGTTGCTGGACATATTGGACTGCTCGCAGTACTTATACTTACATCTCTCGTTGATTTCATCGCTGCTGGTTCAGTGATCTTTCTGCCGTCTCGACGATGGCATCTTTTTCAATCAAAGCCATGCTGCTATTGGTGCAGTGCCTTGTGCTCTTGGGCCTCGTCAACGCCGTGCCGACGCCGCAGGACCTGCAGGTGGAGCACAAGTTGGATGTCGCTCCCGCCGCGTCGGACTACTGGGTGGGCAATATCAAGCGCCAGGGTGCTGTGGCGTTTGGCAACGGTACCGACTATCAGGTTTACCGAAATGTGAAGGACTTCGGGGCGAAAGGTAGGAAATTACTACCGTCGAATGGGGTTGGAGGGGAATCGGCTAACAAAAATAGGTGACGGTGTGACCGATGATACTGCGGCCATTAACAAGGCCATCTCCTCCGGAAACCGCTGTGGGAAAGGATGCGACTCGGCGACTGTCACGCCGGCGCTGGTGTACTTCCCCGCGGGAACCTACCGCGTCTCCAAGCCCGTCGTCCAGTACTACTATACCCAGATGGTGGGCGATGCGACCAACTTGCCCGTCATAAAGGCCACCAAGAACTTCGCCGGAATGGCGGTCATCGATGCCGACCCCTACGAGGATGACGGGTCCAACTGGTACACCAACCAGAACAACTTCTTCCGTGCCGTCCGCAACTTCGTCGTCGATCTGACCGACATGCCCCAGGGATCTGGGGCCGGTATCCACTGGCAGGTCGGCCAGGCTACCAGTCTGCAGAACATTCGCTTCGAGATGGTCAAGGGTGGCGGCGACGCCAACAAGCAGCAGGGTATCTTCATGGATAACGGATCGGGCGGTTTCATGTCCGATCTGACCTTCAACGGCGGTAACTACGGCATGTTCCTGGGGAACCAGCAGTTCACCACCCGCAACCTGGTCTTCAACGACTGCAACACTGCCATCTTCATGAACTGGAACTGGGCCTGGACCTTCAAGTCCCTGTCCATCAACAACTGCCATACCGGGCTGAATATGTCAAACTCGCCGCAGAACCAGACCGTGGGCTCCGTCCTGGTCCTGGACAGCAAGCTCACCAACACCCCCACCGGTGTGGTCACGGCCTTCACCAAGGACAGTATCCCCGTCGGCGGCGGCGTGCTGATCCTGGATAACGTGGATTTCGGCGGCTCCAAGGTCGCCGTCGCCGGCGCCGACGGCAAGGCCGTCCTCGAGGGAGGCCAGGTCGTGTCCCACTGGGTCCAGGGCAACAGCTACCTGCCATCGGGCGTGACCAAGCGCGAGCTGCAGGCCGAGGACACCGACCAAGACGTGGAGGTGGTGGTCGAGACCGTGACCGAGACCATCATGGCCTGCTCGGCCGAGCCCCATGCGCCCACCCTGACCAGGGCCCCGTCGTCGAACGCGGAGCCGTCGTCAACCTCCGAGAGCCGCCACGAAACCGCGGAGAACCATATGCCACCCGTTCCAGGCATGTCGGTCATCTACCCTACAGTCGGCACTCTCTCCGCGCCGGGCTTTGCCCCGCATCCGTCGGACGACACAGGCAAGGCAACGGCCGAGCCTCCCACCGACACCAAGGCGCCGAATGTTCCCGGGTTCTACCCCCCTGCGCCGAAGCCCACTGACGAGACCCCCGCGGAGCCTTCCTCTGTAGGACCTTCTCCTGTTGAGCCTTCTGCTCCCGTTGAGCATCCGACTGCCGTCAAGCCCACAGAGCAGCTTCCCCCTCCCCACACCGGCAAGCCAACGGCCCAATCTACGGCCCAGCCCCCCATGAATGGCTCTCCGTCGACCTCGGTGGTGAACGAGCCGGCTAAGCCGCCGCATGGATCCAAGACCTGCTCCAGCAAGACCGTCACCAAGACTCGACTCCAGACGATTCTCCCGGCGCAGACCAAGCCCAAGCCCTTGCTGGCGAACGGCAAGGTCTTCGAGCGCTCGAAGCCGTTGTACGACGAGTATGCCGCTTCCTCTTTCCTGAGCGTCAAATCTGGCGGCGCCAAGGGTGACGGCCGGTCGGACGACACGGCCGCCATCCAGAAGGTCCTCGACAGCGCGAAGCCCGACCAAGTCGTATACTTCGACCACGGTGCCTACGTCATCACCGACACGGTCCGCGTGCCCAAGAACATCAAGATCACCGGCGAGATCTGGCCGCTGCTCATGGCCCACGGCAAGAAGTTCGGCGACGAAAAGAACCCCATCCCCATGCTGCAGGTTGGCCAGGTCGGCGACGTCGGCTCAGTCGAGATCAGCGACCTCGCCCTGCAAACCAAAGGCCCCGCACCAGGTGCCATCCTCATGGAGTGGAACGTGGCAGAGGCGAAGCAGGGCTCCGCCGCCATGTGGGACACGCACTTCCGCGTGGGCGGATCCGCCGGCACAGAGCTGCAGAGCGACACGTGCTCCAAGACGCCGAAGCAGACGACCAAGCCGGACCCGGCCTGCGTCGGCGCGTTCATGCTCTTCCGCCTCACCGAGAAGGGCACGGCCTACATCGAGAACGCCTGGTACTGGACGGCGGACCACGAGCTGGACCTGCCGGACCACAACCAGATCAACATCTACAACGGGCGCGGCGTGCTCATCGAAAGCCAGGGCCCCGTCTGGCTGTACGGCACGGCCTCCGAGCACAACCAGCTCTACAACTACCAGATCGCCAACGCGAAGAATGTCTTCATGGGCCTGATCCAGTCCGAGACCCCCTATTACCAGGCCAACCCCGACGCGCTTACCCCCTTCACCCCGCAGGAGAAGTGGAACGACCCTGACTTCGCGAGCTGCACGACGGCCGGCTGCCGCAAGGCGTGGGGACTGCGCGTGATCAACTCGTCGGATGTGTACGTGTACGGCGCGGGCCTGTACAGCTTCTTCGAGAACTATGGACAGTCGTGCCTGGATAGCGAGACATGCCAGGAGAATATCGTGGAGGTGGACTGCTCAGATGTGCATATTTACGGGTTGAGCACGAAGGCGAGCGTCAACATGATTACCTCGTCCGATGGGAAGTCGCTGGTGCCGGAGAAGGACAACACGAGTAATTTCTGCTCGACGATTGCCTTGTTCAAGCAGTCGTGACCTCTGATGTAGTGGGTGGTTGCCATTGAGATAGTTCGCGTTTTTTCTTTTCTTGTTTTTTTTTATCCTCTTTTTTTTCTTGTGGATACCACGTTAATATAGATGGTTTCTTTCTTATCCTTATTCCTTTTCAACCATTTTGACCCTTTCATCCTTCCTCAATCCCCCAATACCATCCTTTTCTAAATTAAGTGGGGTAGTCATACCCACGCAAAATGACACCACCGCCCAACAGCACAGCGACAGCCCGTGCTCGCCATTCTGCACGTCCATTGCGAGACGGCACTTCCTTTCCCTTTCCGAATGGATCTACGCCACTAGTTGGGGGTATAGTTCTGTTCCCTACTGATTGACCAGCACGTCAGTGTAGCAATTCCCACCAGGCCGGTCGGTGTCTTAAGCGATGCCATTGGGTAGGGATAGAGCCTTTTGTGCTTGGTATTGCACTACTTACCCTGTTTTCCCTTCTTCATTCCTTGATTCGTTCCACGTATAGCTGGTAGACGAAAGTACGGTTCATCCGGTAGGTTGGTACTAGGTACTATGTAGTTCGTGATAATCATTTAGTTTAAGAGTTAGTTGGTATTCAGTAGTAGTGGTTAGTAGTATGTAGAGGTCAATCATGTTCGTGACACGATAGTAAGAGAGCCACAAGCGAGGTCGATCAGCGATGAGATGACTCGAGGGTGGAATTGCGTTGTTCTTGTTCTTTTTCTTTTTCTATCCCCTTGAGTTGAACACAATTTACAGGGGGGTGTTGAAGTATAAGTAGTCTTCTTTTTCTTCGTCTTGTGTTGTTCACCTTCTTTCTATCTACTATCTACTATCTACTATCTACAGTGTCACACATACATACCATCCTCTCAACCTCCATTACCAACCCTCAAACGCACACATCAACCAATCTATACTATACACCATATAATAAATAATAAACAAAATGCACCTCCCCCTCCCCCTCCTCCTCACAACCACCGCCCTCGCCCTCCTCGCCGCAGCGGCCCCCACAGAATCCAAACGCAACGACCCCGTCGACCCGCTCGACCTGAAAGGCACCGTCAAGGAGGGCCTCAACGCGGTCACTGGCCTGGTGGGCGTTGAGGTCGCCCATAAGCGGGAGGATGGTAGCCAGGATGCCGAGAAGCGCTTTTTGAATGGGTTGCCGCTGATTGGGGATTTGTTGCCTAATGAGGAGGGTGCTTGATTTCTCTTTCTCTCTCTTCTGGATACCCTTTTGGTTGGGTTTGGTTAAGGTTGGTTTGATTCTTTTTCGTTTTCGTTTTCTACTTCTGGTTTTTTGGGATGTTGCTTGGTTGGGTTCAATACCCTGGGTACCTCCTAACTACCAGGTTGTACTGCTGTTGCTGATTGTTAATTGTTTACTCTATAGAGCTACAGATACGGGGACCAGTGTATATACTATTACGGTATGTACGAATAATAACCTATATACCATCTATCTACAATCTATATACTACCCATGATATCCTCCTTTTACCCACTATACTATCTTATACAATGTACCACGTCATACCGGCGTGTCTTTTGAGATGCGATGACTCACGCGTTGTTGGCGCACGACCAGCTGCTACTCGATGAGTCTTCGTGGATAGCAACGCCGGATACGTATAGTCCCAGACCGCACTGTTATGTGTTAGTAGGGTACTAGCCCAGAAGGTAGATATCAAGAAGGGAGGAAGAAGAAGACGTACTATAGCACACGCAATCCCCAAAATCAACACATTGACAACCGTCAAACAAGCCTTGGCTGTCGTCTGGAAGTACCGGCCGCGATTCATATGCAGCCAGAAGATAGCCGGAAGGCCAACTATATCATCATTATTAGTAACCAGTTACCTTTATTTTTTTTTGTAAAAGCATAAGGAAGGGAAGAGGCTTACAGCTGAACCAGCTTCCGAACAGTGCACTCTGTCGCTTAATTAGCCACTACTTCAAACGTTTTAGTAGGAGGAAAGGTGCGAGGAACATACAATCAAACTGAGCAGATTGTTGAACACAGGAATCGACTCGGCGACGACCCACGATAGCACCCACACGAACAAGCAGATGGCCACCCACGACCCGATCGACAGGAAGCTGCGCTGGTGCATCATGTCCGAGCCGCGGAAGATCCGCACGTAGATGTATTTGCAGGCGACGTGGCCGAGGACGACGCCGGAGAGGGTGGCCTGGTTTATCAGTATATGCATTCATTCGCCGAATTGAGAGTCAATGAGATGAAAGGGAGAAGAAAAAAAACTCACAGTAGGAATGGCTATTCCCCACGCAATCTTCCCCATCAACGGGTTCAAGGACAAAATAGCCGGAGACTCGACGTCCGGCCCAGCAAAGCGGTAGATGATCAGCGCGGAGATGAGATACAGCACCGTGTCGACGATCTGGAGCATGGCCAGCGACTTGGGGAAGGTTCGCGGGTCTTCGGTTTCGGACATGAAGCCGAAGTAGGCGACGTGGGCGACTGTCTTGTTAGTTGAGTTCTTTCTCACTCGCTGACGCTTGGGAGAACGTACGGTATGCGAAGATGATGTTGGTGACTGCGAGGAAACCATCCCGGAAGCTCACTTCTGTGGTGGATTCAAGGCGGATGGGCCCCTTGCTTTCTACGCCCATGGCGACCATGGTTATGATTGTTGCCACGAAAATGCTGGCGAATGCTGCTGGCGATTAGTGAAGGATACGGTGGATGGGGAAGGACGACTTACAGGCGCAAGACATCCAGTAAACCTTGTCCATAGTGCGCGGCAAAGCACCTAGGAAGCAAATCACGAGCCCGACGACACCAAATACCAACGTGCAGGTCCCATGGTCAGTAAGCACGTTCATCAAGATGCTGAACATCAAGATGTTGCTCGCCATGAGGAAGATCAGCAGTAGCAGCTGGCCGAGACCCAGCAGCTCGCGGCCGAACCGGCCCATCAGGAGTTCGCCGGCGTCGCCCATGCTGTGGATTTCTGGGTGGCGCAGCTTGAACTGTCCGATGACGTACCCTGTGTACCATGACAGGGCGGATATAAACACGATCATGACGGCCGCTCTGTGAGTGGTTAGTGATTGATCGGGATGCTGCGTCTGGGGATACATACGGTCCCATTCCAAGGGTTGCTACGGCGGACGGGAGCGAGAGGATGCCGATGGAGACATTCTCCGCAATCATGACTACATCCAATGAATCGTGCCTTGAGTAGAATAAACGATAAGAGACTCACGCATGCCACAGTGCCTGATTTATCATTGATAAGCGTATGCGCAAAAAAAAGAAAGGTGGGTGGAATCCGGGGAAGCATCCACGAAGAATGATACTCACCACCACTTCATAGTCCGGTACTTCACCTCCGCCGTGTCTTCATTACCAAACGGCTCCAGAGCCTTTGCTGGAAAGTCATCGTCCCCATTTAGGTCCCGCTGGGCAAGGCCCACGGCCTTTTCGTCGGGGTAGGGTTTCTCGTCTGGGGTTTGCATTGTGGGGGTTGAGGTTTTCCTCCACTCTGTGATTTTTTCTTCTTCCCAGACCTCTTACTAGAGTTCAGTCTCCCCGGCAAGCCTCTTGAACACTCAAGAACCCCAATTGCTCGATAACTGAAATTATTGATATAGATAGACAGCCAAGAACAATCCTGCAGATAATCCCGGCATGTGGCTGCAAAATCTCTGACTCCGCAAATCGGAGGGAGTCCCGATCGGGCCGATCGCCGTTTGCGGTTTAGCCTTGCCTGTCACTCGTCCAGACTCTAATTCTGCCCTGGCGGTTCCTGATTGAGGGGAGTAAAGATTTGATTAAGTCTATCTGTACGTCGTATACTGATCGTCAATCCACACGCAGAGTTGATCTAGAGTTCCTTCTTGAGAAAATGCTCCGGCTTGTGCGTCGTCTCGTAGTCCACATGCACGTACGCCCGCTCCACGTCCGGAAGCGATTCGAGCTTGATCTGCAGCTCCTCCGCAACGTCGTGCGTCCCACGCAGGCTGTCGTTGGCGTCCATGACGATGTCTACCTCTACGAGAAGCCGCGGGCCGGACGTGTACGCCCGGACGGTGTCGATGGCGGTGATGAGGGGGGAGTGGGTCATCGCTGGGACTGTTAGTTTCTCACGAAGCGAGGAGGATAAAGGGAGGGAGACATACAGATATAGGTGATCAGCTGCTGCATCTTCGTATCGGCCGTCACGCCAATCAGCAACTGGAATTCATGGTACGCCGTATGCAGCCACAGCACGCTGATCAGCACCGACAGGATGATCGCGCCCATCGGATCGATCCACCAACGCAGCTTGCTCCCGCCCACGGACGTCAAGATACCGAACCCGTTGATGAGCAGGTCATTGCGGTGGTCCTCCCACAGGATCCGGATCTGCGACACCTGGTGGCGCAGCGCGAAGCAGTAAGCGAACAGCACGAACTTGGTGCAGAAGGCCACCGCGACGGCGATCACGGACGGAAGGTGAAAGTCGCCCGTCTCGTTATCGGAGCCGACGGACAGCTGGCGGGCCGAAAAGGCAACTAGGATGAACGAGACGGCCGTCATCAGGAAGCAGAAGCAGATGTTGCCCGCCGTCTCGATGCGGGCCTTGCCGGCGGGGAACTTGCGCGGGTCCACGCGGTTGACGGCCTTGTTGCACAGCAGCAGCGTCAGGTTGGACAGGGGGTCGAAGACGGCGTCCGCCATCGTCGTGAACAGCGACAGTGACCCCGACGCGATGGCCCCGTAGAGCTGCAGCACCGACAGCACGATGTTGGCCGCGAAGGAGCCGTAAACGGCGATCTTGTACTTCAGCTGGTTGTTGGCGTTGACCTCGCGGGCGGCCCGGACATGCTCCTCCACCGGCTTCAGCATCAGCTTGATGTTCTCGTTCTGCGCCTCGTAGAATCCCTGCAGTTGTTTGGAGGTGATGGCGTCGGTGAGCACGGTCTTCGGGTTCCGGGTGGTGCATCGACGGTCGCGCTTGCGGGACGTGTTGGCCGCGGCGTGGTGGCTCTGCGGGTGCATCTGGCGGATCTCTTCGGGGCTCTTGAGCTTCGAGGCGAGCTGGAAGGGGTCATTCTCGCGAGTGTATCGCGGAGGGGGCTGGCTTTCTTCGTCGGTGGTGCTGCTGGACCGGTGCTGCGTCGTCTGCGGCTCGAGGGCCGTCGAGGCGGCTTCATCATAGGAGAGCATTGCCAGCTGCGTCGGCCGGTTGAAGGGAGAAGGATGGTGCGAGGCACTGTGACGGAAGTGACTGTCTTCCATGATGAAAATTGGGGAGAGGAGACCTCTCGATGAAGAAGTTGATGCAAGGGGGTTTCTCAATGGAAGAAAGGATAGGTCAGATGAAGAGAGGGAAAAAGAGGGAGCGGAAGATAAGATCACAATGCAGAACGCCAAGCCCGATGGAGGCGGTGACGATGCTTGGCACAATGACTAACCCCTTATCAGATCATTCTACGCTACACCAGATCTACACCGGATTCCACTCTAGGCAGCAGGAAAAGCACCTTCTATTCCACTAGAAGCTATATCGAATCAAACACTCGATTTCGAACTTTTTACCGGAGATTTACCGGAAATACCCAAGCAGCGACTTGAGCACACCGCCGACCCACTCCAACTTCTCCTCGGCAGTTGCATCCGTGGGCAGGCCGGGGTTAATCTGCGGGAGTCCAGTGGGCGCGGGCTTGCCGATGGTAGAGAGCGTGGTTGGGATGGGAGGCGGCGGCGGCGCGGATTGGGTCGGGGCAGCAGTCGTCGTGGGGGCGCTGCTGGTGGTCGGGCTGGGGTCCGAGGGGCCGGTGCCAGAACCCGATCCGTCGACCGTGAAGTCAACACACGACTCGTAGGTCTGATCGATCGACTCCGCGAACCAGTACCACTGCAGCACGCAGGCGCCCGCCTCGGAGCACTGACTCAGGTTATCGGGGAGGGTGACGCTGAACTCCTTGTCGCTGTCGGCCACGCCGGTCTCCGTGGACGCGTACTTCTCCCACGACTTGAGGGCCTCGCCGATGACGGAGTTGGAGGCTGTGTCGACGACGGAGACGTTGGCCACTCCGGTGTGGGGCGCGCGGACGTCGACCTTGAAGTCAATTTTCTGCCCGGCGCTGTACGAGTAGACGTTGTCCTTGTTGTCCTCGAACTTGTAGCCCTTGCAGAGGAAGATGTTGCAGTCCTCGGCGTTGAAGTCGTCCTGTCCGCTGGTGACCTGGAGCTCGCCCTGCACGTTGCCATAGTTGTCGGATTTTTGGTTGGTCACGACCTGCTGGCCGCAGGCGGCTTGCATGGCAGTGCCAGGCATCCGGGGCTTGGGGCTCGTGACGAAGCCGTGGCCGTGGGCCAGGCCGATAAGGGCGAGAAGGGAGATGGTGTGCTTCATTTTGGATGGTGGAGGAGAAAGATGCGAGAGGGAAAATATGGTAGAGAAAGGACGAGGTATACCAGTATACCACGAGATGAATGAATGAAACTTGAATATAGGAATCGGTCACAGACCGGATGTGAATTGAATGTGCAAAAAAGAGAGAAAAGTTGATCAAGCCTGCTGCTGAGAAAACGACACATCGAGGTCTGCATCTCCCTCTATATACTGTCAAACGACCCATCATACTGCCTAGGGTGTTTTATTTAACCGGGGCTTGTTCCCCTCGGGACGATGATCGGAGAGGCTCGGCCGTTCTATCATGTTTCAATAGAGCGACGCCGTAGGCACTCCATCGGCATGACACCTTCGGCCCAGAAGATGTAGCTACTGCCATGTGTAGAGGAAGCGCCGGGGAGTTTCACGATGCTTAGGGTGAAACAGGTTGTGAGCTTAGGCTCTGGTGGGATGCTTGGCACCGTCGTCGTTTCAGCTTCATTAAGTGTCGGACAGACTGAAACCACGCTTGCCAATGCGGTGGGTCATATTTGGCCCTAATTGCAGTTCCTATCTGTGGTCCGTCTCCGAATAGGAATGGTAATCTTGCTGTCAAGTCCAAGCTCCCTCCGCAGGCGTCCAATCAACCCCTTATCACATCGGATAATTAGACAATTCGGTTGTCGGTGATGTGAAATGCCGGAAGACTAGAGAGGAGCTAGATTGCCGGGGTCGGATATGAGTGTATCAAGGAGGAATAAAGTTAAATGAGAGCCAGGGTATTGCTCAAGTAGTTAACGCTAATCTGCAGGAGGTATCACTTGAACCAAGAGACAAAACGCAAAGATAGTTACAGAAATCGTAAAAGAACATCGATCATCACACGGAGACATATGGCGAGTAAGAAAGAATATAGCAAAAAAGGGGGGCAAAGAAAGAAAAAAAGAAAACTGTTGCTGCTGATATGTACATCATCCTGCAGCTCATGTAGTGCGTTGCGTCGGTGGATGCGCGCTGTTCCACAACCCAGGCGCAGGTGCTGTCCCGTCCGCTGGTAGGTTCCCTGCAGTGCCTGGCGGACCTGCATTAGTAGCGTAGCTATCGGCGAATGGGTTTTGCACTTGGAAATCCTCCGACCGATATTCGTACCGATTCGGACCAGCGCCCGTGGCACCTGTGCCCACCGGCGCTGGGACCACACCGTACGCAGTCTGACCATGCGGCGACACAGGCGAATCCAATTCGTGGGCAGTTGGCCCCGGCGACGCCGGTCTATACGAAGCCGGCGGGCTGTGCGAAGGTGGTTCGTACGTCGCTGGTCCCTGCGAAGCCGGCACCGGCTGAAGGGCAGGGATGCTGTGCACTTCGCGCGGCGGAGCAGGTGGTGCGGGGACCGGTCGAGAGGCGCCCGAGGCACCACTGGCATCATTGGATGATGCTGGAGACTGGCTCCCGGACTGTCCTAGCGCCTTGCGTGCCTGCAACATAGCTCGCTGGTATTTCGAGAGGGCCACCGACAACTCATCATTCGTCTCGATCAGGGTCGCCAGGGTGTCCTCGTCAGGAGGCGGGTTGGACCCGTGAATGTAATCCTGCACGGCGCGCGACGCATTGCGGCAACGATCGGAGAACTCCTTGATGAGTTCGTTGTCCAGGAACTCCGCCGGGGGCGTCGACTGCACGAACTGGGTGAGAAGGCTGGCTGACGTCTTCGCCTCGGCGACCCGGGAGGCAAGTTCCTCGGGCGGCGGGAGTCCCGGTGAACTGCGGTGGATGACAGGGACGTTCGGGTCTCTCGGCGGGATGGGAGGTGGTGCACTGGAAGCGTTCTATACATTTGAAGCATGGTGAGCGAGTGGTCCACCCGAGCATGCACGGTCAACGGGTGGTGGGAGTGTCCTTACATTGCGCCACTTGGGACTGGCCTTTTCCTTTCTCCACATACCCAACAGCAACCCCAGATCCTCATCCCACGGTCGCTGCGTCTCCAACGTGTCCAGTGTCTCCGACAGAAATTGCTTCACATACAAGTCCTTGCCCTGTCGCAACAAGTCCCGCACGGTGGTAACGAACTTGGAGTCGAGGTTTCGCGAAAAGGTATGGCCCGGGTTCTCGATGAGGATGCGCATCAGCATGATGGCATTGTACTGGACATTGGGGGATGACGACGCAGGATCGGCCAGCAGTTTGCGGATGCGATGCGCCGCCTCCTTGGCGGCATTGGGGCTCGACTCGGCGCTCTCGACGACTCCCGGGAGGTGAACGAATTCCGTGCCATGCTGGAGAGAATGACAATCAGCACTGCCTTGAGGATGTAGACGTGGAGATGCAGTCGCAGATTATGGGGTAACGCTCAGGAATGTGACCTACCGCAATGTTGGGTCCGTTTCCAGACTGGCAGAATGCCATCTAATATCGCAGTACCGACATCATCAGTCAATATTTCTCCCTCGAACATGCAGAAACAAGCACGAAAAGAACCAACCAATTCTCTCAAGACGACTGCTTCCGGGGCATCCTCTGGATATGCGGGCGCGCTCTCCCGCACGAAACCTGCATTGAACGTTAGCAACCCCACGCGACGATCATTCGGCACCAAGCGACCTACTAGGACGTCGCATGGAAGTGAAGATGCGCTTCATGATGAACGAGATGGATGGAATCAATGGACTACGATAAGAAGCCGAACCAAAGGAGAACCGCAGAAGTCGAGAGGTAAAGGGCAGATAAAAATGAAAAAAAAAAAAAGCACGGATGCAGGTGAGATTGATGTAGCTCAAATAGGTTGGTTGGGTTCTTATTTTAGGCGCCTGCGGGATCCAGCCAGACCAGAAGGAAAAGGCGGCGATCGTTGGACGGCCAGAGACACTAAGTATGGTAGCCTGGAGTCGCGGCCCCGATCGACAGTGGCGATGCGATGCTTTAGCGACACGCAAGCTTGGGGGCTTCAATTTGGGATGTCCCCACGAGCCCCGAACATTTGGGAAAGGATGTTGGATGTTGCCTAGTGGAGTCATGGTCGAGGATAACGCTGATAGGAGTTATTCCGTCGATCTTGGCATGTCTTGATTACCTGGCATCTAGTACCTATATATAGGCAGCAGGTGTCATGACCCATGATCTGACCACTGTAATCTTCATCATGGGGTTGTCAGATTCAAGAGATCAGACTTCAGTGTCTTGAGTGGCAAATCAGTAGCCATCTTGAACTGGTCGACATGTACACACATTGTACATTCTGGCCAGTTGTCCGAAACAGTTGGGGGATAGACTGAGTAGAGTTCTTGGACCACAATCCTGATCCTGGGGAATCTTAATCTCGTCACAATTTACGGAGTACACTCCTTCCAGCTCTATACATCTACGGTCACAAAGCCAAATAGACAACTACAAGTAACAGAATAACGTTCAAAATATCAGGTCGTATTCTATTCATGACATAACATGAAAGCACAAAACACTCTCCTCTCCCCGAATCGAGGTCCGGAAAGGCTGGTGGAGATGTCGGTGGGAAATAAGATTGTAGGTGAACTGGACGTGATCCAGCCATCCATCCCTTAGGAGTAGGCTAGGAGCATGTATTCCACGGGGACGCACCGACCACCATGGAGTAGTTGGCGGATCCGGACGGGAATTTCCAAGAAAAAAAAATAAAGATTCACTTGGAAAGAGGATGAACAGTTATTTTTTTTGTATTCCTTCCGTGACAAGGTATTGGTTCCGTACAACAGAAAACTCCGGCTGGTTCCTATTCATTTTCCGACTACCGTTCCCTTCTTTCCGTCCCTCGACACCACCTACATCCGCTTATTCCTGGGTAAGGGCCTGGCGGACGTTGGCGCCACGCTGCCGGGAGCTGAGGTGGCTCTTGGCGACGACGGGGCCCTTCTTGACGACCTCCTCGGCCTCGGTGAGGATGAGCTCGATGTGGCAAGGGTTGGTCATGTAGGGGTTGATCTACACAATTAGTTTCTCTCTTCGATTTTCGTGCCTCCCGGTCATCAGGGGAATGGATTGGCACATACACGACCGTGGGCACGGTAAGTGCGTCTGCGGCCCTTGGGGGCCTGGTTGACCTGGATGCGCTTGACGACCAGGTTGCCGGTGTCGAGACCCTTGGTGTCGGCGTTGGCCTCGGCGTTCTTCAGGAGGTCGACGAGGAACTTGGCGGACTTCTCGGGCCAGCGGGCCTTGCTAACACCGAACTGCTTGCCTGGGAATGGTCAGCCTGGTGTTTTCCAAGCCCCTGGATTTCATCCTTCTGGGATCTGCAACCCCATCTCCGACCTCTCTATCCGCACAGATGTTCTAGTCCACCCGGGAGAGATCCTCCACTTCATTTCAAAATCACTCACCCTGGGCGCAGCGACCGGTGCTGCCAGCATACCGGCGCATGGGGACAGCCTCGAGCTTGTTGGAGACGTTGTCGAGGAAGGCAAGGGCACGCTGCAGCTTCATGCCGTTGATGGCCTGGGCGGTCTCGCGGGTGTTCTTGAAGCTGACACGCAGGTAAGAGCCCCGGGCGCGGGCGCTCTTAGCGGGCGAAATCTCCTGAGCAGCGTAGCGGACCTGAAGAGAAAGCACCCATATCAGCATGAAATTCTTCCAAGTCTCTCGTCTTTTCCCATTCTTTCGTCGTTTCCTCCTCTTTCATCGTTCGAAATCTCCTCCTCCAAATCCCAGTATCGAATTTGACGCAGTGATGGGGAGGTCGTAGATCGAGACCGTCCGGTCGACACAAAACACCCAAGGTCATCTCCTCGCCGTGTCCCAATCTCGCGAAAATTCCAGGTCCTCGCATTCCAACCTCCTCGCATCGAATAGGAAAGGTAATATCTCGAGAAACACTCACCATCTTGAAGTGGTTGCCGAACGGGGTGGTCCTCGATTGTCGGGTTAGAAGTTTGTCGCTTTACGAAGTTCGTCGGCCGCGGGTCGGAATCGTGAGTGCAGTTCGTTGTGGTGCGCCTTTTTTCGCTCTTGGCGCCCGCAGCCCTAAGCGAGCCCTACCGCTAGCCCCGTTTGGTATTCACCGCCCGGCAGTATCTTTTGTTACTCTGTATTGACTATCTTCTATTCATCCAGAAATTGAACACCTGAATTCATATCATTGCGCGATCTACCTAATAGGGTCTACTTCTTCTGCTCCGGAACTGGCGTGACCATCTCCCCTTTCTCGACCGCCGACCGCAGATTCTCGAGCACCAGCAACTCCATATCCTTCTGCGTCTCGTACGTCATGGTACCAATGTGTGGCAGAAGCATTACACGGGGGTTGTCGACCAGTCCCTGCTCCACGACCGGCTCGTTCTCGTACACGTCCAGACCGGCAGACATGACCTGATCTGTCAGCTTGTTTTTCGGGGAAAAGAGCGAGAGGAAACACACCTTGCCCGAGTCCAACGCTGCCACGAGCGCCTTCTCATTGATTAACGCCCCCCGAGCCGTATTGACGATCACGATGCCATCCTTCATCTTCTGGAACTCGTTGGCACCGATAATATGTCGGGTGGATGGGTTGAGGGCAAGATTAAGACTCAGCACGTCGGAGCTGGCCAGGAGCTCGTCGAAAGACACGTAGGTGGCGTCTCCTTCGAGTTCGGGGGAGAGACGGGAACGGTTATGGTAATGGATCTTCATGCCGAAGGCTTTGGCTCGGTGCGCCATTTCCTGGGGATGATCAGTTTTCTGTTCTGCTCCTGGGTACATCCCTCCGGCTTGATACTTACTCGTCCGATGCCGCCCATTCCCAGGATACCCAGCACCTTGCCCTGGGGATCGTGACCTAGCGTGGTCTGTCCGTGCCATTTCCCTGCGCATGGATGTCAGTAGCTTAATTTGGGTTTGACTTTGAGAACGGCGGGTTTACCAGCGCGCAAGGCGGCCAAGGGCACGTAGGCCTGGCGCAAGGCGCCAATCATCAGGAAGATGCCCACGTCTGCGGTGGCGTTGTTTACGGCAACAGGGGTACTGGAGACGAGGATTCCTATCGTAGCTTGTTAGCTCGTCTGTGGTATGGGTGGTCTCATACCGTTCTGCCTGGTAAATGACGTTACCTTTCTGAGTACACCCCGCAACGTCAATGTTGTCGTACCCCGCCCCGTTGTGGCAGATGTACTTGAGCGATGCGGGCAGGGCAGACAGTAGTTCCGCGTCGAACGGGCCGGTCAACTGGCCTCGTCAATCTTCTGCAAATCGTTGTTCTGTAATTTCCGACATACCTTGGTGGAGACATTAGACCGGTAGATCGCCTTGACGTCGTCATATTGGCCTTGTTTGCAGTTGCGGAGAAAGTCTTCGCGAGTGCCCTCGGGAAATTCCTAATCGGTCAGGATGATATTCGATCGAGCCGGATGGTTGGCATGGTACCTTGAGGGTGAGAATGGACGAAAGGGCTTCCCACTCCTTTCTGGCGTGGGTAATGGCTCCGATGAGGAGTGCGGAGGGCATGACGTTGAATGTTGGATGTTTACAGTACTCAAGATGTAAGTGGAGAAGATCAGAGAGAAAGGGTACTTTATAAAGAGAGAATTTACACAATCAGTGGAACTGGTTAAATGCCAGGAATTATGATTCCATGGATGCACTGGAAGAAGAAGGATGAATTGAGGGGTCAATCATCGTGATATCAATTCATACTGGTTCAATTAGCTGTGAGATGGTTATGGTATTACCAATCAATACTCATATATTATTTGTTATTCCCTGCTTAATCCTATATCAAGTGTATCAGAATACAATGTCATACACCTACATCACTCTTTCTCTACATTATACTCCATACAATGATCTCATCTTCACTTCAATCCTATATCTGTCTCTCTTTCACTCCCATTCTTTATTCACTTCTTTCGTCTCTACCACTGCCTCATCTATCATGACATACACCTGGAGTGACAGTCCATTACCCCCTTCACTTCTCCACTGTCGGCTATTGACCAGTTCAATTCCCGACGACCCCACGCTATGATTACTCCAACCAATGTACGGCAATCTTCTTCCCCTCTATATATTCATTCTACACATCTGACAAGCTCCGGATACACCAAGTATCCTACATAATCGACTGAGTATCCCACATAGTCCAATCCAGCTCCATACAAGTCCACCATGGTCTCCAATCCCACCTGTGAGGCACTCGTGCTGCACGGCGCCAAAGATCTCCGCCTGGTATGCCCTCCCCACTATACCCCCAGATCAACCCCCGCAGAACACCATATCTAACAAGATCTAGGAATCGCGCGCCGTCTCCCCCCCAGCCGCCGATGAAGTTCAAGTCGCCATCCGCGCCACCGGCCTCTGCGGCTCCGACCTCCACTACTACAACCACGGCCGCAACGGCGACTTCGTTGTGCGCCAGCCCTACTGCCTCGGCCACGAGTCCTCCGGCGAAGTAACCGCCATCGGCACCAACGTGAGCACCCTCCAAGTCGGCGACCGCGTCGCTCTCGAAGTCGGCCTCCCCTGCACCAAGTGTCCGCTCTGCCTCCAAGGCCGCTACAACATCTGCCCGGACATGAGGTTCCGCAGCAGCGCCAAAACCTACCCCCACCTCGACGGCACCCTCATGGAGCGCACCAACCACCCAGCCACCCTGTGCCACCGTCTTCCAGAGAACGTCTCCTTCGCCGGCGGCGCCCTGGCCGAGCCCCTTGCCGTCGTCTTACACGCCATCCGGCGCTCGCGCCCGCCCGCCCGCGCAGACGTCGACCTGGCCGCCGCCCACGGCGCCGGCACCGCTGCGCTCGTCTTCGGCGCTGGCGCCATCGGCCTTCTTCTTGCAGCCGCGCTCTCTCTCACAGAGAACTTCACTTCGATCGTCATAGCAGACATCGATCCCGCGCGGCTCGCCATCGCAGACTCCCTCTCCCTCCCCTCCCTCCACACCTTCCTGATCCCAAAACCCAGCACCCAACCATCAGAATCAGTCTCCAAAGACGACGCAGCCCTCCAGTCCGCGCAGTCCCTCGCCACCCAGCTAAAGAACACCATCCCCGACGTGGCAGCTGGCTTCGCAAGAGTCTACGACTGCACGGGTGTCCCCGCCTGCATCCAGACGGGCATCTACGCTGCCGCGCCCGGGTCCGTCCTCGTGCAGATCGGCATGGGACATCCAGTCCAGACTGTGCCGCTGGGGGCGGCGGCGCTGCGCGAGGTGGATCTCATTGGGGTGTTTAGGTATGATGGCGCTGCTTATCCGGCTGCGATTGCGCTGTTGGGCGGGGGGAGGTTTAGTCCCGTGGAGGAGAAGGTTGTTACGCATCGGGTGCTGTTGAGTGATGGGAAGGAGGCGTTTGAGTTGGCGGGGAAGGGGGTGGATGGGGAGGGGAGGACGGTTGTGAAGGTTGTTATTGAGAGTTGAATTTTTTTTCTTTTCTTTTCTTTTCTTTTCGGTTTGTTTGTGAGATGGGTGTAGGGAAGGGATATTAGATGGATAAGGAATACCCAGAATGGAATGTACATTGCTATTTAGTATCTAGTTGTGCTATGAAATACACACTAAATATCCCACACAGACCATATAAAGTAGGTAGAAGATCACTTCAACCCCCCAGCAAGCAACAAACTCTGCCCCGTCATATACCCCGTCTCGACAAGCATACTGACCACATTAGCCACCTCACCCGGCGTTCCTAGCCGCCCCAGCGGAATCCCCGCCGCCACCTCGGGGATCGCCTGCGCGTTGGGGATCATGCCCGTGTCGCCGATCATGGCCGGCGCGACGTCGTTGACGCTGATGTTGTGTTCTGCGAGGCGGGTTGAGAGGTTCTTCATCATGCCTGTTAGGCCCGCTTTGGATGCTGCGTAGTCTATTCCCCTCTTTGTTAATTTTGTATCGTAAGAAGAGGAAGGGGGGGAGGAGAGGGAGGAGGGAAAGGAGGGAAAGGAGGAGGAGGAGGAGGAGGAGGAGGAAGGGGCAGGAGAACATACGACACCCATTGATCCCCCCACCATACCCCGCAATAGAAGACATGAAGACAATTCTTCCCCATCGCTGATCCTTCATATGCTCGACGACGCCCTTGACCAGGATAAACGCCGCCCGCATGTTCACCTCCACCGTGTGGTCGAATTCCTCCAGCGAGATGTCCCACACTTGGGGAACGCGCTTGCCGTGGCCTGCGTTGGCGATGAGGATGTCGGGCCGCTGGCCGTGCTGGGCGTCGATCTCGGCGAAGAGGGTCTCGATCTGTGATGCGGAGGCCATGTCTACTTGGTGGGTTGTGATGCGCAGGGTGTTGTGCGTTTGGCGGAGGGTGGTTGCGAGTGCATCGATGGCGCTGGCGCTGGTGTGGTAGGTTAGGGCTAGGTGGATGTTTTTGGTGGCTAGTTGGTGTGCGCAGGCGGAGCCGATCCTAGACATATATGATTTGTGTTAGTTGGGGGTTTGTTGGGCTGTATCGGATGTGTTGTATGGGAGGTAGATGTTACCCGCCAGATGCACCCGTGATGAGGGCAAGTCGGCCGCTGACTTGGTTGTAGTCTGCCATTCTTCTTCCTTCTTTGTGTACTGCCAGTGAGTTTGAAGTGGTGACAGGAAGTGTTCCGTCAAAGTATATATGAGAGCATCGGGTTTGCCCCGAGGGTACGTTCGTACCCCGCATCGCAGTGTGGGGTAGATCTGGGCAATCAATCCCTCGGCAAGAAAACAACGAGTCCTCCGATCATATCCCACCCTCTATACCAGCTAGAGAATGTTCTTTATCTTGGTAGATGGACCTCGGTGTTAAAACAGCAAACTACCCGCCATGTCAACCCACGACGACTGCCACGTCTGCGAACGCTCCTGTCCCGTCGGGTACAGGTCCTGATTCTGAAAGCCGTCCAACGCCAGCATGCCCGACCCCGAGATCAGGTCCCCGGAGACGTAGTCGCCCACGGCTTCCAGGTTCAGCCAGGAGAAGTCGTTCGCAGGGCTGAAATGTACGCAGCTGTCGTCGGGCATGGGCTGTGTAAGTGTGCTGTTGCTGTTGGGCATGGGGAGCTCGCTGTTTTGGTGCTGCGGTAGTGTCGCTGGCACGGCCGGGTTAGGTTGCCAGAGAAGTTCCAGGAGTCGCGCGTATCGTGACCCGATGTCGTCTGGTCCTGCGCTCGCGCGTTTCAGGATCTCGGTCGTTCGGTGGACGATTTCGCGCACGTCCATTTCTTCAGCTGGTGGGAGAACCCCGAACGAGCGAGCCTAGATTTATTGGTGTTAGTGGCAGTGTACTGGAGGGGATAGAGCTTCAATGGAGGCGGACCTTGTAGAGAAATACGGCGGCGTAGATTCCGTATAGGTAGAACCGGAGCGGCATGAAATGCAGCTGCCGCTCAGGATGGACTTTGTCCACGACGATGGCCAGATACGCCTTGGCCGCGTCGACAGACTCGTAGATGAATCGCGCGTCCTGCAACAACGCGACATTACTGAAGGTCGAGCGCAAGTGCTCTTTTTGCGACTGGCTGTCGTTGTTCGTCTTGGAGGCCAGAGCCTGCGAGATAGCAGCCTGGAAGGCAAACGCGTTTGTGTAGAGTCGCAGATATTCGTACGACATCTGTAGTGTAAATTGCATCGGTTCGGAGCCTGGACACGTTAGCGGGCGTTTTGACCAGTTCGAGTCCAACAACTTACAAGGCAACGAACCCCAGAGGGATTTCCACCGGAGTATGGCCAGCCGGAAATCGTCGACATATTTCACATAGTCGCCCGTGAGCATCATCTGGTTGCTGGTTCGCATCCCCGAGTACAACACGTCGTGGACGTTACCGTACAACTGGGTGAGGTCGAGCGTCGCCTGGAGGATCCGCGCGTAGTCCTCATCGCCATCACCGACGGGCAGCAGGGAGGGAAAGTCCTGGCTGACAAGACCCGTCATAGGACCCGGCCCTCGCGACCAGAACGCCCGCCCGATGCGGACGGAAATCAACCGATCGGAAACGTAGCAGCTTGTCCACGCCAGTCGTCGACGGGCCTCCGTCTCCGTGTCGCCCGAGTCGCCCCGAAACGACGTTCGATCCAAACCCAGAAAGTACCCAGACCGTAGAGCCAGTCCAACGTGCATCCACGCAGCGCGGTCTTCTTCTCCGCGTCCGACGCGCTCAACCCCGGGTCTGAGTCCCTGGGGCTCCCATTCGGCCAGGAGTAAGAGCGCTTCGACGGCCTCGACGTCGCAGTTTGCCCCGGCGGCGATCCCGGAAATCAACTCGTGCATGTATCTAGAACAGTACTCGTGAATCTCCGGTCGCGCGGTCAGATCCTTCGACGCGATTGTGAGCACTGCGGTCAGCAAGTGTTTCTCGTTCGCGGCAAAGGCGCCCAAGGTACGGCGATCGAAGTATTTTCTGGGGACCAAAGGGAGATATGGATGAAAATGGTCGGCGTAACGGGACACCAACTGCCACACGGTCCCTGGCTCTAAAGCGCGTGATTGAACCAGTCTATAGTTTTTTATGTCGCTGGGGGAGTCAAAGTCGGCCACCGCGCCCTGGGGGGCACTGGAGGCTGGGACACCTCGAGGGTTTGCACGGGTAGGGTCTGGGCCCGAGTCAGAACCGGACCCGTCTGTATCCCGTCTCGCGAGGCCCGTCAGACACTGCCAGGCGTCTGATGGATTGCGCGGCACCGAACCGATCGACGTCGTGTCATCGTCGTCCACTGCCGCAGGGGGACCATCTTGCGGTACGAATGCCACGGGATCGGGATAGGAGCTCGATGTCGTCTGGGGATTGTCGGGACGAGACGGACTTGCGCCATCGACGGTCGATCCGTCATGCTCCATTGCTGGATTGCTCCTCGGGGTCAGGGTTTTCATCTTATTCTTGCGGATACGGCGACCTCCCCGATTCGAACTGCCCAGAACGCATTCGTGACCGTCCTGAATACACCGTTGGCATGGAGGCATGCCTGGTCGTCCACCGCCGGTTCTGACCAGTCCATTAGTAAGAATGAAGCAAGCTTTCGCGACGAGGGGAGATATACAGAACACATTTGGATTTTCGCTGTCGACAATGCAAGCACGCTCTCGACACGCGCTTCATCATACGCGCCCGACGAGGCCGGGATCTCGGCAGGGGTGTCGCATTCTCCACCGCAACGAGTTGACCGTCTGGGTACATTTTGCCGGAGTCGTATATCAAGTTTAAACGACTCACGCAAAGTCTGACTATCTTTAGTCAAGCTGGCACAAGAGGTATACTCATGTCCCACTGGAGAGATCCCGCGCGGTGCATGAGTGCGCCACGAAATGAATGATGCGCCCGTACAGTGTCTGCTAGTACAATCCCGGGTCTGTGAGGTTATCGGGAGCCGGAGAAAACGCGGGGAGGGAGTCGGCGAACCACAGGGTAAAGGATTGACCTGTATTACTCAAGCGCATGTCCGAATTGGAGAACCGCTTGAAAACAAACTACCAACCTGGGTAGTTATCATAAGAGCTAACTCTGGTACGACCAAGGATCGCTGTTGAATGGGGAGAAGTGACTCCACGATCAATAGCCGACAGATTGCGGGGCTTCGGTAACGGAAGATACCTATTCGGGAATTCATACAGTCACTGTACCCCGCCAGTGATTGAGTTGCGAGAGTATTTAATAACGGTAGTCAAGAAGTCACCACATTTCAATTGTTGTCGTTAGCTTCAACATTCGTCGAACCACGTCCTGTACAACTTTCTGCATCTAAATCATGGCTGCCACCGTCGCGTCGCTCTTCTCGCTGAGCGGGAGAACCGCCATCGTTACCGGAGGCACGAGGGGAATCGGACAGGCAATGGCATATGCGCTCGCAGAGGCTGGCGCCGATATTATCCTGGTTCAGGTATGTTTATATTTTGCTGTCTTAACACCTCCCAGCTGGGCGACGCACATGACACCGGAACTGACGGGCGCGCAGAGAGACGAGTCCAACACCACAACCCGCGACGAGATCATCAATCGCCTGGGTCGCAAAGCACACATCCACGTGGCGGAACTGTCGAGCCGAGAAGCCGTCAAACACATCATCCCCACCGTGACCAGCCTGGGGTTCACACCGGATATTCTCCTGAATTGCGCAGGCATCCAGCGGAGACATCCGAGCGAACGGTTCCCGGATGAGGATTGGGACGAGGTGGGTGGCATGACCCTCTTCCTCACAAGTTCCGAGACAGACGCTAATCATTCCCCCGTGTCGGATCCATAGGTCCTCCAAGTCAACTTGAGTTCCGTCTTCATCCTGTGTCGCGAGTTCGGCGCCTATCTGCTTGGACGCGATGCCTCCGAGTTCCCGTCCGGCCGTCGTGGCTCCATCATCAACATTGCCTCTCTCCTCTCCTTCCAGGGAGGGATCACCGTACCGGCCTACGCCGCCTCCAAGGGTGGAATCTCCCAGCTGACCAAGGCGCTCTCCAACGAGTGGGTGGGTCAAGGCATCAACGTCAACGCCATCGCTCCCGGCTACATCGCGACCGACATGAACACGGCCCTCATCAACGATCCCAACCGCAACGTGGGCATCATGGCTCGGATCCCAGCCGGACGGTGGGGTAACCCCGAGGACTTCAAGGGCGCGGTCGTGTTTCTGGCCAGCGCAGCGAGTAGCTATGTTTCAGGGGAGATCCTCTGTGTGGACGGAGGTTGGATGGGACGGTAGAGAACGGGTAAGCTGTAAGACATTGAACCCCGTCGCAGCTGTCATATCACGGCCTTCTAAGAACAGAAAATAATCATAGCAGTAATAATATTGTCATATTTCCGATGTACAAATCCGGCATTGTAGTGCGACCGTTTGAAACCGAGGGTTGAACTGTAATTTCCACCGAGCTGGAGATTTATCCGAGGACTAAAATTGGACTGCCGAGTAACTAACTATTATACAGGTACTGATAGTAAGTAAGCCGTAAGAGAACGGTTCGTTCCCCGTGACTCCAGGATGGCCTGGGGGTTTTTAGCCTCACAGGATGCTTTGATCTTCTCCTCTTTCATCCTTCCACTCGTCCTCCCTTCCCCCCTTAAATTCCTTCCATTGGTAAATTATTGAGAATAACCATGCGTATTATAATGACAGCCTTGAGGTTTCACAAGTGACTCCTATATCCACCTACTTCACCGGCTCACTAACTAGTCAGTCACCTTGTTACTAGGCAGAAGACGCTATCTCGTACTCAGTGGGTCGCTGCTAGGCTCCTAGTCCGTGTCCAATATGGAGTCGTCGGCTCCATCTGACCTCCCTAATGTGAAACATGCAAGTGCTGGTCGAGTCCGAAATCACACCAGGAATTCGCATCCTCTGCAGGCATGATGCAGGTGGCTCGTCGTGGCGACTCTTCTCGCCGCATTTCTCAGCTGAAAACCGGTTGAGAGAGGAGGGGTTTGGGCGCTTAAAATCCGGTCGATACGACAATGCACGGCAGTGCGGGCATCGGATCTGTAGGGGTCCTAGGAAAGGGCGCTACACCAACCGCATCGACCAGGTTTTCCCGTCCCCTGTAGGCGCCCATCACTGGCCAAGACGCTCAGGAAGACCGAGCGAGTGACAGGGCAGACATCGCCGGCTTGGCGCTGAGGAGGAACATCTCTGAAGGGCGCCAGATCAGGCTAAACGACACTAATTCCTGGACGGCCAATATTGAGTGGCGCGATTACTTGGGTGTGGAGAGGGATCCGCATCTGATCCTTCCAGATTGTTATAGCTTTTGCTTTTAAGGTTTCTGTCTGTCCTGTTGATCGGGTTCAATGGCCTGATGGCAGGAACCTTATGGCTTTTCTTGTCTTTTCTGCCCCCTTTCTCCCCTCGATTTCCGGCAGGGTTGGGTTCTGATCACTCACTTATCGTTTCATGTCATTCACGATTGTCGGTGGGTTTGGATCTGGATTCGCATGATCTTTGTCATTCATTCTTTATCCTTCGCATCGCCAAACAATCGAAACAATCTCTTTGCAGGCCTATCCCTTGTTTCTTTCATTCCCTTCCGCTATTGTTGGTCTCATTGAGAAATTGTTGGCCACCGGGTATCTGCCACTGGCATGCCTATAGATGTCAAGGTATCTGCCCATCTGGTCTCTCTCCTTTGATTCTCTACATTTTCTCTCTCTTGTTTTCATGAATCTCCTCGTGAGACGGCTATGCCATTAAGAGATTGGAGGTAAGCCACCATACTCATCCCTTGTATAACGCCGAGGTAATAACCCCACCCAAGTGCCGCGACAAGTCACATCCAAAACAACCTACCCTGTTCCCGGTTGGCCAGGCTGGGAATCTTTCTCAGATACCGTTCCTGCGCAACTTCTCGTCTGAGCATTGTTGAACCCATCTCAACTTCGAAAAGAGGACCACGAGTCGGCAGATAACTCGGCCCTCCACGCGGCGACTCACGGGCCTTTGGTTTCTGTATCTTCGTCCGACGTGTTCCTAGGACACCGCGTGCCTGTCCCCGCATTCCGGTTGTTTCCCTGCCATTCCGAATTCCTCTCTTGACCGATGACATATGGGACTTGTCTGGAATCCGATCGTTCATAATAACACCCTTTTAAGCCGTATCGTCGCCCCCCACACACGCTCGTTCTCTTATCTGTACTGGGCCTCTCTCGCAACGCTATCACCCGTCTCGTCAGGCCGTGAAAGCACCACGTTTCGATGGATGGCCTCGACCAACACATCGCCCCCAGAGGCTACGGATCGAATGCCACTTATGTTTATGAATACTCTCGGGGCCTGAACGGGGTCCACGTTCCACGCGATGTCCTTTACACGCGCATCATTCTGGGCTCTATCCTCTTGGTGGCCCTCGTCATCTTCTGCAGCCGGATCGCCCAAATCAGCCATGCCTATCTCCGTTTTATCACCTCCCTGTCCGCCAGCCGGCGGCAACAAACTTTCTGGAGCGTCGAAGCCTCCCCCACCTGGGCCCGCCTGAAGAAGCATGTGATGTACGCGCCGCTAGGGAGGAAGAGACACAACCGGGAGATCCAGCTATCGTCGGCGGTCAATGTCGGCACGTTGCCGTCCCGGTTGCAGGCGGTCCTGATCTTTCTCTACGCGGCCAGCCAGGTCGCCTACTGCGCCACATTGGACTACCGCGTCAACAAGAAGGAAGCCCTCTTCGCCGAACTCCGGGGCCGATCGGGAACGCTGGCCGTTCTGAACATGGTCCCTCTTTTCATCTTCGCCGGGCGCAACAACCCGTTCATCTCGCTGCTGCGGGTCAGCTTCGACACCTACAACCTCCTCCACCGATGGCTGGGCCGCATCGTAGTGCTCGAAAGCGTGGTGCATACCGCCGCGTGGGCCGTCAACGCCTGCAACGAGCAGGGCTTCAACGACATGCTCTCGCGCCTGCGGACGACTCCCTTCTTCACCTGGGGCCTGCTGGGCACGTGTTCGATGGTCTTCCTCTGCCTCCACTCCCCCTCGCCGATCCGGCACGCCTTCTACGAGACCTTTTTGCACCTGCACCAGCTCGCCGCCTTGCTGGCGTTCCTCGGCGTCTACGTCCACCTCGACCTCGACAACCTGTATCAGAAGAAGTGGGCGACCGCGATCGCCGTCATCTGGCTGCTGGAGCGATCCGTGCGGCTCGGCCGTCTCCTCTACCTCAACGTATCCATTCGACACGGCGCCACCAAACTCGTCGTCGAAGCCCTCCCCGGGGAAGCCTGCCGCGTGACCTTCCGCCTCCCGCGCCGAGTCCGCGTCAACCCCGGCAGCCACGTCTACGCCTATATCCCCAGCGTCGCCCTCTGGACGTCCCACCCGTTCTCGGTCGCCTGGGTCGATCCCATCAGCGCGATGAGCCCCTTTTCCTCTCACACTGAATCCCCAACCTCCCCTTCCCTCCTCGAGAAACAACCCCCCCGCGATCTGAACGCTTACCTCGAAGAACAACAACCTCGCAACCCGCACCAACCCACCTCCGTCTCCCTCATCATCACCGCCCGCCAAGGCATGACCCGCAGCCTCTACAACCGCGCGCTCGCCGCCCCCGCCAAGACCCTCCGCACCACCGGCTACATCGAGGGGCCGTACGCGGCCCGCCCCGTCAACTTCTCCAGCTACGGCACCACCATCCTCTTCTCCGCCGGCGCCGGCATCACCCACCACACGCTCTACGTGCGGGACCTGATTCTCCGGGCGGCCGACGGCTGCGTCGCCACACAGCAGATCCACCTCGTCTGGTCTGTCCGCAACACGGAGCACCTCACCTGGGTGCGTGAGTGGATGGATTCGGTGCTCCGCCTCCCGGGCCGCCGCGACATCCTCACCGTCCGCCTCTTCGTGTCCAAGCCCCGCAGCAGCCGCGAGATTGTCTCGCCCAGCTCCACTGTCCAGATGCTCCCCGGCCGCTGCCGGCCCGACGTCGTCCTGGATGAGATCCTCCCGGGACGGGTGGGCGCCACCCTGGTCTCCGTTTGCGGGCCTGGCGCGTTTTCCGACGAGGTGCGCGCTGCAGCCCGTGGGAAGATCGGGAGCGGACCGGTCGTGGATTTCGTCGAGGAGGCTTTCACCTGGTAGATAAGATTTCCCTTCCTTTTTTCTCATCTTTTCTTTTTTACATCGTTTTCATCTTTCTTCTCCTTCTTACTTTCCTTTTCACGACTTGGTCGGCTGGCTGGCTGGTGTTTTGGAGCGAGGCTGTCTTATCTTTTTGGTCTCTCTTGTGTTCTATGTGTTCTGTCGACATAATTTTGGGATGTACATTCTTTAGTATTACTGGCAATAATCAGGCGTGGATTTGTTTCCATGGACACTGTCTTGGATAGGCACAGTTATCACCACTAGATAGAAATCGAAATTCTTCGAGATAGACGGTGTTTACACAATAATTGTATGAGTACAAACGAACAGAGATGGGACGCTGGAATTTACCGGTGCAATTTGACGGTGTCTACGTAGTATATGTGGAAGCAGTCACTGCAATCGTTTGGCATGTCAGCTGGCATGCAGTCTTCCACACCTTTGACCGTTTGTATTTTGATCATTCTTTCAACAACCACCAGCAAACTCTTCCATAGTTTTGATTGTCATCAATTTCATCCTTTTCGGGCGTGTTTCCATCTCCTGTTTCCACAGTATGTACTATGCCAGTGAACTTGATAGAAACATGATAAGATTGGTGAAACGCATGGATCACAGAGAATTATTGAAGAGAGCGTCCAAGTCTGCCAGAAGAGGAAACAAAAAAAAAAACAAGTGAAGAAAACAATGGGAGGCTGCTTTGCAGTCGGCGACAGACCATGCTTTGACCTGTTGTATCCACTGCCATCTTCCACAGTATGCACAGTTGACAGTCCGGCTCAATATAGGGTTAAACTTGCAAGATTCTTAAAAAAGCCTCATCCAGCACGCTGGGCGATCGTTTATCACGCTGTGGGGTCTGATATCCCAGCCATTGCAACAAGAAGCCGAACGGCATTTTGGGAGGACTTGACCTGACTGATATCCCCAACATCAGGTAGCCCAATTCCATCGATTCGCCTTGATATAGTCCAGCATGTTCTCGACATGAGTGATACCAGTTGATTCATCCATATCGATCGTGCCTTGGTGCAGCGCTACTAGCTTTTGATCCTCTAGTGATTCCCCATTGAATTGATAGAACCTCACCTTCTTGCCAATAGCGAGCGCACCAAATAGTCTGTCAGATGCGTGCAAAGATGGTGAGACATCATCCTTCAGTTGGCTTCTGGCAGTGTCGCCCCAGTCGGCCGGAGTGTCCATGGACGGGCGTTTGCATTCGATTAAAAAGATTTGGCGCTCCACCCAGTCGTTTGAAGCACTGGGATCTTGATGTAATGCCTTGACTTGGATGACTGTGACAACTGAGATATTGTTGTTAGCGAGTAGGTTCTACCTTGGTCAGGAGGCTGACTTCCTTTTCCCGAATCTGACGGATCAACGAAACTGGTTTCTTTTTTTTATCCCGGAACTAAAAGACATATGACGAGCGGGAGGCTCGCAGCCAGATTCCCATCCCAGAACCAATCGCCCCTTTTGATCAGATCTGCAAACTCGACTTCGAGAGATTCCCCACTCCCGATAGCACCACCAACAGCAGAGACCCCCTCGATACAGCCGAAGCCCACTTCCACCACCGCGCAATCATCGGCCTCGTCTTCACCTACACCTTCGGCTCAAAAGCCAGCATCGGCGATCAGGACCTCGACCTCCACACCGTCACGCGCAAAGCAATCCATTTCGCCTCTCACGCTCGCATCGTCGGCCTATTCGCATGTATCGCCGGGGCCGGTCTCACAGAACTCGCATCCAAAGTCAAACTCGACCAGCCCGCGCAGCCTCGATACGATACGCTCGTGCTGGCGAATACTCCGCCCGGTGTTGACCCTGTCGCGTACGGCTTGGGGGACGTCTGGTCCGAGGACGATGGTGCGCTTGTGCAACAAATACGCCATCCGGGCTTTCCCCAGAATAGAATATTTGCGCGTCCGGCGGGGACGAGGCTGGTTGGGATGTATGTTGGGTGTCAGCTTTTCGGCACGTCGGGTTGGTGTATGAGCCTAAGGATGATTTGGAGGATGTTTAGGTAGTATTGTTACTGTTGAAGATTGGAAAGTGGTGTACAGGAGTTGGTTGTGACGCAAGTATTACTATTAGGACTGAGTGAGTAATATTATACCACAGCAAGTATTTATCTATTTATTATATTGTGTATGTCTAGAAATGCGTAGATGCTTCTAACTTTTATGAAACAAACGTAACGCATGGCACGTGGTGATATCAAGAAGAGGTGTTGCAACAGATAAAATGTGAAATAGAATGTGAATAAACAAGAGAAGAGAGGAGAAGAATATAAAAGAAATAAATATAAACATCTATAAAGGTGAATCAAAAGACAAATGCAAAGAAAAGAAAAGAAAAGAAAAGAAAGGAAAAGAAAAACAAATTAATAATTAAGGAAAAAAATAAAGAAAATTAAGCCTTCTTCGACTTGGGCACTCTCGCAAGCCAGTAAATAAACACGGCACCCGCAATATTAAAAGCGATAAAGACCCACATGAGGCCAAAGTTGCGCCAGGCATCACCGTAATAGCTGTTCACTTGGGCCAGGAACGTGTCCGTCTTGCTCACGGTGCAGAAGGAGCAGTCGGCCGTCGCGTTGGGATTACTGAGGTAGCCACCGGCGGAGAAGTCGCCCTTGCCGGCCGTGACGATGTACTTTTGCATGTAATCGATGCAGGTCTTGCCGGGGGGCGGGTTGAAGGAGAGGAACTCGACTTTTTCGCAGACGGCCTTTGCGCCGGAGACGCCGGTGGAGAGCATTCCCGAGACGAGGTAGGTGAAGGGGGAGACGCGGTACATGAAGATCCAGAAGCCGGGCATGGTTTGCGGGGTGGCGAGGACGCCGCAGAAGATGAGGCAGAGGGAGAAGAGGAGGTTGGCGAGATTGCCGCCGGTCTCGGCGAGCTCGATGCCGGCGATCATCATGTGGGCGAAGGTGGAGGTGAAGAGGAGGAAGGCCAGGATGAGGAGGAACATGAGGCCGCCGCGTTCGGCGACGGACTGCGGGGATTCGACCGCGTTGCGGTAGAGGCCGATCGGGTAGTACCAGCAGACGAAGATGAGGACGGCCATGAGGGCGTTCCAGGGTAGTTCGACGACGATGTTGGCTGTCATGAAGGCTTGCCAGGAGTAGGCCTTTGAGGGCCGCTCGCGGGCTTCGTAGAGGGAGCGCTGGGTGCAGAAGTTGGGCATGATTTGTTGGACGAGGTTGCCGAAGATGGTCATTAGCATGAAGATGCTGAACATTTGGTTCTGGAGGCCCTGCTGGGAGTTGTTGGCTTGGAAGAAGGAGAAGCCGATGTAGAGCGCGGAGAGGATGCAGAGGGCCGCCTTGGAGTAGATGTAGATGGGCGTGCGCCAGTATTGGGAGAAGACGCGGAGGAGACATTCGCGGAGCTGGGCGCTGAAGGGGGCCGCGAATTCGTTGTAGCTGCCTGCATCGGCCGTGGCTGCGTCGACGGGCTTTTGCTGCAGGGTGGTCTTGAGCTCGCCGAGGTGGTTGAGCACGCCCTGGCGTTCGGGGCTGTCGCGCCAGACGGCGGGCCAGTCGATGTCGCTGTGGGAACCGGGCGCGGCGCCGATCACTTCCAGCATCCATTCGGCGGGGTTGGCTTCGGCGGGGAGCTTCTGCGCGCCGTTCCTCTCGAAGTAGTTGGACAGGGTGGACGAGTTGGCTCCGATGTCGCCGAAGTAGACGGTCTTGCCGCCCTTGGCGAGGAAGAGGAGACGATCGAAGCGCTGGAAGAGCATGGCCGAGGGCTGATGGATGGTGCAGAGGATCGCTTGGCCGTGTTTAGTTAGGGTCTCGATGAGATCTAGAATCGACCAGGAAGTCTGACTGTCGAGACCGGAGGTGGGCTCGTCCAGGAAGAGAAGCAGTTGCGGCTTGGCGGCCAGTTCCACACCGATGGTCAGGCGCTTACGCTGTTCCACGTTGAGACCTGTAGACTATTAGTTTCACAACTAGGGAGGATGGTGTTGTTTTCTTGAAAGGGAGAGTAACGCACCTTCGCCGGGAACACCAACAACAGCATCGGCGTAGGAGTCCATTCCGAGAAGCTTGATGACCTCTTCGCAGTAGTCGAGCTTTTCCTGGCGGGGGACATGGGCGGGTTGACGAAGCAAGGCACTGAAGCGCAGCGCCTCGCGGACCGTGGTAGTGGGAAGGTGGAGATCCTGCTGCTGCACATAACCAGTCTTCCGCTGGAAGGATTGATCACGAGCGCGGCCGTCGACCAGCATATCACCCGACACGACTCCCATGGTGACACGGGTAGCCAGCACATCCAGAAGCGTAGTCTTACCGGCACCCGACACGCCCATGAGCGCGGTACAGGTGCCAGGCTTGATCCATCCGTCCACGTGGTCGAGAATGCGGCGTGTTTCGCTCTTGATTTTGACATCGTAGCACACGTCTTGCCAGTGGAAGATGGCCTCCTGTCTCTGGATGGCGGCCGTTTCCTGGGGTACCGACTCGGCGGTCTTCTCGGCGCCGCTCGACGACGAGCCGCTCTCCTCGTCGCGGGAAGAAACTGCGGTGTGGCCGCGGCGGAAGAGCAGCACCTCACCCTTCGACTTGGCCTCGGAGATGTATTCGGTAGTCATGAGATGGGTCGTCAGGAAGAAGGCCATGAACGCAAACATGATGCCGAGGTTCCTCCACTTGTGGCCGACGAAATACTCGAAGCTCTTGGCGAGGAACTCTGTACCCTGGACCGTCGGCTGCCCACTCACAGCACCGACAGTCGAGCAAATTGAGTATTCCAGTTCAGTGTACCCAGGACCAACGGGAACAAACATCTTCGGGTTGCATGGGAATTCCCGGGCGTGGAACTCATTGACCATCAAACTTTCGAAGCCGTACGCGATCGGGTTGATATAGTTCATCCACCGGGACCAGCCAAGCATATTCCGCGTGGGAATCGTGAAGCCGGTGTAGGTGACCAGGCCCAGGATCAGGACCGCCGCGGGCACCAGGGCCTGCGACAGAGTGCGAGAGCTGGAGGCGAGCGTGCGGAACAGCATGGACATGGTCAACGTGGTGACGAACGAGAAGAGCAGGAACGTGAAGAAGGCCCCTGGGGTTTGCCGAAGACCGGTCATGAAATAAAGCGTGACGTTGAAGGTGACCGCGTTGGTGAGCTTGTAGGGCATATCACAAAGCATTGACGCGATCGCTTCAGCGAACGGGTGATACATGGCGTACCGGGACTGCTTTTCGACAATTGGGCGTTGAGCGTACAGGGTGAGAATCTAGAATAACGGGTTAGCGTCGTGGGATGATGGGGCCGATGAGAGGTAAGACGCCTACCTCGAGGGCACTGGAAAAGGCGTTGAGCAAGACGGCAAAGAAAAGCAGGGCACCACGGGAGAAGAAACTAGCCGTGTCCTCCTCCAACTGGAAGAAGACACTGCCGATGATCAAGGCCATGATGAAGTTACCGATCAGCTGCGACAAGGTCAAGCTGGCATCACCCTTCAGGCGCTGGAAGCCTCGAACCATGCACAGGCGGACTTGCTCGTAAATCGACACGGTATACGGTGATTTCACGCGCCTAGAGGGGTTAGAGGTGGTCAGGCAAAACTTGATGTGCGAGTTCACTCACTGGTTCCGGGCCTGCATGGCTTTACGAGACTCGACGAACTTGCCAAGGGCTTCTCCGTGGAAGGGGAACTCCTTGTTGTATTCGTCGATCTCCTGTCGAAGCTGACGGTGGGCATCACTCTGCTTCCAGGCGGCCGCAAACTCATCGGCCGTCTGGGGGACGCGGCCCTCGAAGCCGGGTTTCACGATCCGCTCCGCCGGGCTAGTGAGGGAGGTCAGGAAATCGGCGGTGGTCTGGCGATCGGGGCAGTGGAATCCCATGTTGGTGAAGAACTCCTTGGCGTCTTCGGTGCGACCAAAGTAGATCTGTCTGCCTTCGTAGAGGACGGTCACCTTGTCGAAGACCTGTGTCGTGGGTTAGCTTGTGCACGTTGGCGAACAAGAGGAGAAGGAGGAAATGGGAAAACATACGTCGTAGGCACTCTGCGACGCCTGGTAGATGGCAACGGCAACGGTGGCACCCGCATACTTGGTCATCAGGTTCAAGGTCTTGCAGAACTCCAGGGCGTTGGCGCTGTCCAGTCCACGGGTACTGTTGTCCCAGCACTGGAGAGGACTGCCGCTGAGGGTCACCTCGGCGATACTGACACGCTTGCGTTCACCACCACTGACCCCGCGGACGAAATCGTTGCCGACCTTGGTATTCATGGTGTGCGACAGGCCCAGCATGGCCATGACGACGTCCCGCATGTGCTCCGCATACTGATCCTTGGACACGCCGGGCAGACGGTTCCGCGGGGCGCGGGCCATGGCGGCAAACTTCAGGGTGTCGCCCACCGACAGCTGGGGGAAGTGCACGTCGGTCTCGGCCGTGTAGATGGCCTCGCCTCGGAACTGCTTGCGCATCTGCTTGGCGGAGATACCCTGGTAGTTGAGTTGGGACTCGGAGTCCATGTGGAGACCGTTCATCTCGCCGGCCAGGGTCTTGAGGAAAGTCGAACAACCACTGCCGGGACGACCCAGGACGACCAGCATCTCGCCGCTCTTGACGAGGCCGTCAAACTCCTTGAGGATCTGGATCTTCTGCTTGCCAGAGCCCACGAGGGTCCGAGCCAGCGCGCCGACCTGCAGGACGGAGTTGAAGACATCCTTCTGGTAGTCTGTGGGACTGCCAAAGCCGTGAACGCTGAGGTTCTGGAAGGCCACGCCGGCCTGGCGTTTCGGGTAGCGTTCGGGGTCCCGCGACGACAGGGCCAGCAGGTTCTTCATCCAGTTCTTGGAGTTGAAGTTGGGACCTTGGGGGTTCAAGGTCGAATCCTCCGGGGTGCCGAGGAAAGGGTTCACGTTATTGTCCATGGTGGAGAAGCGAGTGGACTGGCGGGTCAATTGTCGGGCCAGATGGGAGACCTTGGCCTCGCGGGCGTGCTCCTCGCTGACCTGGCTCATCCGGCTTTGCTTGTCGCTGTAGGATTCGTCATGGCTCTCGGCCATGGTATCGGCCATGCTGATATGGCTGCCTTGTCCCTCGTGGTTGGCGTACGCGGGCGAGTCTTCCGGCATCAGGGCACCTTGCTCCTGGCCTACACTACCCCGTCTCCCGGACTCCACCGTCCGCGAGGGGTTCGGATTCGGGTTAATCGCGCCGAAAACATTCATGACGACGGTTAGGGCGAGACACGAAGTCTCTAATCAGGTCGGAAGCCAGACAATGAGTATGAGTATATGATATAGATCAGGTGATCTGAGAGATCTAAGAGCTTCAAATGGAGGATATTAGAGAAGAGAAAGGATGAGCAAAAAGAGTGAAAGAGGGAGATGATGAGGGGAAGAAAAGAAAGAGAAGAAGACGAGGTCAGGATGAGATAAGAGTGCGTCAGCGGAGGGTCATGTAGCTAAATCTCTATCACAATCCCTGCCTGCGGATTGACCGTATTCCGTGTCGTATCCTTATATAAAGGAGAAAAAGTTTAGGGGGAACAGAGTTAAAAAAGACCCGCCGAGGTCTGGAACTGGATTGATGGAGAGCACATTGGCGAATCGGGTGGAGGCAAAGGAGCGAGCCGGATCCATATCTCCTCGAACTACTAACTCAGAGGGGTTAGTTAGGAGGTAAATTACTTGGTAGATTCCTACTAAATCGATAACTCGGACAAGAAACAAGCCCGAGCATTTCCTCCACGTTCTGGGTTGCTGCCTGGCCAGGTGTCAACGGAGACAGAAGCATCCGTGATCGGGATCTTTGTCCACCGATACTATACTCTCTTACTCTCAGATGACCACAGTATTATTCAGATCCTGTAGAATAATGTCTACTTGTATGTGCACAGTCTATTGGACTGGAGATATCCTTCTCCTGTTTGTGCAAATGTCACTATCATCTATCTAGATGCAGTTGTCCCAATGTACATAATCTAGATGGATTGACACATTCCACAGAATATTCCGAAGCATAAACGTGGCAAGCATTAACCCAAACCGGCCTGGTGGGGAAATGTACCCGAGACGTCTCACATTGTGCTGGCGGGGCGGGATGGTCGCCTTCCGACCGCTAGTTTTTTACCGTACTCGTTCTCGGATTCGGATCGAAAGGAATCCGTCTCTTTATGTGCACAAATCTCTGTCATCAACCACTATCCAGTCTCCACTCGGCTGTCACTTCCATCCGATCCCCAACCTACATACTTATATGTACCTTAACTAGACTAGACCGACTATACCACATAAACAGCTCAGGTATTATAATTAGCCCAAACAGGGTTACCCCCGTCGCGCCGATCGAGTCAGCCGGGAACACGATCGATTGAGTCAGAGCTCGGACGATGGTTTTCCATCTCCGAACCATCCTCTGCTGAGATCGCGCACGTCGGGACGGACTTACTCGATGGTCGCAACTGCCCTCAATGCTTGTCTGAGCATAGCGCGATGGTGTTTGGCATCAAGTGTGTACTAACTATCCTGACTACTATTTTTAAACAATCCTTAATCAATTGGCTCAAAATTAATCAATACCATTCTCTTTTCCTTGTCGTATCTGATGTCTCATATTCAGTAATAAAATCGTCATATTGGTGGCCTTATTTACCTTCAAATATACTATGTAATTGAACATCACGGGAAATGTATCGATGTGCCTACGCTCTAGTACCTACCAGTATCTCCTACTTATGCGCTTCATTCCAGGATAAACCATCGTAGATAGTACTTACCAGATTCGCAAAATATCTTCTCCCATGGCAGACACTACGGAATGCCTCCAACCTACCCAATCTGAAAGTGACGATGCAACAGACAAGTTCCGCGCATACTGGCAAACTCTTGCCGATGAAGTTATTGCTCGTCACGAATAAGGAACCATTGCCCAGGATATCACGCTCCATGATATGCTTGGTCAAGTACCCGCGATGCCTGATACGCCGCTGGATATTTATCAGGTCTCTCTCGATCCCGATTCTACTAACAAAGCTATGCTGACTGCAGCATCCTCGACAATGCGCCCCACCGACGACGCAGCATGCGGTGTTGGCGAGGCCGTCAAGGTCACTCGAGCGGCTCTATTGATGGGCGTTCGCGTACCAATCTCGTGTAATTGGACTGGAACTAGCTTTGGCCAAGAGGCTATGGCTGACGATGGGAGCCGAGGCCGGCCGAATTACGTTGGAGTCGTGTCGCTTGCATGGTCGTATATTTTGTCCGTTCGTTTACTGGAACTACAGAGACACGAGCGCGCCGAGGCTGTGTACACGACATCTACAGCGAATTGGTACTCCTTGCACCATGTGTGTGGCCCTAAATCGGCTTCCACCATCGATATCGGCAACGTAGATGCACATGCCGCCCGATGGTGGGCGGCTATCTTAGCCCCGGGACAAGGCTGGAAGGCCATTGTTCCTCAACGGGAAAACGATGTCTACTTCGCGCCGTGGTCTCTTTCTCTAGAGGTCGACTCGTGTCCGAGCATTGTATGGGCAGATAATGGGCCCCTTCCACAGAACTCTACTGTCTATTCTCCCCCCTCATCTCGGACAGCCCTCGACTTCCTTGTCGAGTTCTGTCTGCTCCACGACCTTGGCAGCCAACTCTATGCAGGCTTTGCAGCAGCATTGACTTTTCCCACCCATAATCATTATCAGAGGACTGTTGAACTACCGCTTCCAGTCAGCAGCAGCCAACAAAAATATACTCCAGCTGAGCAAACTACAACGGACCAACTAGCTATCTCAATCGCAATCCCTCGGGCCAAAACCTTATCCGAAGAGCCGACATCTGGCATCTGCTGTATCTTCCTGTGCTGGAGGATGATGGCCTGTATTATGGGAGTCTCCCGTTTTCCCCGTGGGTGCCTGTCGGGCAGAGTATAGAGATGAATTGCGCCCTGCGCGTGACAGCACACCGGCTCTGTTCCAGACATCGTCTACGCTACGAATCTTGGACTTGGAATTTACATGATGGGTCGAAGATCCGCGACAGGGGGTTTTCTTCTGTCAGCCGCCAGAACGGCCCGCGGGACTTTCCGGTATCTTCCAGGTCGGTAGCAACGACAAGCGGCGGCGCACGTCCGATTATACCGCTCTCACAAGACCAGGAGGCGTCCCGTGAGGCGTCCATAGCTGTATTTGAATGGGTGCTGGCAAATCACGAAGGCAGGCCCCCTTTAGAACCGATCCATGATGATAACTGGATAGCGCACTGTACTGCTTATGATGATGATTCAGACTTGGGTATGGGTATTGAACCTATTGATACAGATTGGCTCCCGGCGGAGTCAGCCTCGAACTGCTCGGGCAACGGTGGTGAGAATCGTGTAGCGGTGGAAGATCAGATCAGTGATTGGATGTACAACGTTTTCTAGTCACCACATACTCATTGGAAGACACCTCCTGGGCCATAATCTTTAGGATCCGGCTCAAGTGGACAGAAAAAATGGACAATCTCCCACTTGCTGGTGATGGTCAATGGATCACCAAATAGCAAAACGCCACTTACTTCCTCCAGAGTAGGACTAGGGTTAAGTGAGAGTGGAGATGAAGAGGGAAAAGAAAGAAAAAAAAAAAAAAAAGCTTGACAAGGCAGGGGTTCGAACCCTGGACTCATTACGAAGCAGGGTTTTTCACGCCAACTGTGAACAGTAGCGCTGCTTAAATCTGCCGCCTTAACCACTCGGCCACCTTGCCATTTTAGCAATTAGGATATTAGAGATTTTGATCCTTGTCTCTATCTTGGTTTCGCTGTTTAGGGAATGGCATACTAGAATGTCTAGCCCTGCCCAGCCCTAGGTCCAGGGATAAAATAGTACTCTACGTATATTCTATACTAATGCATCTCAACAATAAATTCGAGTGAGACTTGTATTCTTGGGTAGATAAAGCATATTATCCTCACAAATGCGCGTTGAACGAATTTCCTGAAAGATTATCCTGTCTTGCCGCTCCCAGTGTCAAACTTGTAGATCAGAGGGCAAGATCTTCGTGTCTGTCATTATATTTACCTTACTGGAATAAAATGAGGCTGTGGCTCTCCTGAGCCACTATGGCGCCCGCGTGAGCCCACTGGTACAGATTCAGATACTAATACAGTCAATCGCTACGAATCATCCTCCCCCTCCTCGTCACTCCCATCATCAATCGGCTCCACCAGCAGATTCCCCCCACGCCCGATCTTATCCCGAACCGTGCCCCCGGCTTCGACCTCGTACACGACACGCGGCATAGGCGACACCAGTCGGAATCCATACTGGTGTTCGAACCCAGCCGGCTTCTCCGCCCCAGTCGCCTTTCCCTGCGCATCCTGGAGAAGGTTGTAGCATTCCACCAACGCGTAGAGCTCCTCGATTTCTGCGTCTGGGGCAAATTTCCGGATCACCCGCTCGCCCGTGGGCAGTCGGAGGCTGACGCGCACGGCATCCTTGACGTCGGGACCAGGCTCGTCGGCAATGGATTGCACGCGCCACTGCTTCCACTGCTGCAGGTCCTGTCGTCGCTTCTCTTCGGCTGCCTCGCGCTCGGCCGCCTCCTGCGCCTCCCGCTGCTGCGCCGCTTCTGCCTCGCGCCGCTGACGCGCCCGTTCCCGGTCGATGGCCAGCGAGCGCTCGTAGGCTGAGTCCTGCTCCTGCCGGAGGCTGCGCGAGGCTTGCTGCTCAGCCCGCGTGGAGCGCAGGCGGTCGAGCGGCTCGCGGTTCTGCGAGATCGCGGACCGGAGCTTTTCGATGAATTCCGCGGGGGACGTGGTTCCTGCAATCCGCGAGACGACCGACATGGCTGTCGAGGACACGCCGGGGGTGTGCACGATGGCAGCAGCAAAGGGGAACTTGGTGCATCGGAGAGAGTTGGAGACCTGGTAGGCTTCGGAGTCCTGGATGTTGCCCCCCCAGACGATGACGCCGTTCTGCGGGTCGTTGACAAACTCGACCACCTCGCGCGAGAGCAGCGTGTCGCGGACCCAGCCGTTGGTGTTGTCATGCTCGGGGGCGATCAAGACCACGAGGAGGACTTTGAGGTCCTTGTGGGCCTTTTCCAGCGCCATGTTGTATCCATTCTCGAGGAACCCGAGCGGGTTGGTGCCGTATTCCTCCTCGAACTCCCGGATGAACCGGGCTGCCGTGTCCTGCGGGCCCAGTGCCCGGCGTCCGTTGGTATTTCGTCGCGACCCCTGCAGGGCGGAACCCGCTGTTGACTGAAATAACCGAGGGAGGAATGGGAATAGAGCCCCGAAAAGCCGGAAGGAGCCGCAGAGGAGCCGGTATAGAAGATTGAACGGAGTAAACAGGAGGGCCAGCAGGAGCGGCGGGCGATAGGTGGGCTGGTTTCCCGACTGCGTGACGACTCGGGGAGCAGGGTCTACGGCGCGAGCCGCCGGGGAGAGTTGCGCTGTCAGGTCATCGGTCATGAGGTTCTGGGTTTGGCGAGCTGGTTGTGGCGGAGAGTTCTCGAGGGCTGCTCGTGCCTCTTCCACGGGATCAGGACCCTCCCCGTCAAAGAACTTGGAGACAGCGATCTGTACAAATGAGGGGAAAGCCTCCAGTCAGCACATCCACCTCCAAAGATCTAGTCCATACCCCATACCTGCACGTTCCATTGTGATCGGCGTAACAGCTCGATCGCTTCCGCGGGTTCCTGGCCGGTGACCGCGGAATAGGTCTCGAGAGCGGACCGTTCGCTATCGGAGAGCTGGGCAATATCGATCCCAGAGGACATGATCAATCTGTTTCGTAACCCATACAACAAATTATACCTGGAGGTGAGGAAATCAACAAGAAGTAACACAGCGGATTGTAGTAGGTAGCTCGAGCTCCTCTTGATAGATGGAGATGATGACAGAATGCCGGCTTACATAATCACCAGCTGGCCAGTGCGACTACGGAGAACGAGATGGACCGTGAGAGGAACGAACTGTCTTCAGCCTCCCCTCCCTCTCTCCCCGCTGCACATCCTCCCATTTGTTTGTTGGGATCTATTTTCCTGTTCTTCTATTCTTTTGATCTACATCTTTCTCGTGCCATACCTTCGAGTCTATCAATGGCATAATTCGCCGTTGGTGGCTTTTGGTTGTCGGGCGCTAAACACGTGGTACGCCCATTCTGTTTTGTCGGTTTGGATATTCAAACACCTCGCGAGGGGAAAACTGTGGGGCCCTTGGTTCCTTGCTTGTTCCTTCCTTGGACCTCCGTGAGATCGATCTGTCAGGATTCCGTCACAACCTGGTTTGATAGAGGAATGTGGTCTCCTATAGATCTGTTCGGTCGTCCGGTCTTTCTTTGCTTGGATTCAATGGAGATCCCGCTGCGCTGATCCGCGCCCCCCATCAATTGTGGACATCACGAGATATCATGGCTTCCGCCGGAAAGTCCGCCCTGGACGAGACCCGTCGTGGGACGGGATCCCCGAAAATGAAGACACGAGGTGAGCCCTTATCGGATGGAACTGGAGGGGCCGCGTCAAGCCTGCCGGGCTGGGCGGTTCAGACGGCAATGTTTCAAGGACATGTCGTCCAACCATGGTGACTTACTGGGCTGACACGTTGAATTTGCGTCTTTGTAGTAGAGAATGCGAAAGATACCCTGTGTCGCAATGTGACCATCTATGGTCGATGTCGGTTTGAAGACAAAGGTGCCGCGATAGTCCCTTGCCTTGCCTGTCCCATCCAGCGATGAGCTTCGTCTGACGTTGTCCTGAAGGATGTGCCTTCAACCACGACCCGAACAAATTCAATCCAGCGTATCAAGCCGATAGGTGGGATATCCCGGGAGAGAAGGAAGCGACCTGGCTCGGCATGGAAAGTGGCTGACCGTTGATGAGAACAATAGAAGGCGATTGAACGTGGAATCCCCCAGCTTTACACCGTCGCTATTGTCTTCCAATGGCTCTTCCTCCCCGACCTTATCATCCGCCAGCGTTAAGAAAATGGCAACGATATCCCCGAAAGCGGCGAACGCTGCCCCGTTTCAGCCCCGGGGCATCCTTTCACGTATGGTCTACATTGCTGTCATCGGATCGTTGGCTGACCCGTACAAGGATCTAACTCCAGCACTCCGAGTGCACGTCAGGAAAATATGACACCCGACTGGTCCGTGGCTGAGGTGCAGGAATTTGTGCCTCAAGGATTTGATACTATGGTAAGACCACCTCCGCTCTTTCCAAAACAACGAAACCTTGACGTTGCCCACGTCTTTCAAATGTACTTGATGCTTTCTGTGTTACCGAGATTGTGGAGAGAAGTCCTGTTGTCTGTATCTCTTTTTTTACTTCTTTTTACGCTGCGGCGTCTGCTCGTTCACGGCTCTTGTACCATGTCGCGTACAAGCACGCGTGCTGGTTCTTCCATGGCCAACATTACTGGCCCTGCTCTATCACTCCAAGCATGCGGCTCGTATCCCGATCCTGAGACTGACTTGAACCTTCAGACTACGCTCCCGGGCAATGGAAATGGCAATGTTTCTTCGACTAGCCCATTTGACCCCTTTGTGACGGCATCAAACCCCTTAGCCGCGGCAAGTGCCGTTGGTCCTGTCCAGGCGAACCCATTCTCACCCGATACGGCTGCCGCATTAGGCGGGGCGACTTTTTTCGCCGGTCAGTCCGGGTTCCAACAACCAGTAAGTTTGCATTGATAGGACACAGCGGATGGGGCTGACCTCTTCAAGGTCCAATACCACCTATACGCCCCTATCGGACCTCATAATCAAAATACTTTGGGTTATCAGCGGAACGTCCACGACCTATTCCTGCCCAACGACTTCCGTGAGGAGCTGCAAAAGAAGGCTGCAGCTACACTCCAAACTCTACCCAGTATGTAGCGGCCATGTCGTCGTACTACATCCGGATCCTTTCTGACTGGACAGATACCCAACTCCCCGCCCAGGTCGATTATTTCCATTCATTGGTGCCCTTGGATTTGAACCACCAGAAGAATGCAACCGTCTTTGGCTTTCCCAGCTGGGTCTACAAAGCGCAGTCCAGCAAGGACGGCAATTTCTATGTCCTTCGCCGTCTGGAAGGTATTTTTTCCCTCTCCCTTCCCTGTCGTCCCTTCTTCTATTTTCCTCTTCCAATCTTCTCTTCGGTTTTCCTTCAAATCGGTGACAACTGCTGACATGCGTAGGATTCCGGTTGACAAATGAGAAAGCCATCCGATCCGTCCAGGCATGGAAGCGGGTCTGCAGTGGCAGCGTGGTAACTATCCACGATGCTTTCACCAGTCGCAGCTTCCAAGACAGCTCTCTCATCTTCGTAACGGATTATCACCCCCTATCTAAGACCCTGGCCGAACAGCATTTGGGTGTCGGGACGCGATTCCAGGGGCGGCCGAACACACACATCCCAGAACAAGTGCTGTGGGGCTACATGACCCAGATTGCCAACGGATTAAAGGCCATTCACAGCAATGGGCTCGCGGCGCGGATCATTGATCCCAGTAAAATCCTGCTCACCGGACGCAATCGCATCCGCTTGAATGCATGTTCCATCATGGATGTGGTGCAGTTTGACGCGCAACGGCCGGTGGCGGACCTGCAGCGGCAGGATCTAGTCAGCTTCGGACAGCTGATCGTGACGCTGGGGGCCAACACGCCCAGCGTGATGCACAACGCGACCAAAGCCATGGAACATTTCACGCGAGCGTACAGCCCGCAGTTGAAGAACTCGGTGTTCTGGCTGCTGAGCGGGGTGCAGAAGGAGCAAGAGCGCAACATCGACATCTTCATCACAGGGATCTCGTCGCAGCTGATGTCGACGTTTGACTCGGCACTGCACATGGACGACCAGTTGACGTCGGACCTGAGCCGGGAGCTGGAGAACGCGCGACTGGTGCGACTGATGACGAAGCTGAACCTGGTGAACGAGCGGCCCGAGTACGAGCACGACCGACAGTGGTCGGAGAACGGCGAGCGGTACTTCCTCAAGCTGTTCCGGGACTACGTTTTCCACCAGGTGGACTCGCAGGGTGACCCTGTTGTCGACCTGGGACACGTGCTGATGTGTCTGAACAAGCTCGATGCGGGGACGGACGAGAAGATGACCCTGATCAGTCGGGACGAGCAGAGCTGCTTTGTGGTGAGCTACAAGGAGGTCAAGAAGGCGTTGGAGTCGTCATTCCAAGCGCTACTGAAGACACGGCGGCTACATTGAGCGGTCGTACCCAAATTGTGGGACGGTTATATAGTTAAGAAACGTCCGATGGTCCATCGGACGAGGTCACTGGAGTGAGATGGACTGAAGATAGGGTATACATGATATGACACATTGCTAGAATGCACACTGATTAGTTAAAACAATAAACAAATGAATATCAATTTAAGTTATACAGTCGACTAATTAACAGCTTACAACTCCCCATGCACCCCCTCCACCACACCCTCCCCACCCAATCTCCTCTTCAAATCCTCCACAGTAACTTCATCCTCCTCCCCCGTCCACTCAGGCGCCACCTCCCTCCCCCACCCACCATCATCATCTCCATCAACCACCCTCAAAGGCGGCACAAGCACATGCCCCAAAACCTGAACCACCCCATCACGAACAGCAACATCCCTCCCCACAACACGCGTATACCCATTAACCTTAACAGAAGCATACGCCCCAAACCGCACAACATCGATCCCAAGGTGCGCCCCGCCATCATCATCCTCGTCGTCGTCAACATCCTCACTGGGCACATCCAAATGCGTAAACGTCGCAGGCGGTATCTCCGTCACGGAGCCGTTCGCACCATACACGACATCAGTGTAGATAGCTCTGTCTGGCACGATGTGATATTGGAGCAGACGGCGGAGGTAGGGCTGGCCGGCTGGGGAGAAGAGGAAGGAGGTTGTTTTGGAGCCGAGTTTGGCGAAGGCGGTGTTTGTTGGGGCTAGGGTTGTTTTTCTTTTGGGTTTGAGACTTTGGGGGTGGGAAGAGAGGGAGAGGTTGGTTTTGTGGAGGGCGAGGGCGAGAGTGCTGAAGTGGGAGGGGTTTTCGTCGATGAGGTTCTTTGTGGATTTGGGGGGTTTGAGGATGTGGGTTGGGATGTGGAGGAGGCCGTTTGTTGCTTTCTTTTCGTTATTATCGTATTAGTATGGTTGTTGGTGTGGTTTTTATAGTGGTAAGGAATGGGATGGTAGGTAGGGTAGGTGGTGGGACATACTATATCAGACACTACAATCCGACTATACTGATTAATGACGATCCCACGCCATCCGACACGGACGGCTACACGCTGGGGGAGGTCATCGCCGAGCTCGTCGCCGACAAGCAAGGTAGGAAGTGTCTGCGCGTGGAAGATGCGCACAGCGGGGTAGAGCCCGTCGAGCATGTGGTACTTTGCGACGAAGTCCTCTTCTTCATCTTCCTCGCGATCTCCGCCGGATTTGAATGCCGAGTCAGGCGGCGCGAAGAACGTAATGTTGGCGTCCGATGCGTTCAGCAGACGGGTTAGCTCGTCGTCTTTGGAGACGATGCGCGCTAGAATGGTAGTGTGTTTGCATTCCGTGATGAGCTGGTAGAGGGTTTTGTTGGAGTGCGGATGATGGGGGCGATTGGGCGGGGAGGAGCGGAAGCTGGGGATTTGGGAGAGGGATTGGGGGTGGGTGGTGGGGAGGTTGGAATTGCCGTTGTTGTTGTCGGTGTCGGTGTCGGTGTCGATGAGGGCGCTGAGCCAGTTGTGCTGGGGGGAGGTGTCGCTGGAGGGCTCTGCGTCGATGGCGATGTCCAGGGGGTTTTGGTTGTGGTTTGGGGTTGGTTCCTGGGTTGGGGGGAAGAGGGGGAACTGTTGGGGGAGGACTATCCCTCTAGTGAGGGGGAGGAGGGCGAGTGCTGGCCACGGGGAGAGTTTCATTGCATTTGATTCTTCCACTTGTGTATTGGAGAGGGTTGGGTAGAGGGGAGTCAAGGGAACGGTGTGGTATCTATATTGATGATCAATGGCATAATGTTGCTAATGGACAGACATTGTTGACCTCCATGACGCCGTGGTGGTGGGTATGATGTCATGAGTTTATAGAAAGTATATATGATTGTCTAGATCAACCAGTCTATATGATTGTTTAGATCAATCAGGTCAATGGATGCCTTGCCTACCTGTATTTAATGGGCTGATCTACTAATACCGTCATGACTCGTGATTCATTAATTATTGTCTTGAATACATCTTGAGGTTGATAAGTACCCTCCAACACTGCTTCCCAAGACGGGGTGGAGAGACGCATTCTTCCCAGTTCAGGAAGACGAGGCTATTCCTCTGGCTGCACAAACGGATTGGCAATCTCCTCGCTGCCATCTGCCGGCGAGATCAGCACGATCAGGGTGCCGCGGGCGACGATCAGACCCAGCGAGCGGGTGTTCTCATTACCCTCGTCGTCTGGATGGTCGGTTAACATTCCGACACGATGTTCAGGGGAATGTACTACTGTACTTAGTACTCACCTCGCATAGATTCCTTCACATCATCAAGGACCAGGTTCATAAGTTGATCGTAGCCTTTGAGCAAGCCGACGACTAGGTTGGTCAGTACAATCGTAGACGGGATAAATATGGATAGACTAGATAGATAACATACCCTCTCTCCCACCATTGAACTTGACGCGCACCTCCTTGTCCATATACTTGGTCAGGTCGAGGATATTCTCCTTCTTGGGCTTCTCCTGCTGTTGCTGATGTTGGTGGTGGGCACCGCCACCACCCGCACCGCCACGGGGACGACGGTCATAGCCTCCTCCGCGGCCACGACCTCGGAAGGAGCCTCGATCAGACATGATTATTCTTTCTTTTTCTTTTAATATATTCTTTTCTTTTTGAATGATTGGTTGGGTTTGATTCCCCTGGTGTTATTGATTGTTAAATTGAAAATAAAAAGAATGAATGAATAGTGGTTTCTTGGTTGGGTTAGCTTCAATACTAAGGTAGATGGAGATGATAAGATGTGGTGTGGGTGGAATGGATATGATTTGTTCCGGTTAGGTAAGCGAGAGGGGTATGCAGATGGATCAAGAGGAGAGGAGGGAGCCTGGAGGAGAGAGGAGGAGAGGAAAGGGTGAGGTGGTTACCTTCGGTTGACTGAAGTTGGTTGAAGTATGAGGGATTTTACACTCAAGAAGGGATGGAAGAAAATTCACGGGCCTTGCGGGCGACGCTAGTCCGTATAGGGCTGTCTGGTTGGGCAGTCACCGCTGCTGTGAGTCTGGGCGGAGCGCGATCTGGACTGATCTCTCTGGGGAGTATCGATTGACCGTTTGGTCTGGATGCAGGGAGTCTGCCGGATATTGAGGACCAACTTCCAATTATCCCGATTTATCGACATGACTGTAGGATTAACTAGTTGAATGAGAAAGAGATATCGATCGATAGGTAATACCGTACGCTGTCACACGCACCCGGCGGATCCCCGATAAGCTCATCTGTGTATTATATACCACAGGGGACGATACAATCGCTTTCATATCATGGGATATTCCGTAATTAATGTAATCATAATACGGACCACCTCCCGAGTTGCACCGAAGCCCCCGGCGGAACCGCCCGGCGGGACTCCGCTGTGTAATCTATGGTAATTCCTGGTAAGAATACACAGAGAAGGATAATCCCGCATTCCCGTTCCGCCTGGACCTCTTATTATCTTTCCGTCTCTTTCCCCTCCTCTCCTCTCCTCCCTCCTCTTCCTCTTTCTCTCTCCTTTTCTCTCTCTTTTATATTCTCTCACCCTGGGTATTTGGTGTCTTGGGTACTCTACAATCATCCATCCAAGTCCCCAAACTCCCATCCCCACTACTATCCTATAGATAGGGATCCTGTTGGGGATTACCTAAACCCACCGAACCCAACCGGCGCGGTCGAATCCGCCTGAGAGCCTGACCGCACGCTCCGCCCGGTCGCCCATTCCTTCGTTCTCATTCTGCCTTGCCGCTTTTCTCTTCCACCCCCGTCTACCGTCTATCTTTCTCCTTCCATACACGAAAAGAATCGAGTACACACCCATATACCTCAAATCTACTCTTTCGCGCGCTTGAATTTCACCATGGATGCCAGACCCCCGGCCGAATCGGCCGGCAAACGACCGAGATCGCCGACGGGTGACTTCCCTCCCATCGCCTCCAAGATCCCCAAAACCCATTCAAATCACCTGCAGATCAACTATCTCGCCCGTCAGTACCCCGATAACCTTCCCCTGGTCTCCGCCGATGACAACATGTCCGCCATCATCCACCTGATCGGCGAGTACGACGGGGTCTTGCACCGCCACGAGAGCATCGCCGGCAACTTAGGCGCCTGTCCCTTGGGCCCCATCCTGATCAAGCGCTTCGAGCGCCTCTTTGACGGTCCCCCGCGCGTGCTTAAATCGCATGGAAAGGATCCCGCCAACATCACCTGGTTGGACGTGGTCGAGTTTGCCAAGAGCAAGCCCGAGCAGTTCAACCTGGAGAAGTCCCGCAATGGCGTGCGCGTCTGCCAGTTCTACACCAAGCAGTGTCGCGTCGAGATCAGCGAGGAGGACTTTGTGCTGATCGCTTCCGGCATGCCCCAGAAGATGATCCCCCCGCAACCCATCATCGAGGATGAGGAGAAGGAGCTGGGAGCGTTGGAGATCCTGGAGAAGAACATTCAGCAGATCATCCAGGTTGCCGATCAAGGTAGCCCCCCCCCCCCCCCCTCTTTTCCCCTCCTTTGGCGTTCTTGGCATTTGAATGAACTAATGCGTCGGTCTGTAGTCTCCGCTCGTGCCCGTCAGCTGAACCACCGCCTGAAGAATCGTCGCACTGCCATTGTCACGCGACGGGAGAACGACCTGTCCCTCCACTCCCAGCAGCAACAGCAGCACGGATCCTCCTCCCCGCCGTGGCGCGAGCTCAACGGGAATGGCTCGCTCCCGATCCAGAGCAACGCTTCGTCCGCCACGCACTCCCCGTCCACCGGGTTTGTCGCCGTCAACTCCGGTCGCCCCGCGGCGGATGTGACCCCCGACGACCCCTCGCTGTCGTCGCACTTTATGTTCTCCCATTCGAATACCGACAATGTCACCATCATCAACGGCACCTCCATCAAAGGCGCGTCGCCCACGACCCGCGCCGAACTGATGAAAAAGTTCTTCACCACGCAGGACCGCCAGTCCCGCGCCCTCGAGGAGGCTCCGTCCACCGAGCGCCAGCCGTCGCGCCCGCGCGCACGCGCCTCCGACGCCGCCGACCATCCCATGTACACCCCCGGCGCCGCGACAGTCGCCATCCCCCACACCCCGTCGTCGCTACTACCACCGCCCAAGTCGCACCACCACGAGAAGGACGACGGCGGCCCGTTCAAGATGGAGATGGTCGCGCGCATGGAGGAGCTACAGCGCGGGGAGCGCATCATGCCACCCTGCGACCGCTGCCGCCGGCTCCACATGGACTGCCTGAAGAACCTGACCGCCTGCATGGGCTGCACCAAGAAGCACGCCAAGTGCTCCTGGAAGGATGTCAAGGAGGACGAGCTGCACGAGTACCGCGCTGCAGGCAACAGCATCCGGGAGCCACGCACCGCCGACGAATCCTCCGGCAAGGACTCCCCGTCCACCACCGCGGCGCCCGCCCCGTCGACACAAGACACGCCATCCACAGCGACAGCTGCCATCCCGGTCACTGACCCCCTGCGCGAAGAGCGAGGACGAGACCGCGACCCTTGGGCCGGAACCGATCTCGCCCAGCGGCGAGAATCAGCGCCCATTGCCAGTATCCCCCCGGGGACGCCCCACCGACTCGACACCTCCCCGCGACGAGCCATGAGCGAGATGCACAGCGCGCCGCGCTCGGCCTACGAACGACGCCCGAGTCTCCATCAACGCAACGACCCAGACGACGACGACCCAGACGCCAACCAACGCCTCATGCAAGCCATCCTCGACACAGTGGACCACCACGCGCGCGCAGCAGCCGTACACGAAGTGACCCACGAAGTACCAGAACGGGAAGGCGAACGAGAGCGAGAGCGGGTGCAAGAGCGAGAACGGGAGCGCGAACGGGAGCGCGAACAAGAACGCGATCGCGAGCGCAACCTGGTCCGCGCATGAAGCATGAACCCTTGTCTATATGTTTCGTTTTGTTTCTTTTTTTTTTTTTTCTTTCTTTTTTTACGATTTATCGTCCGTGTGTCTCTTTGTGTAGCGTTTAGCGGATATCCAGTGTTGGAGTTGTTATGGCTACGTCTACATCTACTTGTATATTTTATATTGCAGAAGTCTATGGGCTTAAATCTTGATTCATTACTACTATTGCTCTGTCTATCGCATGTGTGGAACGTGATAGCGGAAGGCTTCCTCGGCGGGCTGGTTGATACCTTACCTACCATCTTTCCTTTCGCACGCTGTTGCTCAATGAGATCTGCTCCACGGTGGAAGATCATAAACAGATACAATGTCCCCACAGAGGAAACAGCTAACATGAGAGATATATGTACATCCATATATATACAAATACCAAGCCAACCGATTGTGGAGTTTCATGTACAAAACCATCTAGGCAACATCACGCATATACCCCACAGCCCGTCCCGCCTCACGCCTCACGACCTCATCCGGCCAGTCCCTAGCAACCCCAACCAACTGTTCTTTCCAGAACGCCCACCGCTCAGAAGGGCAGTCAAAATGTTTCATCACGGTGTCGACCCTTTTCGGGTCCCAATCCTCCATCTCATCGCCGCAAAGTCCCTCATATAACTTCCGCCCAGTATGCTTCATCCAGCCAGCCACAGCCGGAACTTGAAATCGCGGTTCGAATGGCTCAGAGGCCCAGAAATCCATCGTTTGTGTCTCGGGCTTGTCCTTGGGGTCGAGATGCCATTCAAGTGTATGAACCACGTAATGGAATGGCCTGCTCATGTCGAATAGCCCCGCTGCCACGAGCTGCGCTTCGATATCTTGTGCCTTGATGTATTGGTCCGCCGCGTGGTGCAGCGCAGTAGCGGAGTCATCGCCCCGTTTGGCGCACTCTTCGACGATGATGCTGGGCGTCCTCCAAGTGGTGTCCCGCCAGACCATGTTGATGTAAGGGAGCTGGCTCCAGGTGAGGAGCTCGTCGTCGTCGTCGAGGGCTTCTCCGCGGTGGAGGCCGTCAGGGGTGTTTGACATGGCGGTGAGGAGGGCGATGAGACCCGGTGTGCGCGAGGGGGGCCATTCCAGGAGAGCATCCACCAGGAGCTCTAACAGTCGGCAGAGAGCCGCTAACTCGGGGTTAAAGCTTGCTGGTAGGTCTGGGATAGGAGTGGTGGAGATGGGACGGGTGATGGCGTGGGCTGCTTCTTCTGGGGTTGTTTGGTTGAGAACATAGGCTTGGAGGGAGGTGATCTCTGAGGCGTAGATGGATTGCAAGGGTTGGCTCTTGCTGGGGTAGTTGAGGAGGCGTTGAGAGAGCCATTCTTGGAGAACTTGGTGTTCTTCGGGGTCTTGGGGCATGTTGGTTGTTATCTCCCCCTGACAGTGTTGGTTGAATGCTTGTCTGTGTTTCGTCTGATATGGTCACAGCCCTGTTCAATAGGTTTGAGTCTGGTTTGACGTCATCTGTCAGCCTTGTCCATACGATTATGGGACGTCATCTGTCAGCCTTGTTCATACGATCATGGGGTGGTAGCCATTTGAGTGATGTTAATCAGAGGTGGAAAGGTGAGGACTACCTTTTCCACGGCACTAGTTCCCTGACTCTTACTATTGGAGCATGTCGGAAAGGATTCAAGTCTGTATGAGTTCACGATGGATTACCTGGGATCTCGTAACGACTTACCTGGGACTATGTGACTAGTCGCGACGGACATCTTCTCAGGCTCTCAGATATATCCATAAGAAAAGAAATACCAGAGACCCAGTATACTGCAGTATTCTGTATACTGCGATTAATGGATGGGTAGATAGTAGGTAATAAGTGGTAGGCAATGGTAGTAAGTTGATGGATCAAATCCAGAGGTATATAACTCAAATCTACTCCGTACGTCGAGTATAAAAAAAAACTAACTCCCATTCACCATATCCCCAAACTCCCCATCAACAGGCCCGGGCCCATCCCGCAACCTGCGCAACCCCTCCGCATCTTCCACCCACCCACCAACCTTATCCACCCCATCAATAAACTCCGTCCCAACGCGCAAGTTGAGAGCCGCGCTGAGCGCGCGCTCGATCCGCACCTCGCGGCTCTCCGTCACTAGCACGCGGAACACATGCGCTAGGAATCCGCTCAGGATATCCACGCTCCAGTCGTCCGGGACGAGCCGCAGCACGTCGCTGACGTCGAACCACGCGGCGAAGCGCGCGAGCACGTCGCTGGAGCGCTCGATGCGCTCGGAGGGGTCTGAGATGCGCAGGAATTCGTCCAGCAGGTTGCTGAAGAGTTCGCGTTGGAGGGTCCGGTCTGCTGGTGCGGCTGAGCTGGGGCCGCCGAAGATGCAGTATCGGATTGCGGAGTCGTAGTCGCCTAGCCCGTGCGTGAGGAGGTGGAGTGCGTCACGGTGGCGGCCTTGGAGGCCGTCGAGGATGACCGATTCCGAGACGAGCTCGTGTTGGAAGGGTTCGATGCGGGAGAGAATGCTTGGGATTGAGTAGGTGAGGTTGGTTGGGGTTGTCGGGGTCGTCGATGATGAGAATTGACTGCTGCTGCTGCTGCTGCCGCCGAGGAGCTGTAGGAGTCGGATCCGGGACTGCCACCATGGCTCTGGGGGCGCGTTCGCAGTGATGAAGTTCATGTATGTTGGTTTGGGGGGTTGTAGGGCACGGTAGGTGGAGTATGATTCGGAAAGAGATTCTCGTGCTTCAGGGGACGTTTCGAGCACGGAAAGCACTGTGTCTAGGTAATATGAGAGGAGGTCGTCGGCGTATTGCGTCAACTGGAATCGTTAATGTTCTAATGTCCAAATTGAATGAAAGTTCTAATGAAATGGGATGTTCTGATGAAATAGAACGTTCGAATAAGAAAGAACTTACATTCTTTGAAAAAACAAGGTGCTCCAGGTAGACCTGCACGGCGTTGGGTGCCCGCTCTTTCAGCAGAGGAACGACCTCAGCTGGCGCCAATTTGACTCGACTGCTGCTATCCGCAAACACCTGGGTCCCAAGTTTGGGGTTGCGCCCAGCCAGCCACGACCCGTATTCCTCAACGAGCTGCGCATCTTTGATCTTAGCTAGGTACCTGCGCATCTGCGCCTCGGCGCCAGAGACAGTGACCTCCTGGCCGATATCTTCCTCCCCTTCGATAATCCGCCGCCACGTTTTGAGCACATTGCGCGACATCTTCTGGCTCTGATACAGCCGGCTCAGCACGAACAGTCGCTTGTATTCTTCCAGCAGTGCCACCGCTCGGTCGAAGCTGCCTTTCCAGTTGTCGACCAGTCGATTCATCTCGGCCCGCGTCTGCGACGACTGGCGCTGTTCCGGCGTGTGCTTCGAGTCTTGCTCCAGAAGGAGATGCAGGAGAGCCGCGTCGACGCTGTCAAAGACGTATGTCTCGTCGGTGATGCTTCCGTAGCCCCTCTTTTGCTGCCATGAGAGTAAGAACCGCTTGACCAGGTTCAGGACATCGCCATCGATAGGATATGGGGAGTCGCCTGTGCGCTTCTCCAACTGCTGCAGGTAGACTTCTGCAGTCTGAGCCAGCCCTGCATGGATCCAGATCCCTTGCGGGCCTTGCAGGACCTCCCGTCGCAGGAGAGGAACCAATACCAATGCGATCCGCGGGTCCAGGTCTCCCGTGATAAGGGCTCGTTCCGTGGCGTCGAAAGCCGCTTCGTCTCTCGCTGCTGCGTCCATCGAGATTAGGTCTCCAAAGAGCAGCAGGCTCGCCTTCTGCTTCAGGTAGTTGAGCCCTAAAAACTCGGCCTCGGACCGGGGCTCTGTTTCCAGAACCACGTCAATGATATCCATTATGGCATCCCTATCCAAAGCCCTGTTCCCGTTCTCGTCTTCAGTCTGAGCCCCCTGGAGCGCGTCATTCAATTGGGAGGTGAGCGGATTACGCACAACCCGCCAGATCTGATTTCCCGACCAGAGTACGAGTCCGCTTTGGGCTTTGCCCAGCGCTCGAGCAAATTTGGTCTCTTCGGCATTGCGCTCTGCTTCCCAGCCCCGTTGAGGGTCTCCTTTCTTAGCACCCTCGGAGTCTGTCGATTCCTGGGACTCGAACAGTTCCTTTTCTTTCTGCAGCTGCTCGATGGAGGCCTGGGTGCGCGGGTCGTTGGGAGACATGTGTGGCAACAAAGACGGTGTTTTGAGACGAACCATCTGCAGTAACTGCCCAACCTCACTGAGTTCAAATTGACTAGAACTCAGTGTGTTGCGGAGGCCCACGTAAGACGGCTGCGTCCCTGGAGGCGCGGGGATCTGCACCCAGCTTTTATGCGTTTCGGCCTCGGCCGGGTCTACATCCCAGGGTTGTACTTCCAACGCCTTGCGAGGTTCCTGATCTTCACTGAGGTCTACCAACGCAAGGATGAGTTCATCGCGCCTGTTATCCGGCGACTGTATTAAATTGGTCTCGTCACCTGCGTCGATCACAAGCGACTCGGGGTACTTGTTGAAGGTGATCGTCCCACGAACCAAATCACCATCCACATTGAAAAACATGCCGACACCAGGTTCTGACTCGTCTGTTCCCCTGACTAAAAGAAATTCGGTGGACGTCGGAGATAACACATGGGGTTTCAACCGCTTTGGCAAAGGAGGGAGCGGCTTCCGAGCATCGGATGGCGGCTGTTCGGAAGAACCCCGTGGCGATGCGCTATTTTCACGATCTCGGGAAACCGATCGTCTCGGGCTCGCAGGATTGGGAGACGACATGGGGGATAGAGAGCTTGCCCGTTCCCGCGAGCCTGGCGGTGATTCTGACTGCAACATCCCAGTCAATGTATTGAGACTAGAGCTTCGGCCATGGCTAGAGCCATCGGCCGAGGACTGCGGTGGCGGGGATAGCGACGCCCCCTGCACGTCCTCCACAGGGCCAGGGCCGAGTCCGTCGCTCAAAAAGGAGATGGGTAACAGGTGTATCTTTTGCTGGTGCTGGACATCGAGGAGCGAGTACGAGTTGGCGTCTGCAGCGCAAGCGACAAATCCCCTGCGCGACGCAGCCAAGCAACCGGGGAACTCAATATTCCTAAGCAAGCGCGCTCCGTCCCCGATTTGTACCAGCATGGTTTTATTCTGGACTGCAATCATGATCAATTGTGTCTCTTCATCCTCCGGTACCGCGTTCTGATCCAGCCCCCCGATCCAGCAGCAGTTGTTGATCTTGAGGTTACCGAATGCCGGGCTCAGCTCGGGGAGCAGGTAAAAGGTGGCCGTGCCATTGCACCGAACACACGCTTTCCCGACGGCGGGGAGAAGAACGATCTGCTGAATGCCCCGTTGTTCCGGTGGAATCGAAGCGTTGGGGGAATGCGGGATGGGCAATCTCGACGCTAGGATAAAGGACGGCTCACTCGACTGGTCGGAGGGGTCGGGGGGGAGGCAGACGAAATGCAGAATCTCGGCGGAGGAAGTGCCGATATACAAATTGTCATCTGTCGTTGAAAACTGTCAGATCAATTATGACCCACCAGCGGGAGGATCAACGCGACTCACTCCAGTACTCAACGCAGGTGATCCGGGTATCGTCATCGGAACCATCCGCTGACAGCGGTACCTGTTCCAAGAGAGGTCGGAACAGATAAGGCGCGGTAGGAGGACTGACTCTGCGCCTCTTACGGGGGGCAGAGCCATCATCGTCCGACGCCATGACGAGACCAGCTCTGGCGTCCAAATTGAAGATTTGCGGGGGGGGGAGGGGAATATCTCAAAGGAAGAGTGATGGGATTACTCGTTGTCCAAGTTGCGCTCGGCGGGAGTTGATGTCACGTTGCGGCCTTGTCTGCCTGAGGCTAGAAATGGGGCCTTGCTGAGTCATTGTGGCCAGCCCTAACCTGTCAGATATACTGGCTGTACTCGGTATCAAGTATTCAATTATCGATCAAAGGCTTTCAAATGTGGGGTGATATACTTAGCGATGGTTACAAAGTATCATCTCAAGTCAGTACTTCTTATGTTACTCGAGAACAAGTAATCTTGATGCTGGCACGTAGTTCACTCTAGAAGACACACTAGAAGACACCTGGTGCCACCACAGAGAATGCATGCTTAAAATAACTTAAAGTGCTATTGAATAGACTTGGTTCTCGTTTTGTTTTTGATCATTCTCCTTTCTTTATGCCTTGATATCTCTGCACCGCTCTTTCCTAGGCATCATAGATTCACAATAGCCAGAGATCCCGAATCAAAACCAATCCTGGCAATGTTGAATCACCTCGTGGGCTGCTAGGGCACCAGAGGCGATGGCTAGAGCGGCAAGAAAAACGTAAAATTTTTCATATTGGGCGAGTCTACTAGTCCACGTAGCTCTATGCCTGGGAATTTTGAAAGAGTGGAACAATCTCATTCTTAGATGCGCCGAGGGCGAGTCCTTTATAAGTCTTTTGGTGGTGGCTATGTTCAATAGTACCATAATCAGGTCACCAGACTATAGGATCAGAGCAGACATCAAGAGATCAAGAAGATAGAAACCAATGTTTCAGACAAATGGATAGGCATGAAGAGGTGGTTGAGAGCAAATTCGGAAACATGAATCGAGGAAGAGTAGGGGAAGAACATCCAATTAAAATAGGACCGTCGACATGAAACCAAAGTGGGTGACAGTCTTTCAACAAATGGGACTATGGCGCAGCTGGGAGCGCGTTAGACTGAAGAATCAACTTCAGCCTCCTACTTCCACCGAAGTAGTGTAATCTAAAGGTCACCGGTTCGATCCCGGTTGGTCCCATCTCTTTTTCTTTTTTCTTTTTCCACAACTTCTTATCTTTTACCCCAATTTCATCTGTTTAAGAAGTATAACATGACTGCCACCTATCATCTATCTGTCTACTTACCTGTTTTGTCTTTTCTATTGTCATGAATCGGCATAGATAAGGTACAACAAAGTTTAATGCTTGAACCTATTATAGTACGGGGCAACTACTGTCCGATTAGGGCGCACCTGTCCACCAGCATACAAGTCAACTAAAGCAGACAACTTTGATAGCGCATGGCCAACGAACACCCCTGAGCTGTTTGATTCGAATCTTGTCGTGTTCCTTGTTTGGATAAATATAACTCTAGCCGATGACACGCCAGCAAAGTGCACAAATGTTGTTATTGGAGTCAAATTTCTCCGTATACTGGGAATATCAATGGAAATCAAGTGTAAATCTGACAGTAACACCGGCAAGTAAGTGTTGAGGGAACATAAATATGAAGTCCAATCTCCTACTGTATAGAGCCAGAACCCTGTATGGCTTACGCGTTCGGAACAACACTCGGCCCGCTCGGCGCTGTCATCTACGTCTCCGCATTGCGATTCATTCAACTTGTCATTATTATCTTGGGCTATAGGCGTCATTTATATCGTCAATTTCATTTCTGGCGGGGGCGCAACTGTTCTGATCTCTTCTTACCGCCAGGAAATACCGACTCGGCCAAGATGGATTCGTTCGCTCTCACCGAAGGCCTTGTCCCTGAGCACAACAGTCAAGATGGCCACGAGTCCGAAAACACCCCCGGAAAGCTGCCGGAGGGGGCCAACAAATTCCAACGCGCCATTGCCGCATGGAGAGGTATGATGCTGGGATTTGGATCTCGCACTCACGCCTGAAGTTGAGAACTAACCTCTAATTCATTCAAGGCATCGATCTGACCAACACTGTCGCAAAGTTGGATGGTACCGCCTCGGACATTGTTGCTGAGCAGCGGGATGCGCTTGTCCAGAGGAAAGATCTCGCACAGAAGACCAAGGATTTTAGGAAGCTTGATGACTCGTCCAAGCTTGCGGAGTACAAGGGTCTCTTGAAAGGTCCGTCGCACTCGTTGGGTTTATGTGTTCCCGGCTAATGCTTATTGCCAGCGTACCAAAGCTTCATTGACGTCTTGACCAACCAAGGAAAGGCCTCGTCATCCGCCTTCTTGCAACTCTATTCGTCTCTTTCGGAAGCGCCCGATCCTTATCCGCTCCTCGAAACCTCGGTCGATTCTCTCGTCCACTCCGAAGAGACCGTCCCCAAGCTAACCTCCGAACGGAACCATCTACAAGGGTCGGTGGATCGATTGACTTCCCAGCTAGAGGACACGGAAAAGCGACTCGAGGAAGAACGGACCGCGCGGAAGAAGTTGGAGGACACCCAAGAGTCTCGAATTAAGGAGATCGAGACTTCCTGGTCTGCGGTGTTGTCGGAGAAGGAGAATAACTGGACCGCCAAGGAGAAGACACTGGAGGAGAAGGTGGAGAACCAGGAGCGCTTGCTGAAGGAGGTCAAGGCCAGCTATGAAGTCTCCCAACGACTGGGGCAAGATAATGAAGGCGGCGATAGCGCTCAAAATGGAGCAACCGCTGCTGAGCTGGAGTTCGTGTCGGCCGACCTAGAGAAGACCAATCTTCGACTTGCCGAGGTCGAGGCGAGAAATGAACAACTGCGGCTTGAGCTGGCTCAAGCGGCGTCGCATTCTCACCCGGACCAGCCCTCGTCCGTCGAAGACGACCCATCATACCTCCGCCTCCAGTCGGAGAATTCCTCTTTGCTACGCAAGTTGGATGCGGCCCGATTTGATAAGGATTCTGACCGTCACTCGTGGGAGGCCAAGGTCTCTCAGGCGGAACGACAAAGCGCCAAGGTATTGACGGAGAGGGACGATTTGAAGTCCAGGCTGGAGAAGTTTTCCGACTACGAAGAAATTCGCCGGGAGCTGGAAATGATCAAGGTGAGCTCCACCCTGCATTCAGCCTGACATTCCGTCTAACTTGTATCAGTCTATTGAATTTTCTCCCGGTGACGACGATGATGGTGAAATAAATACTGCGGCTGCCAACGGGGCGGCCGCCGCAACCAAGGATGGATCTAAGAACAGCTTGGAGCAGCTTCTGTTGGCCAGGAACAAGAAGCTCACCGACGAGCTCACCGTCCTTCGAGTCTCCCATCGCGATCTCCAAGGCCAGCTCGAGACTCTTCGGGAGGACCTCTCGATGACAAAGGAGGAACTCGAGAAGTCTCAAAAGCTCTCCACGACCCTGGAGAACGATCTTCTCCGCGTGCAGCAAGAAGCCGCCAACACCTTCCCGTCGACGGCGATGTCTGTCGCCGGAACCTACACCACCCGACATCCATATTCGGCTCGCAAAGGGGGCATTTCCCCGACGTCGTCGATCATCTCCGGCTTCGATCAGTCAGCTGCCTCCCCCTCGATGGATTCGATCCGCGCAGGGGAGCCCGTTGGCGGCGGCTCCGGCCTTCTACCCATGATCCAAGCCCAGCGAGACCGGTTCAAGAAGAAGAACACCGAGCTCGAGGAGGAGCTGTCGAAGACGTACAACGCCGTCAAATCTCTCAGACAAGAGGTTGCCACCCTCCAAAAGGACAACCTCAGTCTCTACGAGAAAACGCGTTACGTCTCGGCATACAGCCGCGGCCAGGGGTCCACATCGACAGCATCTACATTCGCAAACCAGCCAGCAACCTCCTCCGTCCACTACTCAGCAGACACCCCATCGGGACTTTCCCTCGACCGGTACGAATCCGCCTACGAAGCCAAGCTATCCCCCTTCGCCGCGTTCCGAGGACGCGAGTCAGTCCGCGCCTACAAGCGCATGAGCCTACCCGAGCGGATCGTCTTCTCCTTAACCCGGATCATCATGGCCAACCGCACAAGCCGGAATCTCTTCGCGGGGTACTGCTTCGCGCTGCATATCCTCGTCTTCACCATGCTATATATGATGAGCTCGATGGAGATCGAAAAGCACAGCAGCGCGAGCCTGGGCGCCGCGGCGGGGACGATAGCGCAGAATATGAGAAATGGGGGGTCCAGCGGGGGAGGCCACCCGTTACACGGCGATGATTGGCAGGAGGCAGGCTTCGACCACTCTTCCTAGTAAGTTGTTGTCGGACTGGTTCGTCATGTAGTAGTATTATTTCCCAGGATTACCCCGACTGTTGGCGTTTGGCGGTTAGCGATTACAACTGAATATACATCTTTCCTTTCTCTCAGTATTTGTCCGTTTTCGGTGAACAGTCCATGGAGTATTAAGCCTTCAGAATGGCGAGCAGCCAGATAGACAGACAGACAGACAGTCAGCCAAGGACCTACTTACTACCTACCGGTCATGAAATAAAAATAAAATAAAATATAAATAAGTGTTCCGGCAGTGTGTGTATACGTATGTACGTACAGAAAAAAAGAAAAAAAGAAACGGCCCGAGCCGCGGATCGAACGCGGGACCTCTCGCAGATATGCTTGGGTTTAAATCCCTAAGCGAGAATCATACCACTAGACCACCCGGGCGCTTGTTGTTGAAGATGATTGGTTTGGAATGATACTTGTTGCTCAGATCAACTTCGGCGCAGTTACGCTGGTTGTTTCGGGATAGTGTAGGAAAGTGTGGAATATGCAAACTGGCTATGCTCAAGCGACTTTCATATTACATATCTTTTGCCTAATCTAATGTTTTTTTTGCTTAATCATCGTTCTACTTTTATGTTTTTTCCTTTTTTTTGTCGAAGGTGTTATGGTCTACTTGGTTCGACATGGGTTATATATTTTAAGTCTACATGCCAGGCTAGGAATCCAATGCGGGGAGGGTATACAAAACCCCAGAACTACCCCGCAAGAAAGGAAATGCTGTTGTTATATCAAACACTGCCCAGAAAGCGCAAGTGACTAGCCACTCAAGAATGACCGAGTCAATTTCACCACGGTAGCTGCCCACCGTAGCCTGTGCAAAATCCAGAATGAGAAAAGGGCGATCTAGTCCTAAGCGATAGCAGTGGGGTATCAACTCCAACTCCAAGCGGGGAGGGAGGAACCGCTATCTATCGTCGGTTCGCATTGTTTCACTGCCTCTCGTGTGTACAAACAGAGTCACGGCTATATTTACTACTTTAGCCCCACCATACGATCGACTGGAAGATATCTCGAATATCAACATTGATAGACAATGGCTGAGACCAAAACCTGGCTGATCGTCGGTGCGTCTCGTGGGATCGGTCTTGAGTTCGTCCGCCAGATCCTCGCTCATGGCCACCGCGTTATTGCCACCGCGCGCAAACCCGGCTCTGCCTTGGAGGCTGTTGTTCGGGATGCAGCGGAGCGCGCAACTGTTTTGGAATGCGATGTGTCTAGCGGGGAGAGCATCACCGTAGGGTTCCCTCGGGGTGGGGGATGAAATGAAAAGCAAAGAAAAGATGGGAAACGTTGACCTTGGGGCAGAGCTTCACCGAGCATTTAGTCAAAACCGGAGCCAAGAAGATCGACTGCGTCGTGATCAACGCCGGGATCTTGGAATATCCAAACGTGAGGAGCTCCATTTCACCCGCACCATGCTATCTACACCCCTAACCCCTCCATCATGCCCCATAACCTACCCCTAAACAATCACTGCCACAGAGAACCCTCGAGATGTAAGTTACCCTCTACTAGCAAACTCCCACATCAAACCTGCCACTCTAATGAATGACTCACACCAGGAGCTTCGATCACTTCGCCCGCCATCTGCACACCAACACCGTGGGTCCCATCATCACAGCCCAGAAGCTTCTCCAACAGACTGAAGTCGCGATCGGAACAATCGCATTCATGTCAAGCGATTCGGGCTCCACGCAGCGCTTCCTATCCTTCGAAGATGGGTAAGACAAACCGGACAGCACCTAGCTCGGACTCACGGGCTGATTCTGGTTGAAATTCCTAGATTCGCCGCGTATGGTGCATCCAAGGCGGCTCTTAACCAGGCTTTGCGTGTATGTCCTCATCACTGCTTTTCCGTGGGCGAATGGAGCAAGCGATAACTGACCATCGATTCGCGTAGCATATGGCAGAGGAGCTGAAGCGTAAGGGCAGAGAAACTGTGATTTTGGCACTGCATCCGGGAGAGGTTGCCACGTGAGTTTCTTTTTTTTGCCGCAGTGCCGGGTCGAGAAAGAACGTGTCTGGCTAATATGGAGATACCCATTTGCTACTATAGCGACATGGCGAATATTGAAATCACCTGGGAGATAGATGGTGGACAGATCAGTGCCGAAGAGTCCGTTCGTGGCATGCTGGGAGTCATCCAGGAAAAGACAATCGAGCATACGGGGACGTTTTGGACTTGGGAGAATGTGGTAAGTTTTGAAGGGGTTGGGTTTGTTGCTTGCTTGCTTGACTGTATTTGCTGATGCGGTGAATAGGAGTATATGTGGTGACGGCTTGTATAATCGGTTGGGACGTGTTAGAGAGTCGCGCAATAAGCCACAATAATATGCTTTCACCACAAGACACAGTATATGTCCATTTGTTTGACTTGAGCAGGGTGAAAGATACTGTGTGCTAGAAGCCCTAAGGCTTAGCTCACCAGGAACCAAGTACAGTAATCATGGACAACCCGGGTGAACAAAGAAAAGGCCTTGTTGTTACCTAGATATGAGCCAACATGACAAGGAAAGACCAACCAACCCATGCTTCTCAAACCCTCGGCAGCAAAGTCCGACATCGACGTCCATATGGCCGTGTCCGGCGCTAACAAATGAATTACACTCCGTTTCGACTTGTCAACCTCTCAGAAACCACCCAGACTTCTCGGTCTTGCGGTCAATTATGTTACCTCTACCATAAACAGTCCAGCGGCTGCAGAATAGTCAGAATGGCTCGACGCCCTTGTGATTCCTACAGAGCGTCCGAACCTGAGTATTTTATCTGTTAGACGCCCGTCCTAATAATAGTACAGAGTTTATCTCTGGACCTAATCCTTTCATCTAGTCGCAAGGAAACCTAAAGAATAACCCGAAGTTTATTGACTCCTGGTTTGGTGAAATATTTTTGGAGGAGGTTGGGCCTTGGGGTGGACCTTACCGAGGGGAACACTTATGGCTTGAGTTTGTTTGATTGATAGTCCAGTTGATAATCGAATGATGCTGACTACGTAAATAGTCATCATGGAAAATCATAAACAGCAGAAGGTTTGTCAGTTATGCTGCTGAAATTGACCGGTTTCGATAGATGTTTGTATATAGGGTTGTTACACTGTAGGTAGTATGCAATCTCCAGGGTCAACCCTCGAGAAAATGACGCGCTCGTGATACCCCGTTGACTAGAAGATAAATTAAAGCGTCAATTTGAGTTTGCTCGAGCCACTGTCTAGTCTCCAGCATTTGATTCCTGGCTGGCTGACTGGGCGAGCGGCGAGCCACATATATTATGCCGAGGGGATGGCGCCAACCGGCTCAATTCGCAAGAAGAGCATGATAGATCCATCTATGACAACCGGAGTAATAATACAATCTCACCGGCTCAAGGTCCACGGTCGAGACGCTTGTCGAGGTATAATAAAGCATGTAAGATGTCTGTTCTTCACACTAACCCCGATTGGCAACCCTGTAAGCGCCGGGGTTATAATTAGATCTGGAAACCAACCGGGGAATTTCCACAGCGAATGACCGTACACCATGTCCTTCTCCACTTCGATCCCAGCAGAGCTTCGCGATCGATGGCAATCACCAACCAGATCGCTCGTCATTGTCTGCAGACCAGCTCATGTTTCGCGTGGCTGTCAACCCCTAGCTCCGGAAGGATTCCAGCGCATACCGACCTGCCAATGATTGAGCGCAGTGCGGCGTGTTAGTTGCGGGCGGCTAGTCTCTGGTGCATCCTGACTCGATTCTGTTTATAGATACTGCAACCTGAGTTTCGGGTTGAGAGTGAAGAATGTCGCCGGGGTCGAGTAGGCGACTTGGTAATTTGGGGGCTGGTATATATTGTCTGTGGTCTGCGCTGACGACCTAGTCGCCGATTCACCGTTGCTCTTTGTTTTCAACTGCATACTACTCAGCTGGCTTCGAGTGGTTTGGACGTCTTTCCTTTGTCCTGACTCTCTTTTATCGTTCAACAAAACTCCTACTCAGCATATTCATCATTGAAGATACCCTTTGAAGGATTCCTTCATATTTTAAATTGATACCTTCTATATCCGCGTAGACCGTGGATCGACTCAGCATCCGACATGCGTCCTATCTTATACCTCACTTCGTGCCTGGTGGCCACCTCCCTGGCAGCGCCGACCTTCTTCGACGATGCATACAACTACTCCGACGAGATGGCCGAGTTCCTCGGAAAAGTGAGCCAGCACATCCACGGAGACGTCAAAGACCTTCTCCACAAAGCAACCACATGTGATCCATCGAGCATTGCCTTGCCATCTCATGCGTCAGGACTACCTCCTCCTGATGACCAAAAGCCAGCCTACGTCGCTGTAGGCCGTGGCACACAGGTAAGACACGCCCTTCCCCCTGCCCATCCACCCCCAACAGACCCACGGCTAACGACAAACGAACAGAACTATACCTGCGCCGACTCCACCTCCAACTCCAAGCCCGAAGCCGTCGGCGCCGTCGCCCGCCTTTACAACGCCACCTGTATCGCAGCCAACTACCCAGACGTGATCCACACGCTACCCGGCCTGGCCTACAAGTTGACCTTGCCCCCGGGCGACGCCGACCCGCTGCCCCCCGCGAACATCGACCTCCTGGGCTACCACTTCTTCGAGAGCAAGGTCCCTATCTTTGACCTGGACACCACGGTCTCCAGGAAGTTTGGCGTCGCACGGACGAAGAAGGTCAGTGATATCGATGCGCCGTCGGACGCGATCCAGGGAGAAAACGGAGCGGTTGCGTGGCTCTACCTCGAGACGGTCGATGGCACAATCGGGGGTTACTCGGGCGTCTATCGCGTGGACACTGTTGGGGGGTCCGCCCCTAAGACCTGTGAGGGGATGGAGTCCTCGTTCACTGTGCAGTATGCGGCGAACTACTATCTTTATAAATCTTGATGGGTTCGGTTGTTCCTTTGATTCTTGGCTGGGATGTCTTTCTTTTTCTTTTCTGTCAATTTTGCATAGTTTCGGTGTTATAGGGATGTTGTTTAGAAGCATTGCACAGTTTACGAGCCATACAGGATTCTGAATTACCATTGACTTGCCATGTAGGTGCCTTATAGTACTTAGCATGCCATAGAAATACCTCTCAGAGCCTGAGGTATCTCCCTGTAGATCAGTCCTGCACTCCCATTGGACGAGGGCTTGCACATATCAGGTGACCTCGCTATGAGCGGCGACCCACGTGACCAGCCGGAGTGCCCACAGGCCCGATCCCCAAAGCGGCCTAGCGCGGTCTTGATTTTCAGAGAATCCAAAGGCTCTGCGAGAAAATTCTCGACCGCCAAAAAAAAAAAAAAGAGAGAAAAGTCCCCGACAAGCAGCACGGCCTCGACCTCGAATCATCGCCAACGAGTCCTTCTCTTTTCTCTTCCCTAGTCCGTTTGTTCCAATCTTCACGAGATTGGCGATTTCGACAGGGTCCGACCTTTTCGACTCCGATTCTTTTCATCCGTCGAACCTCCTGTGTGGTGCTTAGCATCCCAGTCCTACGTTTTTTCCGATCGATTTCGAAAGAATAATATCATCTCACACAATGGCTTTCGGACCCCCTAGAGGCGGACGTGGCGGTGGCCGTGGTGCTCCCCGTGGTGGCGGTGGTGGTCGAGGTTGGTTTTTGTCTATTTTTTTTTTGTTGCATCCCTGGGCGTTGAAATCATCGTGACGCCCAACGTGGTTTGAATCGGTTGTGGATGTTTGCGATGCCCTATGTCTTTGACCAGATTCTTCTACATGGGTGGATATCGTTGGCTCGTCCTGCGATATTGGTAGAGACAGATCGGCTAACTCGTTGACTGCAGGTGGCTTTGGAGGTGGTGCTCCCCGTGGCCGTGGTGGCTTTGGGGGTGGTGGCCGTGGTGCCCCTCGTGGTGGCCGTGGTGCTCCCCGTGGTGGCCGCGGTGCTCCCCGTGGTGGCCGTGGTGGTGGTAAGCCCGGTGCCCGTGGTGGTGCCAAGGTGGTTGTTGTAAGTAGTCCCACACATCTGACTCGATGGAGGAGAAATCAAGATAAAGCAAGGGCGAAATTTGATGGATGAAAGAAACTGACATGTCTGCTCTACAGGAACCCCACCGTCACGCTGGTGTCTTCGTCGCCCACACCGGCAAGGAAGATCTGCTGGTCACCAAGAACCTGACTCCCGGTGAGGCCGTCTACGGCGAGAAGCGTATCTCGGTCGAGGGTCCCGCCGGCGACGAGGGCGCTGTGACCAAGACCGAGTACCGCGTGTGGAACCCCTTCCGCTCCAAGCTGGCGGCCGGTATCCTGGGTGGTCTGGACGACATCTACATGCGCCCGGGCTCCAAGGTGCTGTACCTGGGTTCCGCCAGCGGTACCTCGGTCAGCCACGTCGCGGACCTGGTCGGTCCCACCGGTAACGTCTACGCCGTCGAGTTCTCGCACCGCTCCGGCCGTGACCTGATCGGCATGGCTACGCACCGCACCAACGTCATCCCCATCGTCGACGACGCCAGACACCCGCTCCGCTACCGCATGCTCGTGCCCATGGTCGATGTCATCTTCGCGGACGTTGCCCAGCCCGATCAGGCCCGTATCGTCGGCCTGAACGCCCACATGTTCCTCAAGGCCGAGGGCGGTGTCATCGTCAGTATCAAGGCCAACTGTATCGACAGTACCGCCAAGCCCGAGGTCGTCTTCGCCCGTGAGGTCCAGAAGATGAGAGACGAGAAGATCAAGCCCCGGGAGCAGTTGACTCTGGAGCCCTTCGAGCGTGACCACTGTATAGTGTCGGGTCTGTACAAGCGTTCTGGATGAAAAGCTATTTGACGTTTCCTAATTTGGTTTTGTTTTATTTTTTTTTTTTCTTCTCTCTTTTTTTATCCTGGCGTCGAGTGTTTGTGATATGCCGAAATGTTTTATTTACTTTATGCTTCTTTCCTTTAATCTCTGTGTCGAGGTTTCTTACCTGTATTTTTGGTTTGAATCGAGAAAGTTAGACTGGGATTTAGTTTGTAAGTTGTTGTAGACACTAGTCAGGAATGTAGAGCAAGTTTTGCTGGCACCAGTTGATGATGGATAGCCATAACTGGGCTATTCCCGGAGTAACATCTACTTCACCTCATATGCAGGGAGGAGAGAAGTCAAGGTCTGACTAGGTCTCATTCAATATCTACTCCACGTCTACTTAATAAACAAGTCCACACGAGAAATAAACGCAGGCTCAATCCAACCAAGCCATCCGCATCAACTATTATCGTATATAGACAGCAATAACGCACCTAAGTCCTCCAAGTGATAACAACTTGGATAAATCCACCAGACAGAGTAACGGGGCTCTGGGTGTACCACCTCAATAGGACAAACTAACCATCGCAGCCCATAATATACCCGTCCTGTCCTGGAGCTATGTGTTGAGTGTAGTCCCGTACTCTACTTGGTCTATTTAATTGCTACTACTGTATGAAATCCAAGCATATATGATTAATTAAACTCTATCATCTACAGACTACTCCGATACACACCACATGGCATGACCCTGAAATCAAGTACGCTGAGAGCCACTCTCATTTAATACCAGCTACTTCCAAAACGTGCGGGAGCAGTTGGACATGCTTGTTCCTTGATATCAAGTCGCTGCACGTACAGGTGGCGCTCAATCTTTCGGAATTATCCATCTCGTCATGACATCTCCCTTGGGTACTGACCATCCTGGAAGTCGTGGTGGAGCTTCCTAATTTTCATGCTGTCGACACCCCATGCACAACCGGGGTGGTTTGCTTTGCATGTAGTATAAACCGATACAGTCACTATCCCGAGCCGCGGCCGGCTTAGAACATGGCAGAGTTGATCGCTGTACCGACTAGCCGACTCATTTTCTAGTGTTCTCATAACTAGAGGCGAGATGTTAATCTGGTGCGTTTCATCCACATCATTAGATCACCGGGACTGTAGTTCCTGAAGATCACTAATCGGTAGTTTCAAGCCACAGCCACCGTCGTCATCAGTTCTGATAGTAAACTATCGACATAATTTAATCCGGTTGCAACAAAACGAAGAAGTCCGAAAGAGAAGGAAGGAGGAGTGGAGCACTGACTAATCGCTCATCATGTGACAGGCACGGCGATGATGACATCGGATCCGGCAGCTTCTCCGCCATCGCGACTGCCCTTTTTTTACTTTTGCCCCCCCTCTCCTTCCCCTGCTCTACCTCGGTCCATCCAAGAGCATCCATGCGATCCGTTTTACCGGCTTCTTCCAAACTTGCATTACGACCTTTTTCATCGTCGAGATATCTTCTTCGTGCTCACTCGCCCTCAACTTGGACTCGTCCTAGACCGAACGCCCCTCTTGGTTTCGTTCCCCGCTCTGTCTTACCTTACCACGCCACCAGAAGAACTATGGCGTCCGCGACGACTTTTTACGACTTTGAGCCTGTCGATAGTAAGTCTTTTCCCTCTATCCAACATGCCTTCAACCAACGGCAGTCAAAAAGGAAAACAGATAAGAATATGGAATAATGCTAACATAACTTTTAGAAAAGGGCTCCCCCTTCCCTCTCACCCCCCTCAAAGGCAAAGTCATCCTCGTCGTCAACACTGCCTCCAAATGTGGCTTCACCCCTCAGTTTAAGGGCCTCGAGACCCTCTACCAGACCATCAAGGAGAAGTACCCCGAGGACTTCACCATCATCGGCTTCCCCTGCAACCAGTTCGGCAGCCAGGACCCGGGCTCCAACGACGACATCCAGTCCTTCTGTCAGGTCAACTACGGCGTCACCTTCCCCGTGCTGGGCAAGCTCGACGTCAACGGCGAAGAGGCCGCGCCCCTGTGGACTTGGATGAAGGAGCAGCAGCCTGGCCTGATGGGCCTCAAGCGCATCAAGTGGAACTTTGAGAAGTTCCTCATCTCCCCTGACGGGAAGGTCGTCGGGCGCTGGGCTAGCGTTACCAAGCCCGAGTCGCTGGAGCAGACCATCCTAGCTGAGATTGAGAAGTCTAAGAAGGCGGGGTTGCTGGCGTCGCAGCAGGCTCAGGGTGGTGGTGAACAGGCGAAGTTGTCGTAAGCGTGTGCTGGGTTGATTTTGATTCTCCTTTTGTCTACTGGTGATACCATGCCTTTTTTTATGTTGTTTCTTTCGTTACGTTGAAACTACGTGTATGTGTGTACGTGTGTACGTGTGTGTGTGTGCATTTGATTTCTTATCCGTGTTATTCATACCAGATTGCAACGCTGCATAGCGTCTGTGTTGTCCGATGGTAATCGTCATAATCGCATCTTAATATATGACACTCTCCGAATCCGCTCCTAGCCCATCTTCAGATATAGTAGACTCCATTCAGGCGGCGCCACCCTTGGGGATCAAATTCCGCAGGGAAAGATCGTACACGACGTCTTCGACTTTTTTGACCTGGACGGGTTTAGCATCTTTCTTCTGTCTCCTTCTGACAATATGACTTACGCTATACTTAATCCCATCACTCCTCTTCCGCAGGATATCATTCTTCAAGTTCAGCAGCTGGAACCCAGAGAACAGATCCTTGATGAATTGGCTGATCTGCAGCGGACGGTCATAGTCGCCGATTGTGACGGAGTTGACAGCGAGGCGGGACTATAGGATTACTTAGTAGCTAGAATATACACAGAAAGTATAAAGAAAGAGAGAGGGAAGGGGGGAACAAACCAGCTCTTCAACCATGGAGATCAGTGCGAGGAGATACTCCTCGATTGTGAGATGGAACGCATCTTGCTCTTTGAGATTGACGGGGACTGTACGTTTAGATCAACGCGATTAGTACCGCACTCACAGCGACAAAGAATGAAAAAAGGAAGGAAAGAAAGAAAGAAAGAAAGAAAGAAAGAACGCACTGTCAAGGAACTTCCCAACCTCCTCAATCGTCAAAAACGACGCTGACCCAGAGCTCTTATACTCCTCTAAACCGCCCAACCACGCGCAGAGCTCGATGGCAGAGACCTACCCGCGGAGCGAGATGGTTAGTTTACAGAATAGAATAGCATAGGCAGAGACAGACCAGATTCTGCAGTTCGCGCGTCCACACCCCGTTGTACTTGTAGAACGGGTGCTTGTCTGCCACGGCCTTCAGCGCTTGGACTTCCTGCTTCTGGGCGAGGATCTCTCTGGTGGCGTCTTCGAGGACGGGTTTTACTGGGTTGGTCAGTATATATTTATATATTGCCTGACTTGTTTGTGTTGGTTTTATTGAATTTGGTGGATTGGGGAGTAGGGGTGAGGTAAGATACATACGCTGGTTCCTGGGCGTGGAGTGAGCTCGCGAGAGGATAGCTTGTGTGGATCTTCCTAGGATGCATCAGTTCTGAACCAATAACTTGCGTGTCTTCTCTTTCTCTCTTCTATCTATCTGCATCACGCCAAAAGCAATGAACTGGATAACTGGGATATGTATACCTCTTCTAGCAAGGGTTTGTACGATATCATGAAGTTCCTAGAGCGTCCCGTCAGTCTTTTTTTCGTGCCTCATCTTCCCGCCGAAGAAGGCTCCGTCTTGGCGGGATTGGAGCGGAGGGGAGGGACTGGACTTACGTCGCGGACGGCGGCCTCCTCGTCGATCTTTGCTTGGAGGTCTTCGAAAATTCTGTTCTCGATCATGGTGGTGGTGTGATGGTTGTAGGAAGAGATTCGATGGTTGGGGTGGGGAGCCTGAGAGAGGTGAGTGGTTGTTGGTTGGAGGTTTGAGAGATGGCGGGCAGAATTGTTGATAGAGCTTCAGATAATGTTATTACACCACATTCTTTGATCCATTGTTTTTTTACTATCACCGTTATTATCATTATACATTGTTACAGTTTTCTGTGTTTGACGAAAGCGATATATTGCTGTAGTCTGATATTAGACATCACTCTCTAACGGCGTCGTCTACTTAGGATATCCTTAAAATGCCGGAAAACTCTACATACACCACTCGGACTACATACACCGTCACTCGGACAAGAAGTAGAACTTGTAGGAGTATGATAGAGGTGTCAGTCCTAGGGATATGGCTATGGGTCGAGTACGGACAGTAGGATTGAACTAAACTATATTCGTAGCTATCCACAAGTCTCTACCCTCGTTGTAAACCAAGGTACAAACCAAATTGCGACGTAGGAGACTACCAAATTACAAACGATTTCTTCTCCAATCAGCTGGATATACCAACCAAGTTGATGAAAAAAAAGGTTCGCGTCGATCGGGAGTAGTGTAAGCCCGATGACACTGTGTGGCCAGACATGCGCAAGCACAGAGGACCGGCCACGGGATCCAAAAATGAGATTAATCAAAGTTGTGTTCAGTTAGAACACTTTCAGAGATTAAACTGAAAAGAACAGATACTACACTTGATCTAAGCCAAAAGGCAAAGAGAGCTGGAGAAGAAAAGAAAAAAGATTAAACGGAGGAGGGGAGGAGGAGGTATTTATACGGTGGCCCAGTTGGTCCGTGCGAGGCTAGTCTGCTAGCGCGGTTCAAGGATGACGGAAGCGAGCGAGATCGACCACTGTCAGGTGATTAGAGACAGCCCTAACTGCAGTCCGGCAGCAACCCTAGCCACTATTCCCGAAAGAGAATCGCTCCCCGAGACTGACTGCCTTGTCTCCACCACGCAGTATCCGTCGTTTTTTTCCCTCTGATCTTCTCCCAGGCGCAGGATACTTACCTCTTTGCGACCATCTATCTATCTATCCCCCATACCAGCCCCTCCTCCCCAATCAGTCGCAATGGCTCCCGCTGTCTCTGTATGTTTCCGTCCCTGAAACCGCTTTGCTGTTCCCCCTGATGGGTAGATCGTGTGTTCTTTTCACCTTCCACTGACCGACTGGAATATGTCGGGTCAGAGGATAGGAAGAAGACACACCGACACCCCGGGGATTCGACATCAAGGAACAGTAGGCTAATTTCAATGTCATGGATGAATAGGCTCGTGGTCGCAAGGCCCAGAAGGTCACCAAGAAGGTATCTATTCAAATCTCTCCACTCTTAACGAGAACAGCCCTAACCAGAGTCACCTGTATAGTTCACCATCAACGCTTCGCAGCCCGTGAGCGACAAGATCTTCGACCTCTCCGCCTTCGAGAAGTTCCTCCACGACCGCATCAAGGTCGAGGGCCGCGTCGGCAACCTCGGCGACAAGATCGTCATCTCCCAGGCTGCCGAGGGCAAGCTTGAGGTCGTTGCTCACATCCCGTTCTCCGGTCGCTACCTCAAGTACCTGTACGTTCGCCCGCCTCCACCTACCTCATCCGGAGGGAAACCACGACTTGTTGAACGAGCCAGTACTAACTATAACCAGGACCAAGAAGTACCTCAAGAAGCAGCAGCTCCGTGACTGGATCCGCGTGGTCTCCACCTCCAAGGGCGTCTACGAGCTCCGCTTCTACAACGTCGCTTCCGAGGAGGCTGATGAGGAGGAGGAATAGATTATTCGTCTATTTTCGCTTTCTCGTGGGGATTTTAGATACCAAAAATAAATTAAAAAAAACTTAGCAAATGATTTGAAATATATTCAGTTGTTAAATTGGGGTTTTTCATTGTTGCTTAGTGTGTTGTAGGTTCTTATCTTGTAAGCCGTATAGTAATGAGGCTTGTTTGGTGGGGTCTCTTGTTCGAATGCTGAAGTAGTTTGGGATCTTTGGTCATCGTGTGGCTGGGCTAGACACAGTATCTACTATGTGTGATCGCCTTCTTTAAAAAAGGCTGTAACTGTAAGGCAGCCTTTGTGTCTATCTCTGTCCGGTGGTCCTTGTGCTACAGGCGTTATGAACCGAAGACATTTGAATTGATATCAATCGTTCTGCATGCCAAGTGGTCTACCATCATCCTATTCCGTTGGGTATCATAAACGAACTATTATATGCCAAATTCGTGAGAAATCAACCACTACTCCCGCGCTTATGTCCAGCCCCAGGCCCCAGACCACGAACAGGTTCAGAACCCGTCACACCAGGAGGCGGAACGAGGCGGACGCCCTCAATACGCCATCCCTTCGCCCGGAGAGTCTTCCAAGTCTCCGCAGCCTTGACCCTCACCAGATCGCCCGTGGCGACTGCATCCTCCCGGGAGTCGTGGCCTCTGTTTCCACCCGTCTGGATATCCCGATCGAGATATCTCTTGCTGAGGATCTTCAGGCTCGTGCGGAGGGGCAGGCCCCGCGGGTGCGGGTACAGGAGGACCGTGTCGATGATGGTCGGGTGGATGATGCGGCTGGCGTTGAGGTCGTTGTCGATTGCGTGGCCGATGAGCGGGGTGTCGGGCTGGAGGAGCGAGAAGAGGAGGGAGCGTGCGGCTGCGGGCGAGTCGACGACTTGTAGTGGGGCGGACTCTTCCTGCGATGGTGCGGTGCTCCCGTATGGTGCTGCTTTGGTGTAATGCTCGGGGAAGACGCCGGAGAAGCGCGAGTTGAGGTCTAGTACCTCCCCTATGGGCCGTACGAGGACGTCGAGCAGGGGTTTCCCTTCGGGCCAGCTGACGGCTGTTAGGCGGATGAGCTCTAGGCCAAGGGTTGTGTATCCCATTTCGCAGTCGAAGCACACGGGCGACTGGGGGCCTTTGTCTGGTTGTGCTGGGGTCTCGGCGAATTGGAGGACTGATGCGAGGCGTTTGGTTTCCGAGACTTTAAAGACGTGCGAGTTGCCTTTCGTGCAGCCTGAGGAGGTTCCTAATGTCTCGTTGCAGCAGCTGTAGTATGCCTCTCGATGGCCGGTGATGTGGTCGGTTTGTTTCCTTGTGGGATAAAGAGGCTTGCCCGGATGGTAGGTGCATTTGCCCCCCGTGGTGAGTGAGCCGTCCTCGCGACGACCGGGAAACACCTGGAATCGGCCACCGCACCGATCGCATTTCTCCCAGCCCTTGGATTCGATGACGCCCTTCTTGGCGCCCTCGACTTCCTCCTGCGTGGGGGGCCTTGTCACGTAACCGTGGTTTTCTAGGCCATTTAGAGGAGTGATCAGCTGGCTCGCGAGCGCGATCTCCTCGTTGACGGTCATGCCGGTCGTGAAAACTTTGGGCTTCGCTTCTGGTGTCACCGGCGCAAGCTTATAGTATCTCTCATTCAAATGAGCCTTGACTTCTTTGGCCCAGTCCTCCTTGCTCATTTTGGAGAGCTTCACAATCCGAAGCTTGATGACATTGCCGTATACGCTTGCGTTCTCCCGTGCAAACTTCTCTTCTTCGTCCAACGCCATGATGACCAGTTCGTTGGGGGTTAGAACCAGGTGTTTCTCGGTGTTGTCTTTGTCTTTGGCCACTTTGTTGTTCAGGGCAGCCATCGCGCCATGCAGCTTGGTCAGGATAGACAGCCGCACGCCGTGCGTGGCTGGCGTTTTGGGAATCATCCGGGGGTTCAGACTTTCTCTAGGAGCTCGTCTCGGCGGGAGACGAGATTCTGATGGCTCTGGTCTGGAAGGGACCGCTGTCGCTTGTGTCGACACTGGTCTTGAAGGCGGCGGCGTAACTGCTCGGGACATTGATTGAATCTTCGAGGGTCCTTGGCTTGCAGACTTAGCCTTAGCATCGTTGCCACTAGCCACCGCTGGTGTATCTCTCGGTATGCTAGATTCGCTTTTCGGGACCGGTGACGGCCGCTCCTTCGGCGCATGTCTTGGCTGCTCTTTTTGAGAAAGACCACCACTCTGGGTAACCCTTGCATCTAGCTTGGGTTTCTTCCGAGCTGGAACCTCCGCCGCCGTCTCATCATTCTGCACGAGTTGTGAATCGTCCGCCGCGGAGGGCTCATCAAAGGGAGTGTCGACACCCTTATGAGAGAACATGCATGTCAGGAGAGAACATTGGGAGCCCTCCGGACAAGGGACCTCCTGGAACAGGCCCAAGGTAGCAAACATGGTGATAAGAATAGATATGGTCGTCAATGGTCGTGGGGACAACTGGTGATAGAACAGTAGACACGGTTGAACTAAGTCGGGAGGAGTCACAGCTCATAGCCTTCCTATACCTAGAGTATGTACCCAAATGCTGTAGATACCCAGAAGTGACTGATATCCAACCTGCCAGAGAAGACAGATGTGTCCAAGGCGTTGTGGCTGTTCAGTCCTCAGCTCTGACCACGTGCAGTCCGCTAGAAACTCAGCCGGCAATGGCTCACGCAGAAAGATTAGCCCATCCCAGCCAAATCATACCAACCAGTCTATTGCTTGGTCTTCACTGTCTGAGTGTTCAGGAGTACCATGTTTGGTAGAAAGAAGACAGACGGGGAGATGATCGCAGCCAAGATGTTAAAGTGCAAACACCCCCAAATAACACAAAGTTCTTATCTTATCGTCCGGTCCCGTGGATGCTGAATAATATGATGCCTGATAAGTTAGGCGTCAGTTCCAATGTCGGAATGACGTCCTACTGTTACAGCTGTATATTGCAGGATATAATGTTTTAATTTTGGAATTGTTGGGGATCGCCCATACGTTGATTTTCTCGGGATTGTCTGTACTACGTGCAGTAAAAGTTAAGCAACATGGTAGAGCGTATTGCTCACTAGTGACTTAATTGCTGACATTGGACTCGCCACATGTAGAAGTTCTATGACATGTATGACTGAAGACATCCAATTGATATTTTACCTACGCTCTGACTAGACGGAATGGAATCATCACTTAGGCATCATAATCTCATTATATCATATCTAGTAATTCTTGCCATGCATCCTCTTAGACTAGGAAAACACGAAGAGATCCGAGTTGGAATAAAAACGGTGTCCCCCTCTGCCAAATGTAATTTTTCACCTGAAACGCCACTGGTGGATCCATGCCCTAGTACTCCTCCTATAGAAAAGAACATGCAATTAAGAAAGAAGGATGAAGGAAGAAGGTTGTCCGTCCCTGGGCAAAGACGCCCTCGCAGGGGAATGATCCGAGCCCGAGAACGAGGGGCAATCAGGTATCAGTAAAAAGACCGTGGTGGCAGTAAACCCAGGACCACGAATATACGGCGGGTGGCGAGAAAGGAGGGGAAAAAGGAAGCGTGTGGAGAACTTCGCCGCAAAAGCGCGCCAATCAGTTATAGATGGCACCCGACTGCTCGGTTTTCTCGCCCTCAAATTCCTTGGGGTTCTTCTTGAATTCGCGATCCATGGCGAACTTCACAGCCCCCAGGACGTCGTCGGTGACCTGCTTGGGCGGATAACGCGGCTCCATGCCCTCCTGATAGACGCCGGTCTTGACCAGAATCGAGTACCAGGTGGCGTCGCTGATGCGGTCGAACTCGTTGGTACCGCGGACGTCGGACTCGGGCGTGTCGCCAATGAAATAGACGGTTCCAGGGGGTTTGTTGATCCCGTGAATCTCCTGGCGCCACTGCTGCAAGAGCTTGGTGGCAAACTGGAAAGTACCCAGCTGGGGCTTGCCGAAGGCAGTCGTCGCGAGGTCCTTGCCGGTGATCGTTTTGTAGAGGGCCTCCAGGGAGGCACGGAGCGCACCCATGCCGAGCCGGCAGTGCTCGTGGGACGTAGACCAGACAACATCAGTGTGGGAGAAGAACACGGGAGGTCCCTCTTCGTGGGTCTCAGACCGGGTGCCCAGGTGACCGTTCTTGGTCATGATCACGTCCAGAATAATCTGCTGGTCGCCGGCCCAGTCACGGCTATCGGCGAACACGAAGATGGCGTCGATTTTGGTGTTGGAGAGATCGCGGGCCCGGGAGTTCTCGAACTCGTCGTCGGTCAATTTCCGGAACGGGGTGGTGTCCTGGCGGGTTTTAATGATGTCGCCGGGGGTGATCACGTCCTTGAATCCGTAACCCTCGGCCACGACGCGGCATTTCTCGCCTTCGCCACCGACCACGAGCACGGTGTTGTATCTTTCAACCATTTCTCGCATGGGGGTGTGGCCGCAGATGAACTGGCCGGTGGACACCTCGATTTCGAGTTGACGACTGAGGTCTAAACATCGTTCTTCCTCAGTCTTGCCACCACCATTTGTTAAGAAAATATAGGGACTAGACGGAAAAGTTAGACAATCAATCTAGTTCAGGCCAGGGAGGCAAGGGAAGACATACACTTTCACCCCATAGGGATTCTCTCCATTAATATACTTCAAAGCATCAACCGCCTCCGGAATCGGTTTCCCGCCTCTCATAAGGACGCCATCGATGTCGAACGCAAAGGCAAACTGGTCCGCCGTAGCGACAGGCCGCTTGTCGATGGGCTCAGCATTTGCAACGGGGTTTCCGCCCGAAGACACATTCTTTTGCGGTTGTTGTTTCGTCATTTCCCTTTCGATGGCTGATATTTCGGGGTCGGTGGGAGGTATTAAGTCCTTCGGAGGCACGACGACGTTGGGACCAGTAGGGAGATCGGTCCGACGTATATCCAGACCGGGGACCTGGCTTTCTAATCCGTGGGTGGTCGCCATTGACATGTTGTGGTACAGTTTGAACGAGGGGTGGAGACCGGATAACTGGTTTTGGTAACACTGGTGGGGCCTCTGACGGAGTATTGTGAGGTTGATCGCCACTAGAGTATACTATACTCCGTATCTTCTAGCAAACAAAAGCGCTAGTCGAGAGTTGGTAGAGTTGGGGTTTGTGCGAGACACTGATTATATCTGGGACAGTTGGGAGGAAGAGGGCGGAGATACTGAGAACGCGCGGGGTGACACTGCTGATTATATACGGTTACTCGAAACCGCTGTCACTGTAGTTGCGAATCGACACGTTGGAAGGACGATCAGGGTCGATATCGAATACAAAAGTCAAGTTAAAAAGTTGTCGAAACAGACCAGAAGTACTACACTGAACGTGGAACTAGGGCCCCATTAAATAAAACATGAGAGTCTATGGAGAAGCCACCCGTGGGTCCGTCATTGACGACATCGCGGCTGACGATTCTCGATAATAGAATTCTTATTATTCAGGAAGAGGCCAACCTCATTGCCAGGTTTGGCCAAATATGTCCCTCAGACTGTCAATTCCAACGGCGGATCCACCCCAGGACACGCTGATTTGTTCCCCATTCGGCGGGTCTGGCACTGTCTAGACCGGTTCTGTCGTTACCATTGATATCATAGGCAAGGTTGACACCAACCAGAGATAAGATTAGACGACGAGAAGGAGTTTAAAATGGAAAGTAAAAAGGGACAAATTCTAAAAGAAGCGGTTATTATAACACACTTACATCTCTGGTAAATACAACCTATCTCCTGAAAGACAGAGAAATTCACCTCAACAATGAACCCCAAATCCCGTATAACAAGTACGAAGCAAGGAGAGATCAAGTCGCCATTATGACGTCATCGCCACAGTGTTCGGTTGCCGAAACACACCACTGCGTACCGATCAACCCCCGGCGAATCACGGACACGAAAGGGGCCACGATGATTAAGACGTCATGATGTAACTGCGGCTTAGCATCTAAACTTAGTCGTCATGATGTTATTGTTATGGTATCCGGTTGTGACTCCGTGCTCGGCCGAGCCGTAGCCAGAACGGGACAGGCTTTTTTGACTCGAAGAGATGGCATCCACACGGGATAATTCGACTTCAAGTCATGAATCATCATCAGGAGAGAAGGCTTAGGGTTGTGAACAGTCGGTTTGAGGAATTATTGGGTTATAGTTGTTTGCCCATATGCTTTCTTTCAATGACTCTCACTCTATATATAATATTAATGATTACCCAGAATCATATCACAGCAGAAATATAGTACACATGAATAGGTAGATAAACACATTAATCCACCCGAAGGATCAAGTCAGATCCTAGTCGAGAAGGCGTAAGATTGCGCTCCACCGGTACTGGTTTCTTCTTCGGCATACAGAAAGGAGTGTCGGTGGAGCGCCGACGGTCAGATGAAGCACGGGAAGCGGGATCCAGCCAGTAGTCGTCAGGAGCGTAAGGGACCGTCAAGGTGGGGGGTTGCGGTCTGCCGCGATGGATCTCCACTCTCTTGATGTCGTCGCCTCGCACAATTCGAGGCCGGGACACTATCTCTCGCACCGGGCTGACGGCTCGAGAAGGTGGAATCTGGGGATACATCCCCAGTTGTGGGGCAGGGTGGACATTATCCCGCTGCCCTGTTTTCTGCATATCGCCGACTGGTGTGCGAACCTCTCTCACGGGACTGAGAGACGTGAATCCGCCGGAGTGTCGGGACGCCCGGTGCGACCGTGAGTCCTCGTTGATATCGACGGTTTGAAAAGTGTTGACTGGATCATCCCGGGGGTTGCTGTCCGAGTGATGATTGTAAAATGAACGCCGCTGCGCGTTGCGAGACGAGAGCCGCTCGGTGCCTCTTGCGTACCCGAAATTCGGGTTGTGCCAGTAACTCGCAACATCCTTCTCCCAGCGTTCTATGGGTGAGAGACGGTGTATGTCGGCGCGTCGTGAGGGCTGGATCTTTTCGCCAGCGTTTGCGTATACTGGCTTCTTGCGTGGGTCCCACCCTCTCGGGGTCACCATGCCGTTGTGTGATTTCCCAAAGCCATACAGCATCGCGCGGGGATTGGCCGGCAATCCCATCATCGGAGGACGACCGTATCTAGGACGGCCTCCATTCCTGTAACGTCCTGCTGTACCCGGGAAATTGGGATACTGGTAAAGGCCGCCCACAACACCTCTCGAGCTTGTATCTTCTTCCTCGAACATAGTTTCGCCAGTAGCAGGGTTCAGATGCTTCTGTTGACTCCACCGCAAGGGTTCCGGGCAAAGCCCGTACGCTGGCTTGTCTGGGAGGAGGTCCGAAGCAGTTCGTGGGGAAGACTGAGTCGGTGAAGCACCAAGGTCAGAGGTAGAGGAGTAGGCAAAGCCAATCCGACCTTGGTGGCAGCTTCTTCTATGATGATTGCCATCATCGTCATCGGCTCTCGTGACTATTACTGCCGGATTGTGGTCTGCAGACTCCGGCGGCGACGGCGACACCAATCTTACCGTGTCTGAGTTGGTGTCTCCTGCGTCAGCCATAGGAGTAGGTCCTCTAGGCGTTGGCGAGGGGCGCCTAGGCGGAAGTGAGAAATCCGGAGGCTCGGACATGACCCCACCAATTTCGAAGAAGTCACGGTCCTTGGGCTGTTGGTTCCGACGCCGATATTTGCGGCAGCAGAAGAATAACACGACCCCAATTATGAAGAACCCAGATACACCAGAGGCCACGGAAACCCCTATGACTGCCCCCGCATTGAGGTGGTTAGAGCTCGGAGGCGCAGTGTCAGAAGCCGGCTGATCACTGGTCGTGCTAGAAGGATCTTCTTGTGTATTGCTGGCTGAAACAGGACTCTGGAAGCTAGTGACAGATGCGGTTGGCACATTATTCGTCGTCGTTATTCCTTGCCCGGGGGTTTCAGTCTCCGGGTTCAATGTACTTGTCGAACCGCTAATTATGCTCGTCGGTGGACTAGGATCGCTCGATATTGTGGATACGACCGTGGCGGTGATGGTGGCATGTGTCCGTGGGAGGGCTCCAGTAATCGAGTCACAAAGGGAATAGACCTTCGAGCCCAGCACAACCTCCATTGAGCACGTCGAAAGACCACATCGCAAGGCTGCCTCCCCCAAAGTGTATCCGCTCACTGTTTTCGCCCTGCACAGACATCCTAGATCCCACGCCCCGGGGCAGTCACTTTTTTGATAATCGGATGCAATGAACGCCTCGACACACTGTAACGCGCAGTTCGGGATGGTTTCGAAGTATGTGGGTTTCGACGCCGTACTTTGCACTATTTGACCTGGTCTAGCCAGGCATAGTGGAATGAGAGAGAGGACTGCTATGACCACCCAGTACATATCGGGTAGTAGCATATTGCGGCTACTTGCGAACGCCTCATTAGCGCATTGATACCTTCATAGCCAACGCGGATGAAAGTCGCTGTCAAACGCAACGCACCGAAGTAAATTGAAACAAAAGCGTCTCATAGCCCGCTGCAATATCGGATCTGCACATGGCCCCAATAATCATAAGAGCGTATAACAGACCATTTCCCTAGGAAATGCGAAAATGAAAGACGCGGGGAAGAGGTTCAAGAATCACAGTCGTCGATTGAAGTTGTCCAGAAAACTATGTAACAAGTAATAAGACGGAGAAGGAATCATTCTGAAGAATGGCGCGAGAATCATCTCGCAATTAAGCAATCAAAACCCATCCCCGCGGACTTCATCGGGTCATAGTCCGGCGTCAAGACGCAGATCCCCCTTCCACGACCGTGAGATTGACTGGCTTGGGCCTGCACAAGCGGCCATTTCGGATGAAGATGATGAAATCTTACGCCCTATAGGCGCCTTGATGAAACACTCGGGCATCGCGCCCAGTGGTGACGAGGTGGTCACCACTAACCGAGCGTGAAGGTGGTAGGCGCCCTCTCACGGTTGGATAAAGAGGAGTCGAGATACGCGCCGTGTTGGCGCCGACGCGAAGCAAACCGATGTAGGACACCCCAAGTCAGCTGACCAAGGTCGGGGTCTGGGCGCTTCTGGCCCGGAACATTGACGAGCTTATTTAATTGCAGCGCGATTGACGATCTGTCGCCTACTTCGTCTGTGGGGGGTTTTGTATACATGGATAGCGTTGAACAGTTGGCAGATTGGGTTGGAATTAACCCCCCCATAATATAGTGTCAATGAATCAGAATTTGCTACGTTGGCAGGAACTACTCTATTCTTAGAAAGTAGAGTTTCCACAGCATCTGGCCTGATAAACCAGGCAATTCATTGTTGAAATCACGGGGCTTGTGATATATCAACTCGACCATGATGACACCCCAATTCGTAACACCACACAATGACTCGACACCGCTTTTTACTAACGTCGTCGTTTCCTCACCATCCTCTTCGTCGAGTAGCTTCGGTATAACGACGAGATATTGGAGAAAAATCCTGCGTGAACATGGAGGACAGGAGCAAGAGATGGGAAATGATATTTGCGGCCCGGATGAGCCAGATTGTCCCGGGTATCTTCCTCGGAAACGTCCAAGCGTCATTCAGACGAGAGATGCTACGACAGAACGGTATCAATGCCATGGTTTCACTTACTGATGCTCGATGGGTCTGGTGGAACTCTACGACAAGGGAGGCAGGGATTCCAGCTAGTCGGCATAAGTGGGTTCAATGTGCAGAGTCCTCGACACAGGACCTCCTCGCTCATATGAACAACATCTGCGACTTTATTGACGAAATGATATCGTCCGATCTACCATCAGCGCAGTCGTTGAGCGTCCAACGACGCCAAAGCCATGGGGTAGACGACCATCCGCATGATGCACCTGCAGGAGCGGTACTCATCCACTGCGACCTGGGAGTGTCTCGTTCACCAACAATTATCATCGCCTATCTGATGCGCAAGTATGGCATGAAGCTAGAGCAAACAAGGGCTTTCGTTCAACTGAAACAGAAAGTCAAACCAAGTGCTAACTTCATCCGGCAACTGCAAATCTGGGAAGCGCTGGACTATCAAGTTTGGGAAGATGAGGAGCGAACCATTCCCAAAGCGCTATATCAAGCATTTCTCAACGACCGGGCGGTTCTTCTGCATAAAAGGGGCCTGACCGGGAATGAGCCACTCGCACCTACCAATCTTTAGTCCGGTCACAAGGGGATCGATCGATTGCCCGGACGAGCTTCCATTTCAGAGCTCCTTACCCCACTCGTCACTGTTGTTTTCAAGCGCTCCTCAACTGCATTTGTTCTTTCTTCGTCTTTCAACACGGTGTTTCGGTTGCTTCTCATCATACATTATCATATTTTCATTCGCTGGTATTCTACTTGATGGGGTCCCGGGACATAAGACGCACGGTCTTTGAGTTCGCCCGCCGAGGCACGAGCTCGTCTGAAATCAGTACTCTACGGTTTGCTGATCCTTCCGTGGAAACTACATCAGCCCCCCGTTACGTCAAATGGGACTCGACCGCGAGACCAAATGCTGCCGCGAACGATTCGGATCACGGACTATTAAACAATAAAGTTGCAGCCCCACACTACATGGCGCACCTGGAGAATGTATACGGAGATAATCTGCCAGATGAATGGGTGGACTCATTGCGCATGACGACCGTCACTAATGTTTCGTTCAGAGTCCAAGGATTAAACTGTTTAATAAGATGACGGGCGGACCTGTTTGCATAGATTATGGATCGCGACTCCAGGCGGCATAGACGGCTTTCCAAATAGATACTGATTGACCGGCGCTTAATGTCCCGTCTCATGTCACACTGCATCTACTATCACAATTAGACATCTACCGAGTTCAATACCGAGTATATGCCTGCGTTGAATACTGCAATAATTCTATGAAATCGGCACAACTCTCCCAACGACTTACGGAGGAATATCAATAGGCTTCAGACAAGACAAAGCATTGCCAATGCCATAACCCAGTTAAGAAGTTTTCCCAGAGATAAAGATCATAATTAAGGATAAAGACTACTTAAAAAAAAAAAACAGAGCCCAGGACCACAGTTGAGCTGGTATCATCCGGAACAAAAAAGACAAAAGAATCCAGCATAAGGACATAATAATCATAACAGAAAACAGTCAAGGCATAGGAAACAATCAATCAATCCCAACTCCATCGCAATGACAACACAGCGAAGCCAGAGACCACGTCGCTGACCTTCACGCAACCAAACTATCCAATGGGGGTCGCCGCCAAGTGGCGCGGCTGCATTTGGCTAGACTCGGGTGGGTCGACCATCATTCCACGGGAAAGTAGGTACTGCTGACACACATCACCGTTCCCTCCCGTTGAATTGGAAGTCCGAAAGACGGCCGACAGATTTTCCACTGAAGAAAAAAATCAATGGATCGATCGATCGAATTGATGGACCCGAATTGGCTGGCGGTGGTCGCGGGCGGTCGGATGGAAAAGAGGTTGAAAGCGGGTCTAATATTTAAAGATAATGTACCTGAAGGAAGTATTAGCGATTGCCACTTGAGCGTAGACGTAGACACATGAGGTCGTAGGGAAGGAATGGTAAAAAACATACAGAGCGTGGATGATACCGGGAATCCAGCCCAGGATGGTCAAACAGATGTTGATGAGGAGATCAGCACCGCAGCCGCGCTCCAGGAAGACACCCAGAGGGGGCAGGATGATCGCAAAGATGATCTTGCAGATGTCACTGTTTCGCGGATTAGCTGTCTGGACAGAAGCACGGGACAGACGCCCATCGGAGCGAGATGTTGGAGAGAATACTCACGAGGCGGTGAAAGGCATGGTGATCGGATGTGTCTTTGAGACAGATGAATTAAAGATAGATTGTTGGTTATTGGTTTGATTCTAAGTTGGAGAGATGGGAGAACGATAAAATACAGTAGTAAAGAGTAAAAGAAATCAGGAGAAAAGACGGGAGAGAATCGGCGGGCTCTTTAACTGTTTTTAAATCAAGGGCGGCAACTCCTAATCCACCAGAGAGAAATCATGGCACGGCTGTTTGTACCTCTCTCTAGCCCCGATAATAATAACCACCACCTACTAATTTGCCATTAATTCTACTAAAGAAATAATATTTATGGAACCCGAGAACAGGCTCAGCGAGTAATGATGCGCATTCCTCCCCATACACAGCCAAGATGGTTAATTCATTTAGGTCAGGAGAATCATGCTTTCAATGGATTGACCAGACGCGACGTCATGGATCCACACAACCCTGTGGCTCATGCGTGATGCGCATCTTTTGATTGGCGTAACGCCACTAATGAACATCATTATTCTGGGATTTCCCGCTGCCTAGACTTTTTTTTCGCATCCCGGCTTGAAGACTTGGTTGATACGGCGACACCATCGGCTGACTTTGCGTCGTCGTCGTTCATACGTGGGCATGCATCTTTCTATCCCCAGTTGACTGAAAGGTGAGAAAAGACACAGCCTCGGCTGCAAGGGATTGTCAGGCTGTCTTTTCTTTCCTCATTTCCTGGTCCCGCTGTCATGTCACCTTCTGTCAGTGAACAGTTTGCTTTATCCTGTTGCCTGGGATTGAGGCTTGGCAACTCAGGGGGTTCGAACTTCGGTGGCTATGGGAGTTGTTTCTCTCCCAGGTTACCATAATTTTTATTGGGAAGTTAGTTCCAACATGCATGTGCCTACTATAGATAAACTGAAGTCCACAGCTCCGAGGCTGACTCCATATCGAATAACAGCCAGATGGGGCGCAGTGGTGGGCCAAGAGTAGCCCTACAGCCCTATCTGCCTGGACTAATGCTGAAAATAATTCCCAGTACGCGCCAGGACCTTGAGAGGGGCGAACGGAACATTATTTGCCCCTGCTCTTTCCCTGGGAAACGGGGTTCCAACCAATCTCTTTCTTGTCGAGGTAAGGTACTTGAAGTCTCGAAATTACGCTCCCAGGTACGTCATTACTGCCAGACCTGGATAGTGTCGTCTAATCTGGCAACGTCCATGTCTATCCCAAGGTAGTGGTTTTCAAATCATCTATTCTACCAAATAGAAATGAACTATTTCTATTACAGCTACAAAAAGTGTATCAGAATGAACTAGACGGAGTCGACGTAGATGTGGGTTGGGTATACATTTTACGATATTTGTCTACAATCAACAAAGCTGAGATGGAGTAGTGTGACTGCCTAGGCGTAAGGTACATTATTCTGCACCAAAACAATCCCATCACAAGACCCCTGCAAGTTGATATCATAAGTACTTCATCATCGTCCAATTCCTCAGGATCATCTAGAGTCAAACCTCAGGAATGCTGGGGCTCAGAGCCAATGACCGAGATGTCACTGACTCCAGGTCTTGGCACCGACCGTCAAAAATGTCATCCTCCGCGAATCTGATCGCGCAAAACACCGCCCTCCCCTCTGTGAACCGCCACAAATTAGCCTGGCGATCTGGGTCAATTGGACCCATTTCTATCAACCCGATCAGTGTGGCCTCCATGCGCACATGTCGATGAAATTCGGGCTTGCCCCGGTCGCCGTGCCCACGCGGGCCACCCAGCCCTTCCGCTGGGTGTCTGGCTGTCGCTCTTTACACATCGACGCCCGGTCTCTTCGGCGAGCTCTACCTGTCGCACGGAGAGAGCATCGTCGCCAAATTTCGTCGAACACGGGCGCTCAAGCTTTCGCATACACGTGGCTGACGCAGACCCCTGAAAGTATAGTAAGCGTCTCGCGTCTTCAACAGCCGGAGCGACTGGCTAACCGTCCAAGAGACTCCCGAAGATATCTTATCTGTATCTAGCCTACCTTTACCTCCCAAATCGCTCGCGAGCCCGGTAGCTATTCCCGTCCTTCTGGCAACCCCTGCATTCGCGCAGTGGATCAACACCGAGAATGAGTTCCTCGAAAAATGGGTCAATCACTTATATCGTGACTCCGACGTGGTAGACTCTTCCGGCTCCGTCGACACGGTTGTTGCGCTGGTCGATAAACTTCCCCGACCCTTACCGCGTACCGGAGGAACCAGGGGAAACGACCATGTCGAAAAGGTGACGGAGAGCGAGGGAATGTCCGTTGTTTTTGTGAAGCCAGAACAGATCCAAGGGAAAGCAGCTCCGCCCCGTCGGCTGAGGACTATGGAAGCCGATGAGTCTGCCCTCGTGTTTTCAATCCAACAAACGGAGCCCTCTGTTCCTGAGAGAGTGGTCCATGAAGTCGGACTACGTCTGGCTAATACGATATTCGTCAACGGCAAAGAGAATACGCTGTTCGGGGCACGCTGGGCCTACAACCCGGAAGCGGGCAAGTTTGTATTGGGCCAGTCTATCGACTTGTCGAGCTGCGTTGTTACATCGACGGCGAATGCCATCCAGAGCTCTACGGTACTTCCGTTGCATCCCGTGGGTCAGCGGAGAAGGGTGATATCCAGCATGGGTAATATTCTCCGTCAGATATCGAAGCACACCGACAGCCAATCGACCACTCCGATGCCCGCGTCGTCTGAACTGGAGACAGAGCTTCCTCGCTACATTGCGGAAAACAATATCCTCGACCAGAGAGTCTCTGTCTGGGCCCTGGTCGAGGCTCCTGGTGGGGATTCGCCTACCCCGGATGGATCCCAGGAGCCCCTCACCCGGGCTATCCGGACGGGCGGTAAACTTCACCGTGTCATGAGCGGAGGAGGCGGGTGGGGAAAGAAACAGGGCCTTCTGTCACTTGACTATGAGACTAGCTTTTTGGACTCGAGTGAGACGCGTGGGCTCTGCACGATCGATCGTGTGTTTTCCGGCGATAGCCTGGCATCCGAGATAGAACTGCCGTCGTTCGGTCAAGGTGCCATGATCGATGATCTATCCGAGCTTTCCCAGGTCGCCAAGGCTGGGGATTATATCCAGTTTTTCGTCTCTGTGGACGCCGATCATTCGCAGGGCGGCTTAGACACGGCGACGTCTCAAGATGCTGTTTCGTATCAGTTCGGTGTTGTGTCCGACAGTGAAGATCCAGCCGTGCAGGCTGGCGGTGAACTGCCAAAAGACTTGACACTCATCCCTCAGCAATTTGGCGCGCTGTCTGAGAAGGCAATCACCTATCTCCAGCCTGTTGTTCGGGCCGAGCTATGTCAGAGCGAGGAGGGACTGGGAGGAGTAGAGGAGTCTCGGACGAAGTTGGATATTCCGGGGACTCGTGTTGGATTAATACTGGAATAGGCCTGCAAGGCTACTTATAGTGTATGAATAGACATGTAACATACGACACGCATGCAAATCCAACCTTAGAAACTCAGTAAAATGTTGAATACGTTGTGACGAGAGATGGTTATATGAGGCACGGGACGACGCCAAGCCGGGATCACGTGGGCGGCCGTGCTTCAGCCGCGAAGCAACAACACCCTTTGCGTCTTCGCCTCAACTCTCACCTCCAGTCTCGTCCTCAGAAGCTCTCGCATCATCGCAACCCTTTGTCTACCTGGGTGAACCTGCCCATTGTCCGCCTTTCTTAACTATTTCCTTTCTAAGATCCTCTATTTCGATTCCTTCGGGTCCACCTAACCCTCCAAAATGGCCACCGAACTTTGGTACGTAATCCCTCCGACCGGACTCCTTTTCCCAGACCCTGGGCTGTCATGCCGGGGTTATACCTCAACGTGACTCGTGTGGCCTTTTAAAGATTCGTGTGCTAATTTCTGCTCTCCGATAGCCCTGTCTATGCGGTGAGTACCACTGTCCCATGTCCACGATAGCAAAGCTCTGCACAGTCCCGACGGATCGGCTTCGTCCTCGTGTCGATGCACTCCACCACTCGGTTATGTTTTCGGGAATCATCTCTAATGGTCGTTACGTTGATAGCCCTTCTTTGGCGCGCTGGGTTGCACCTCCGCTATCGTGTTCACCTGCTTCGGTGCCGCCTATGGAACCGCTAAGGCCGGTGTCGGTGTCTGCGGCATGGCTGTCCTGCGGCCCGACCTGATCGTCAAGAGTACGTCACAAGCTTCTCAACAGATTGAAAGGAGTCTTGTGGTGGATATGAATGTGCTGACTCCGTGTGAATCACAGACATCGTCCCCATTGTCATGGCGGGTATCATCGGTATCTACGGGCTGGTCGTGTCGGTCCTGATCGCGAACGACCTGAACCAGAAGGTCCCGTTGTACACTGGTTTCATCCAGCTTGGAGCTGGTCTTGCCGTCGGTCTGGCTGGTCTGGCCGCTGGGTATGTGCTACCACGTCTTATTGGAAAAGGTTGAGGCTAATTTGGTTTAACAGCTTTGCCATCGGTATCGTCGGTGACGCTGGTGTCCGTGGAACTGCCCAGCAACCCAGACTCTACGTCGGCATGATTCTGATTCTCATTTTCGCTGAAGTCTTGGGTGAGTCATTTCTCTAAACACACCTCCGCTACTGTGTCTGATTTCCCCGCTAACCTCGGTTACCCCAGGTCTGTACGGTCTCATCGTTGCCCTGCTCATGAACTCTCGCTCGAGCATCGACGTCTCCTGCTAAGGAGCCGATCGCCCCACTGAAATTGACGTACGCACAAACCGCCAAGCGAGAGACTAAATTCTAGCCTACTCTCTTCTTTTGTACTGGGTACAACTGGAAAAAATCGCAATTGCCGAAGATCCCGAGCGCGCATCCGCTATTCTTGGGCTTTGACAGACGAGTTGGATGAGTTGGATGGGCTGCTAGGGCAGGATGTTATAATCGAGCAAGAACATATACGGACGGCACTACCCAGTGATGTAGCATTAGCTTTGAAGCAGTGGAGGAGGTGTTGTGTTAAGAGTAAACAGCATCTTACGGGTAGTGTGTTTACGCTGGGCTGTATTCTACGAATGTTCGCAGTGGTCCTAGTTAGGATCGCTACTTTGCAATGTTGAATGGTCACCTTTTTCCTCTTTTCCGGCTTCTTTTATCATTGTCGTCCTGCCTGCCTGTTTGTATCTTTTACTCTTTTCTGATTTGTAAAACTGCCTACTGCCTACCTAGCAACTACTAAGTACTTGACTGTATCTCCTGCCTACCCAACACCGCAGAGAGTCCGATCAAATCCCCATTTACAAGAGATCTAGTCTTAGCAACGCCTCGTCAAGAGCAAAGTAAACAATAGCTGAGTGAATAGAGATGAAATACTAAAGACGAAAGATACTTGAAGAATGGGGATATGTGAATAATATTGTCTATGAGCGGACTATGCGAGAGAAACTATGCAGTACGGGGGACAAAAAAAAAAAGTCAAAGTAAAGCCAAACACCACAAAGCTTAACTAGCGAATCAAAGAAAAATAAGGATCCTTTATGTGGAAAAGGAAGAAAATATAATGGAAGGAAAGAGGAGGATTCCAAATCTCATATATGAAATACTGTGGAGCTGTGGTGCATTGGCGAACAAGACTGGTAGAGGATAAAAGAGAGAGAAAGAAAGGCTAGACACAGTGTCAATCAAGACATACAAACAGTATATCTCACGATCAAGCCTTATCGAGCTTCCGTCTCAGGGTCCTCGTCCGCCGCAGCAGCTTCTTGAACTTGTGCTTCTTCATCTTCGCCAAGCGCCGTCTCCGGGTGCTGATGGCGTGCATGGTGCGGTTGTTGCGCGAGCGCTCGACGTAAGTCGCGCCGGGGTTGCTGTGCGGGGCGTCGATGACGGCGTTGGACTCGTCGGCGGCGCCGGGGGCGTCCATTTCCGGGGAGCGGACGAACGGGCCCGTGTGAGCCTGGTAGGTCTTGCGGCCCTGGGCGTCCGTGGACTCGTGGATGGTCAGGACAGCCGAGTAGCTGTTGTTGTCCGGATCGGCGGTGGTGGCAGCGGCGGCGTCGGCGTCGGCGGCGGCCTTGGCCTCGTCGAACGGCACGGGGGCCGGAGGCGGGTTGAACGGGCGGAAGCGCTTGGCGAGATCCTCCACGGAGACCTTCAGGTCAGCCATGTTAAGGCTGCTGTCGGGGTGGTGGTCCATCTCGAAGTGGTTGCCCAGGGCGCTGCCTTCTTGCTCGCCGAGCTGGTGGGCTGAGCTCTCCATGGTGTCTGCGGCGGCGGATAGCGTGAAGATCACGTCGTCCGCTTCCTGCTTGGTGGGCTTCTTCGCTGTGAAGATAGCGTTGAAGGCTTCGGCGGTGGAGGTCGGGGGGACGGTGGTCGAGACGGAGATGGGGCGATGGATGGAGAAGAACGACGCCACATGGACATCTGCGAAAGAAAGAATATAGTTAGCTTGGGCGAACCTTGGGTGTCTGAAGAGGGAGGTATCGTCCTGAACTCACCATGAGGCTGCAGGTGCTGCGTCGAGGGAACGCTGGGCAGGTTGGAAAACGCTGACGGCTGGTTCGACTTGGGACCGTTGCGGCCGTTGTCCTTCCCACGGCGTTTCGAGGCTTTCCCTTCACGCTTCTCCCCCGAGTTGACACCCTTCGTAGGAGCCTGAGACGAGGCCTCTACCCGTCGGGAGCCATCGCTAGGTTTCGAGGAGGAAGACGAGTACCGGCGCTGACGCACATGTTGAGTGGCGCCGAGAAGACCGTTGGAGGAGGTTGACAAAGTCTGAGTGGAAGAGCGAGAGATGCCGGAGATGGGCGCAAGAGGCGTCCATGCCACGCGGCGCAACGAGGAGGATAGCATTTTGGTCAGTGTCGTCAAGCCCAAGAGCTAGGCCGATGTTGTTCGGAAGAAAGCCGGGTAGAATCGCCAGAGGCGAAATGAAGTCAAACTGATCAGGCGGAATCGCCGATTAGGTAAGGCGGATGATCTTGCCCGGTCACGTGGCGCGTGGCGCATCGTACCTGGTTGACGGCCTCAGGCAAGAAACTGTGACAGCCTTAGGCATATGTCGGATCTGCAAACCGTATACTTCAGTCTTCGGAGATTTTGAAGTTATATATTCTTGATTTTCTGCAGTACCTCTGCTTTTTGTAAGTAAACGTATACATAATCAGACTATTTATGATATGGTCACTTATCAGTCAGTTTTAAGAATAGACTTGGTGAGAGCACGCTTATAAGGGAAAGAGTTTGTGGTCTAGAGTAAAGCAAATATATTCCCTGTTGTCAATAAATTACCGTGCCCCTTTCTCAATGTACAGGAGTTTATTCAAAAGGTCAATATGGCTCATACTCAGCCCTTTCCTCATCAGTCTCAACCAATTGCTCCAATATCTGACCTTTGACTTCCGCGAGAGCAGCTTTGCAATCACCGTACCGCTCATGCTCGATGAAGCCTTTGTCTGGCCATAGATCACCCATTCTCTCCTTGACCTCCTTCATACCACTGCATCTTCACTATCCGGTTTGATGCGTTGAAGATCTGCCTCCGAAAAGTGAAAGGGGAATGGGCTGTCATGAGTAACGGCAGGTACCTCTGCCCACGAGTCCTTCAGATCGACCAGAAAAGTCTGAAAGTGCGCCTCGCCATATTCAAACACTCGGTGGGCAAGAAAGATCAGTCCATATGCTGCTGTTTCTCGGTATTTAATAACTTAATACAGATCCGGGTTTTAGCTTGCATGAGTTTCCGCCATCCAATGAATAGGTTTTGGACGGCATACTCATGTACAGAGATGAAATATGACAAGACTGCCATTCGATAAACCCGTAATCTTTCCGGGATTCTGTGGGTCTATAAAGATATTATCATCATGTAAATCATCATGTCAGAGATAGGGACTAAAGATAGCTCGATTCTTTGGCAAAAGAGAATTGATGGCTTGTTGATACCATGCTAAAGCGGTGATTATCTTTTCTGTCTGGCTGGTAGAGTTTTGGGGCACAGAATAACGCGATTTGTTTTGGGAGTTTGATATTTTCAACTGCCTTTAACCCTCGCGTCCTGATTGCTTGTAGATATTGTGTTAACGAGGTCCCTGTATTCTTTTTAGTAAAGTAAGGAGCATGGTAATAATATAGATTATGACACACATGGCCCTTTCTCAACATCTAGCACTGGTCGACCTGCATCAAACCAATCCCGGCTTGTAGATGGGCCAATTGTAAACCCAGAATCTCTGACAGACTCGCCAGTATTAGAATAGTAGCTGCCTTCTAGCGGTTGCACGTCTCCCGTGTAGTATAAGCTGCCATAATGTGAGAATGAAACACTCAGCCATTGCTTCTGAAGATGTGTCACAGCAAGAAGCACTTGAAGCCATTGAGGCAGTGCCATTGTGTCCCAAACTCGAGACAGCGGAACCCCTTCAATTTTATCCATAATAATAAATTCAGATCCAAAGAATGCGATTCTGCGTGCGAGTTCCATGTATTTACTTGAGTTGCGGGTGTGTCAAGAACATTTCTGGCCTCAACAACCAGTCATTTTAGTAAGACTTTATTATCAGAACAAGCCTACAAAGTCCATAATAGCAACTTCACTAGCAGTCGTGAAGTGTGGAGCTCCAGCATTCGGATTAGGCACCTTGGCTACAATCTCCCGGCCATTATCCATAGCCATAAGGAATGTTTTGTTAAGCATGCCATCAGGGTACTTCGTGACCGAGATACACCGAGTAGCTCCGACCGAGCCTGCCGCGATACTCGCAAGACTATTCATGTCGAATATGACCTCTCGCTTGCGCATCTGCCTCGTCCATGACGAAAAGATCAGGTAGCACTCTATCACGCCAACATCGGACTGTCGGGAAAATGGAGATTGGTTGTGGATAAATACCAGTGTAGTAATTACTGAGCAAATCGAAAGATGATGGTAATTATGATGATGATGATGATGGCTTGTGGAGGAAAATTGGATAGAAATTATGGGAGACTCAAGGGAAACGAGACAGTCTGCATGGGGCCCTGAATAGGACAGCTTTTGGTGGCTTACTATCAACAAAACGTTTTGATGCGTGTCATGACGAAGGTAGGTATAATAAATACCCCTTTATATCGAGTCCGAGCAAGTTAAACGTAAATATAATATCAATGAGTGTAGTTTCAGAATTACTTTTCGCCGGGTTTTATTGCTCCAAAACCAATCATGAGTATACCAAAGGTGCCAGATTCGATAATAGATTGTTGAAACTTTAAGTTCTTGGCTAGAAGTCAAAGTCTGCGGCCATTTTAATATAGTAATCCGATATGGTGTAACGGCTAGCATCGCTGGTTTTCACTCAGCAGATCGGGGTTCGATTCCCCGTATCGGAGCTTAACTTTTTGTTTTTCTTTGTACTAGGTATCCCGCAAGGTAGATCTACCTCTTGGCAGTTCGTTGCATTTTTTGGGCTAGGATTAACAAGAAAAAAATCATGCTTACCTTCCAATTTTTGAAAGATCCCTTTGAAAGGAAGGTGGTTATGGAAAAATAGCAAAAAGTAAGCTCCGATACGGGGAATCGAACCCCGATCTGCTGAGTGAAAACCAGCGATGCTAGCCGTTACACCATATCGGATTGTTACGATGAATCATGCGTGCTTTTTAGTGTCTTCACCTAAAGAACATCCATACATCGACAATGTGATATAGAGACATTGAACCCTAACGTCAAAGAACGGCAATTTTCCCCTATCCTTCCCTTTTCTTCTTCTGCACTCAATATTCTTTTCTTATTAGGACAGGACCAGTGATCACATTTGCTTCTTTTATATTCATTGGCTCTAATATCAAGCGATTGTTTGACATCTCGGATATCAAGTAAAGCAATAGCTTGGGGTAGATACCCTTGGTAACCAGACGTATCCAGCTGTTATCTCGGCTTTCTTGCGACATACCGCAGTACCATCTCTGCTTTATTTGCCTTCGACTTCATTTGTGGAAAAAGGCTGGGCTACCAAGCTTATATTATTTCAAGATCAACCACCGCACAGATGCCTTAGATTACACCAATTGGTACCTTGTGGACCATCTATCCCTCGCTCGCCACATCATATACCCTTTACAGATTCTACTTCGTGCACCTACAGCTTGCCATGGGAAGGTTTTACTATGGACCGGAATTCGGAATCCCCGTTGAGTCATTGCTCTACACAGAGATAAAAGCGAGCCGATTCAAATCTAAAGGCTCGCTCTTAATACAGCCTCCTATCAACAAGGCATCAGAAGGAGATACCCAACAGGATAATACGATGATTCTATTCTCTGCTGAAGCTCGAATTTGCTCTACGCTTCCGGCTTTAGGTATGCGGACGCAAGATATAGCGGTAGTAACACGACGAAATTTACCACGGCTGTGGCCATGCCGCGAAAACGGACCTATGTGTCTGCCGGCATATCCCCACTTTTGACCCGGGCTTCGACGACATCTTGGTCTCTCAAAATAGGCGTTATTGTTCTACCACAAGCCCCAAAGTCCCAGCCGACCACGGGGGTTGCGATGAAAGTAATACCTCTTGGCAGTTGGAGATTCGAACCCTGGATGAAACTCATGCAAGCCTCATTCTTACCATATGGATGGATCTAGGACCGGGGCTCAGTGTAATAGATCCTCAGTGGAAGTATCGTCTTTTTAATGTACCCCCGTCGCTTTCGGCAAAATACGAAATAGTAGACCCTCGCCTACGGTTCGAGAGGGACTCTGTTCAGGCTAGGTCTTCAAATGCTCTGTCCGAGGACGAGATGTATTACCGGAATATCTCGTTGCTAGAAGGGAAAAGATATCAGACACCTCTCAATCGAGAAAAGAAAACTCCCATGAAAAGGCTCCACTCCACTCTCCCTTTTCTCTCTTTCTTTCTTTCTTTGACTGCTGGTACTAATTTAACTACAACTTTATGCTAAATCCGATAAATCCGAAGGATTTATCATCCCCAAGACCGATAACTAAACTATACCATAAGCGCACAACTAGCAACGCGGTGGCTGACCTCTCTCCATGACAATAATCCGCATTAACCTTAGGATCCACTTCCTAGTTGGAGATAGATAAGATTCAATCAATTTTAATTACGCCTAGACCGGCTTTTCTTCGAGATTTTAGCCGCTGGGACACGGACTTCCGTTCGATCGATCATGTTATTGCATGTCCTCTATCTGATAGCTAAGCGCATGGAATGAATACTATATATCCGGGTAAAAAGATACAAAAGGGATGAAGTTTGAGACGGAAAATCCCAGTGGGTAGATAAGGCTGGAGAGTCGGCGAGGAAATCAATTAACGCAGAGATTAGATTAGTGAGAAAGGTAAAAAGAGAATGGCGAAATCGTCCGGCACATGATTAATGTGTCATGAAGGAAAATCAAATTAATACAAGAGGAGATGGTATCAATCTGCATTATATAGGAAAAATGGAATGAGACCCTCGCTGAACCGAAAGAAACGTAAGGTCACCGGGTACTATGGGCTTTTCATGAGGCGTGCCGAATAAGTAGATGTGTTAGGACCCGACGCCCTTGGGCGGGGACTAGGCACAGAGAAGTGAGAGAGAGAAAGTGGGATATATAAGGTGGTGGTGTGTGGTAGGTCCGAGCGAGCCGAAATGGCATCGTATGGCATGGCATGGCGTGGATATCGCTCGGGGAATGCAATCTAAAGGACGGTAGATTAGAAAAATGAAAGTCGAAGGTTCGTGCTCGTGGAGGTTCTCGTGAAAGCCGATCTTTCCCTGGTGAGGAGGAGCATCTGTCCCCGCTTATAAGATGAGGGTATGAAGGTTTTTCTGGATTATCATGTCCTGCACCGAATCCATGGTTGCTTTCAGCAGGGTTGTATCGGTGGCGTTCGTGTAGTGGACGTAGATTTCGCGATCTGGTATCCGATTGATGCCGCGGAATCGATCGGCGAAGTACCTGGCGGCAGCGTCGAAATCGACATTCGAGCCGTTGTAATCGGGGAAGTGGTTGGATACCGGGGAGACGTCGAGTTTCGCCTTGAAGAGATCGATCTTGTTGAGGAAGAGAATAATAGGTTTCCGCTTGAACCATTCTCCGTTGACTAGAGACTCAAAGAGCATCATGGCTTCGTGCATTTGGTTCTGAGCAGATGGGGTCAGGATGACATTTTCACCAAGCGCATGCGGGATGAACTCACGGCATTTTGGTCTTCTACGAGACACTGATCGTAACCGGACAATGCGACCATGAACAGAAGGCATTGAACGCCCTCGAAACAGTGGATCCACTTCTTCCGCTCAGACCGTTGACCACCAACGTCCATCATTCTGAAATTCATCTGACCCAACTCGAACAGGGTCTCGGTTATTCCTGTTGTCCGTAAACGAGCTTGCAGCATGTCTTGATTGTCGGGAAGCCAGCCCGGTGCGAAGATCCGGTCAAGCGACGTGAAAAAGCTGGGATATGTTAGCACGTGTTGGCTCAATACACCCATATCCTAGCACTTACTAATGCAGGTTGTCATGGAGAGCAAACTCATGCCCCCGAGCGACGGCCTTCTGCACCCCTTGGTCGTCCCACATGCCTATCATAGCGTCGCGCACTTTGAGGTCCGAAAAGGCTTCGTCGCAGCCTACGTCAGGCTCTAGGCTGTCCACTAGATCCGCCAATGGCTAGAGTAGGAATATCCGTTAGCCCAAAATGCTCATTGACGAGGAATCATCAGCCGGCCTACCTGTGTCTTCTCGCTCTCATATTGGATATTCTCCGCGCGTATAATGTCCAACAAGACCTTGAACGCAATTACAAGGTTGGAATAGATTACCGCGCGTGTTTGACGCCGCTCTTCATCAGGAAACCCTCCCGAATGAATGATCCGCATTTGCTTGATGATTGTCGATTTTCCAGACTCTCCAGCACCTGTTGTGTCACAGTCAGTTCCGACACCTTCCATAATCGCCGTGTGATCTAATCCTGATACATACCAAGAAGGAGAATCTTGATGGTCCTGTCCAGGTTCTTTTTATCATTTTTCAAGACCTTTTCAATCCGAGCAGTCCGCTGGAGCGCATCCTTGTCCGTCGTGTCGACGGGTTTCGAGCTCATACACCCCATTTTGAAATACCTGCCCCACGGATACCGGGATTAACTGCATATGATAGTCAGATCTCGATTCTGCTGCCCACATATGTTAAAGATTTAGTGGGAGCCGTCCCCGAAGCGATTGTCTTTGTCTTCGAAGTTGAATCAGGGATACGCTCGGACTGTGTCACTTGACCATCCAAGAACCGGCGCCCGAGACATACAAACAGAGCTATGATCGCAAACACGAGGAGGGGGGCAGAACCACGGAAGCCCCGAAAACAAGACATGAAAGAAAGAAAGACACTTACACCAATGTAATCCGACCAATACCCGGCTCGAATCTGCATCACACGAATACGTTAGTCAGAATAAACCTCTATTGAGGAGTCGCTCATGGCGCAGTAATGCGCATATGGTCTAACATACAGCGCGATATCGGATGAATGGAGACCAAATCGTCGACGCTTTCTAGCTCCCGAGCGCGTCCAGTTTCAAGATCGCTTGACTTCGAATATACCTCCAATGTGTCCTTCAATCGATACCTCGAGTCTTCACCAACGACGCACTCGTTCTGCGTCTTGTAGACCCCCGAAGAGATTCCCTGTCGCAAGAAGCCGCAAAGGTATAAACACGACGAGATTCAAAGCTCCGACTCTGGCCCTCGTGTTCCCAATTCCAACTGAAACGTGCGTTGCCAAGGCGGAGATATTTAGTTTCGGGAGTTCCGGCGTCCTCAGCTGGGCGTTCAGGAGTACTGTTTCGACTTAACCGTGGAGGAGATAATATCGTAGATTATAGCCCCGCGACCCAGCGTGATCCCACTGCGTTCCGAGTTCCGGATCGGTTCTTGGTAGGAGGATAGGAGGGACTGGCGCAAGTCAAATCGAGGGTTCGAGGATGGAGGAGTGCCGACAGCAGCTAGGTCCGCTAAGCGGGGAAGAAAAAGAGGGAGACACCGAGGGTTTGGTATATTAATACCCTGGTCAGCGGTTCATGTCTACCGACCCACCGGGTGAGAACGGGCAAAAGGGTAATAAGGAAAGGGGACAAATGTGGGGGGGTTGATGAGAGAGGGAAGTTAGGAGGAGTCCACCCGAGTGGGATCAGAATAGGGTGTACGTTGGGAGATAATGTTGCGCAATTCACAGGTTATATTCAACCAAGACCGATCGGAGGGGAGGGGGGGTCATGGTGCCAACGCGGGTCGGATGCTAAGAAGTTTTGGGAGTAGTCATCCTGCAGTGGACATTTAGTTCGGGGGGAGGGACTTCGGTACTAAGAACAATTTAATATTGAGGACTCCATACGGCGAAATTGGGTAAAAGATTTCCGAAGAGAAAGATGAGTCTGAGCCAAGGAGGAGAGGCAGAAGCTGGGTTGACCGGGCTGACAGGCCGTAGCTGGTTTAGTGGTCATCTAGCGGGGGAACTAGCAGGCTTCGGAGGTATCTATCTCCAAAGTAACCTACCTCTTTGGTCATAGAGTCGATGGGGAATGGGTGTGGAATGTTCATTTGAGTGGTCCAGCAGAGGTAGCGGATCCACCGGGAGAGGGTCCATTCATCTTTCATGGTTAGTTCTCCATTCCTTCTGGTTTCTGGGCCTGTCTGGAGCTGATTGGAAAATGGAGAGATTAAGGTAAGTACTAGATATGCAAGCTCCTGTCTTTCAATTGGTTTTGTTAGTATTCCAGTACAGGTCGTTAGTCAGGTACATGCAGGAGATCCCGTATTAGTATCGGAGTTTACAGATATATAGAGACATCTGCCGTCAGCATGCAGGGGTACTCCGCCAACAGGTGTATTCTCAGTCCTTTTGCCTGTCTATGGCCATGATTACTCAGTACCTCGTGTATCATTATTGAATATCAACTACTCCGTTAATCCATACAGGATCTGATGGGAAAACCAAAAATACACCGGGCATAATACCATGGACGGAACACGTTTTACTGAAACAGACAGCTTCCTCAGGCGTCGAGGATTGCCAAGCGCTGCAACCGAACAATCGCCACGAGGTTGATACGCCATTCGACGCATTCTGAGCATGCACGGATCGACAATACTATTCAAGTGCCCATCAAAGCCATCATAGTCATACATCCAACTTTCCAGGTCATGTTGGCCGTCGTACAAGAAAAGCCCCATTCATTAATCATGGGGTCGGGCATGTTGCTTGTTTAGTTCTGCAGCGGATTTACTCTCCGTAACCGACATTATCACTTGCACTAGTCAATCCTGCCAACGTCCTGTCAATGTATCCAGAAAAAGAAAGCAAAAAAGCAATGACGGTCAGTTCCGGTGCCTGTTGATCTTTTCTGAAGGCCCCTGTCATTAACGCGATGGATTATTACGGACACGGTCGTAAGGGACCCCAGCGCGATCAGTCCTTCTTTTCTCATTTTCATTTTACTTCCATTGGATCTGTTGGTTTTAATATTCTTAGCTGGTGCATTACTAATCTCTGCTGGTTGATTGTGGGGTTAGAGAAATTGAATAAAAATAAAAAATAAAAAAATAGAAAAATGAAAGATAAATGTTAAAGGATAAAAAATAAAAAGTTAAATCTATCGAGTCAGTGTACCGGTTTCGTCATGACTCAGTTGGGAGGTCAAAGGTGTATTGTGTCATTGTATACACCGTAACCCCCCGTCGTAAATTAATAATTGGAATGTACTCCTGTACTCCGTACATAACTGTGTAGCTAAGTACGGAGTATACTGTTGGTCAAAGACAAATTTGATGACATGTTCCAAAGTCTATTTCTCAGTCAAATTTTATAAGCTTCACGTCAGCCTAAATGCAGAGAATCAAATTGTTGTTCAAAAGAAACAAAGAGAAGGGAAACACAGTCAAAAGTGCACATTCGGGTGGCGCTCGGTTCTCGGACTTCCGGTTTCATCTGCCCCGAAAGCAACAAAACATACGCCCCGTTATAACACCAAGGCAGAGACAACCGTATTCATTTCCAGTCCGTTACAATACATTACCAACTCCTCGATTGCTTCTTGACTTGTCTTGCACCCCTGGTCGAGGAAACTCACCCGCTCGCAATGCTTGCTTCGATGGGGATCTCGAACTGATCATATGCTGTTGGATATGCGGAGGGGTTCGGGTAGCTACAGGTCATAAATTAAGAAGAACCATGTTCGTCAATTTGTGTGGGAAAATATTCAATTCCAATGTCTTGGCCTGCTCAACCACTCCACATGGAGTACGGTGCTTCGTAAACTCGCGACCAGGAGGTTCATGACCTATCGCTCTATAGGCGCCGATCAAGTCTTATCCATCATGTCTTGAGAAAGGCGGAGTTTCTGAATCCAAGGCTCGGGGAGGAGAACAACATCCAGGAACCTTGTTCATAACAGGACCAATATTGAATTATACACCGATCAACAGGGTTGTTATACAGGATAATTCTGTCTCCGAACTTGTCCGTTCTGGTGATTTATGCTTCTCACCGGACAGTCTCCGTGTACGGGGTACATGTATGATCGACCATCATAAAGCAGTCATGGGGCCGAAGCCAGAACTATAAGCCGTAGATATGACAGGTACCCGTTGAGCAACATGGCAATCTGAGCTATCTACTAGTACCTTTTAGGAAGTAGACGTCGTGCGTCCACGGCACTGGGTGACAGCGAGAAGGAAGATGAGAGTATTCATTTACCACTACTGTTGGCCCATCTTCCTCTCTAGTCAAGTCTTGCAGTTCATGATGTTGGTCGAAAGCCTGGTGTTCATCAAGTGGGTTCGTTCGTTCTATCATTAGCCACAATGCCATGATATATCATATTGCCTTTTTCCGGGGTCGAGCCTCGTATCGGGTTCGATATATCAATTTAATTAAATAATTTTTTCACTTCTATATTTATTCATTCCATTGTTATTTATTGTTTTTCAAAAGGAACCCGAAATTAGCCCGTTTCACGAAAGAAGTAGGTTTTCTTCCTTTGACTCCACACGCCAAGCAGGACATTTAGCGGAGTGGCTTGACAAAATTCGACCCCTCAAGCGTTGAAACGGGGTCGGTGCATGTCGTTGTTGATCAATGTCACCCGTAACAAAGTACCTACCTACTCCGGAGCAGCCGGTTCTGTTAGTTCAACAGCCAGCATCTTCGCAGACTGTGTGTGGCATGACCTGTCGCAACCACGCGAGTTTCTCACCTCCAAATCCCGCCACTGCGGTGTACCCGATCAGTTAGTGGTATCTCTTCATTTCCCATTATCTGGGTAGGTCTCCGCACGTTGCTAGGCGCCCCCAATTGACTCGGGGAACCTGCCCACGCTTTCTCGGATTAGGAAGTACGAGGTGCGCCCCAGGCCTGGCGGGCCTAGGCAGCTAACCACAATTCTTCAATTCTTCAGCAACAGAGTATATAGTACCCACTACCCGGAGTCTCAGAGAGGTACGAATGCCGACAGCCCAGTGCATCTGTCATGTCCACCATCAGAAAGGTAAGAGATGTCGCGTGGTTCTATTTTGAGGAGTCTAGAAGACCTGTCTACTACACCTAATCAGACCTACTAAGCATCCAGACCCACCGTTTTTCTCTCGGCAACTTGTTCGCCCTATGTTTCCTCCAGACTCTCCCCTGTCCAGTCACACGACCTCCTTGTTCGTACGGCTGGTGGTGGAGAGGTAGAAAAGTGGATAATGAGATGGCCGTTTCAGGTTTTGACAGCCTGCCAAGTTTCTCCTTCCTTCTCTTTCTCTCTTTCTCTCTCTTAGTTTTTCATTTTTTGATTTCTTATTTTCCATTTCTTGGCCTCCTTTCCATCCGGCGTTTGACCCCTTTCGCCAGTATCCCGATCGGTCGATCCTTATTTGCCGGTGCTATTTTCGTGGTGACGGGTGGATAGGGATCTATCATAGTATGATCTGTTTTTTTCCGGCTCTTCCGAGTTTGTATTCCTTAGGGTAAAGATTGTTGACGGGGTGTGGAGGAAAGGATATTGTTATGGATTTGTACGGGCTATAATCATAGACCTTGAGTAGAACTACTAGTCGCTAATCTAATACTATAGTTATTTCCTTCATAATTGGCTTATTTATCTTTATTTCCCTCTTCAACCATTTTGTCTTAGTCATTTATTCTTGTTGACTAGACTATAACTAGTTTGTTACAATAGTTTTAAGAAAAATAAAGTAGATATAGACTTCTGATATCACCTCGACCTGTTAGGTATATATGCTAGGTAGTATTCTGCCCAGGACGGCATCCCATGATTATATAGCTACACTTGATTGATCTGTAGCTACTATGCTCAACCGCAAACCCGGTTGGTCATATGGAGGAGATTACTGACTATTCCTCGACTGTTGTAATCGAGTCATATCATCATGCTGTTTATTGTACCGATTCAAAAGCACCCCTTGCTCTGCTGACAGTACCTACGAGGTAATGGCCACGCATGGTTGAAGACCAATCAGGAGTGCTATGCTCCGAAATTCTCAGAACGATTAAGGGGCTTTCTTTGTGTCAGGATTCTCAGACACAACATCAAAGAGTCACCTCACTCACATCCCCCACAACTAACCCAACATCATTTCCCTTGGCACGACCGCCGATCATATCGGATCTAAAGAGCTTGAGATCAGCCTAGTCGTTACGTTTTGACATCCGCAGTTCGCCAGTATACAACGCAGATGTACAAAGCAGAGAAACCAGCGCCAGCTGGCGGTGGGCAAGATCTCCCGATCACGAAGCGTACAGCCTTTGAAGACCCGAGTACAGCTCATGCGAAAAGAATCAAACACATCCATGATGGGTCAACAGAACTAGCACCAGATATTACAACTCTAGCTATTACAGCTCCAGTTCTTAAACCTTTAACTACAACCCGTAGGGTGGCTTTTCCTGAGAAAGTATATTACCATCTCTACCTAGGCGACTGTCAGGATGTGCTCTAACTACTTTACTCCGGAGTAAAGCCTGCGGTTGTGGAAGAGCGAAACGGCGAGATCGAATTCCAAGTTGTCAACAATGATGGTTCCCACGAGAGTACGATCGTACTTACAGGACTCAAATGCCTGTTTCAGAAGCAGCTTCCCAAAATGCCGAAGGATTATATTGCGCGTCTTGTGTATGACCGCACACATCAATCATTGGCCATCGTGAAAAGGCCTCTGGAGGTCATTGGTGGGATATCATTTCGAGAATTTCGAGATCGCAAGTTCGCCGAAATTGTCTTTTGCGCTGTCTCGTCGGATCAGCAAGTAAAAGGCTATGGTGCACATCTCATGGCTCATTTAAAGGACTATGTCAAGGCTACTTCCCCAGTGATGCACTTTCTTACCTATGCTGATAATTATGCCATTGGCTATTTCCAAAAACAAGGCTTTACCAAAGAGATCATCCTCGACAAGTCGATCTGGATGGGATGTATCAAGGATTATGAAGGAGGCACACTTATGCAGTGCTCCATGCTTCCCCGAATACGATATCTTGAAGTTGGTCGTATGTTGCTGAAACAGAAGGCAACTGTCCTAGCCAAAATGCAACGCTCAAGCAAAAGCCACATAATCCATCCACAACCCCAGCAGTGGGCTCATGGCGTTACTCCAATCGATCCACTCTCCGTACTCGCCATTCGGGAGACTGGCTGGTCTCCGGAGATGGATGCATTATCACGAGAACCACGGCATGGACCCCATTTCAATGAACTTCGACGTTTTTTAAACCAAATCCAAAACCATCAACAAGCATGGCCCTTTTCGAGCCCGGTTAATGGAGATGAAGTCCCTGACTATTACAATGTCATCACATCGCCAATGGACCTGTCGACTATGGAAGAAAAAGTGGAGGGCGATTGTTATACGGCTCCCAAAGAACTTGTCCGCGATCTACAATTGATTTTCAATAATTGTCGGCAATATAACGATGCAACAACTGCATATGCCAAGTGCGCGGTTAGGTTGGAGAAGTTCATGTGGGGCCTTATCAAGGAGATTCCGGAGTGGCATGAACTACTTGAAAAATAATCGGTCAAAAGCGGTTCTTCGTAAGGAACACCTTTCGTAACAACCCCGGGCCACGTCCAAAATGATGAGATCATTGAGATGTCAGCATTGTAACATACCACTAACAACCATTGATAGGATCTTGGTATATAGACTAGGCTGCTTAAATCATGGCGTTTCCCCATTTCCCAACTAGATGTTTCGAGTTACTCCATGCACATGGGTTTGTTGCTTTGCGTGGAGCCTAGCAGTCAAAGTATACACATGGAGCAGGTACATGTGCGACACGGCCTTCATTGTTTGGAATCCCTACTATAATTGATACTACTAGACATATATTCTTCTCCTGCTTTGTTATTATTTACCAAATTCATTCTGTCATCTTAGCTCGCCTGGGTCCTTTGGAGAGCCAGTCAGCTATTGCAGAATTCGGGTAGCAGAGCCAACTCGACAGCTTCAACAAGCTGTGGAGCTCGCATGGGAGCATTCAAAACTAGATAGACATGGTTTAGGCTACTGTAACATCTTTGGAATATTCATGGGATTTGATTCGATGCGAATTATGTTATTTCTTGGGGCAATTTTATAGACCCACTGGGTGTTTGTATATATTTTGTCTACGCTCCGTTGATAAGCCCATATCACTGACAGTATATACACAGCCGATCTCTAAGGCGCGAGTAGCTGAAGCATACAGGATGTGCCTGTTATCCGAATACTTTTCCTCATTCCTTCTCTTCCTCCTGGAATATCTAGAATAGTAACATGTTTATTTGTGTTCCACTATGCGCCCTACTGCACGATGACATGCCAGCTGACTCATCACGTGGCCTGTGGTGCTATGATGAAATGTCGTAGCCTCCCCGGCGCTTTTCTAGTGTTGTCTCTCCATCATCAAGAATTGAGCGCATCTAAATATACTTGATTTTTTCTTCCAATTATTATCCAATTGCTGTATGTGTGTGTATTAATGTGGAACGTGAGACGGATGACTAGTGAAACAGCATGCCCTCTCCCAGGTCAGCTTTCGGGAGCATACTACACTAATGGGTAGATGGACACTGACAGCCCATAGCTACCATGATGAGCCCGGAAACACTCCACCTCCTCGAGAAATGTCTACACCTGAGCTAGAAAAGTGTCGTTTCTTCCACCCTAGCTACAATGCAAGCTATGAGCGGATCCGGCAGCCCGTGAATGTCCGCCGTAACACCCAAACATCATGGCTGTCCCTGGCTCGTTATGCTGTGGGCACAGCCATGCTCGCTTCAGTATACTTCTACTTTTGGACAGGACTGTGGAGTGAGCTCGAGACCTTGCCTCAACTGTTTATGTTCCCCTACTGACGTTTACTCGGTTTAGGTGGCCTAGCTGACGATGCTTCCCCGCACCATACGGCACCCCCTCTCTGCGAGACACCCGAGTGTGTGCACGCTGCTTCTAATATTCTCGCCAACCTGGATCCCAACCATGCGGAGATTGACCCGTGTACCGATTTCGATCAATACGTGTGCGGGGGCTGGAGAGAAGGGCATGACATGCGTCCTGACCAAGGATCTATATTTGCGGGGACTCTCATGGCGGAAACAGCCCAGACGAAGCTTCGTCATGTTTTGGAGACCTCGGGGGCGTCGGATCCGTCCGATGCAAACAATTATGAGAAACTGAAGGCGGCTTACGGCGCTTGCATGGATGAGACTGCGATCCGCGAGCGCGGCAGCAAGCCTCTTGAAGATATACTGGCTAAGTTTGACGATATATACGGCAAAAGCTCCGAAGAAGGATCGAGCGCCAACCTCACCAATGCGATACAATTCTTTCTGAATTTCGGAGGCTCTGCATTATTGTCATTATATCCTGCTGTATGAAAGCCCCCTCCTGCCTCTTCGGGCACCCGCTGACAACGCAGCCTGATGATCGGAATCCCGACTCCCTTGCCCTGTTCGTGAATCCAGTTGCAGAGATTGGACTGCCAGCAAGGGAGTATTATAACAACAGCGAGCTTGTGGCTGAATACAGCACAGTAACAAAAAAGGTCCTTGGCAGCTTCTCTGGGAAAAAAGCGACACGGCGTATCGAAGACCTCATGGAATTTGAGAAGAAACTTGCAGACGTGAGTCCGGATACGGAGACCCAACAGGACGTGACGAAATATTACAACCCACACACTGTGAAAGAAACGGAATCACTCCTCCCGCAAGTTGACCTGTCCAGCATCATCTCTTCTCTGGCGCCGAGGGGTTTTGCAACCGATCGCTTGATCCTGGGATCGCCCACGTACATGAAGTCGCTATCTTCCATTTTGAATGACACCCCCAGGGAGATCGTCCAGCTGTATTTCCGATGGAAAATCATCCAGGTGTTTGAGGACAGCATCGAGGATAGCCGGATTGCACCCCTTCGCGAATTCAACAACGTCCTTGAAGGGAAGGATCCTAAATCTACCAAAGACCGGTGGCGAAGGTGCATCACTTCGCTGGATTTCAGTCTCGAGTGGATCTTAAGCCGTTTCTACGTCCTAAACTCCTTTTCCGAGGAGTCGAAGAAGCTCGGAGATCAGATCATATCGGACATCAAAGATCGCTTCGTATACACATTAGACCAGACGAACTGGATGTCTCCCGAAGTGCGAAAGCTAGGGATAGAGAAGGTCGGAAATATTGTGCAGAAGATCGGATATCCCGCCAAAAGCCCTAATATTATGGACCCCGGGGCGGTGGAAAAATACTACGAGAGCTTGAAAGTCTCAAAGGACGCCTTCTTCGATAATGAATTGGCCGCCGCGCAATTTGGCATCAGACGACTATGGTCAAAACTGGGAAAGCCAGTCGATAAGGACGAGTGGGACATGTCTGCACCCACCGTGAACGCATACTACAACCCCCCTGGGAACGAAATCGTGTTCCCCGCTGGGATCATGCAACCTCCAACATTTTACGGACCGACTGCTCCTCTCTACTTGGCCTATGGTGCCTTTGGGGCCGTCAGTGGGCATGAACTATCGCACGGTAAGCCGTTCTATAGGAAGACTTGAGAGTTTCGCTCACACTTATCTTCCAGCGTTCGATTCCACAGGCCGACATTATGACCAGACAGGGAACTACACCAACTGGTGGGACGAGAAGACGGTCCAAGCCTTTGAGGAGCGTGCGCAGTGCTTTGTGGACCAGTATTCGGAGTTCACCGTGCCGGGCGAGAAGTCGGAGCCTCTCCATGTCAACGGGCGTCTCACTCTAGGCGAAAACATCGCCGACGCCGGTGGTCTGGCAGCTGCCTACCACGCGTGGAAGAAGCGTGACGAAGTGAAGGCCGACGCCCATCTGCCGGGGCTCTCGGAGTTTACCAAAGAGCAGCTGTTTTTCATCTCATACTCCAATTGGTGGTGCAGCAAGACGACTCTGCAGGCGGCCCGGGAGGCTATTTACAATGACCCGCACGCGCCTAAACCCGTCAGAAACATCGTAAGTATCTTGATCAAACCTCTGCACTTATGGTGGACCCTCTAACCTGGATATCTCACAGGCGACTATGGCAAACTCTCGGGAATTCAGAGAAGCCTTCAAGTGTCCGGAAAAGAAGCCTACTTGCAAGCTCTGGTAGCTGAACAGGAGCATTCCTATTTCCAGTATAGGCTAAATATTATGGAGTATTACGAAAATCGCAATAACGGTTATTCCCACCATATGTCTTTTCCCACATATCACCCTTCCCGTAGCTCACCATTTCCCGCAAATCACCTTCTGCCATAGGTCATCTATTCTCCGTAACAGACCACCCAAACCCTCAACCTACACCGGTGACATCAACACAAAAATGAATATCCTCCCACTACAACACTCCCATCAAACCCATCCACTCTGTCACACACACAGCTGTACCCCCAATAAGAACAACAATAACACCCGCCACACATAGTACAGCCCATAAATGTCACCGTAGGATCATCGCATCGTGACCATGACCATGACCAACCCGGTCCGATTTTAGGTTTTCAACCGGTGAAATCAACCGTCTCGCTGATTTCTTCCGGGGGGGTTGTAGGGGTGGCCGGGGGTTCGTGCCCCAACTTGGTAGGTAGTATGAATGGAGCGGAACGGGGGGAGCTCCGTTGGACCGCCTGAAGAAAATCCCTGTTCGACCGTAGTGATTAACCCTGTTTATGAGCGGCACGAGCTAACCTGCCAACCAGCGGCCAACCAAGTAACCGACTGCAGGGTTTGAGCACGGTCTGTGCATCTGATGTCATTTACATGGGTTGAGACCCTCAGGGCTTGGGGTTCTTCACCGCTTGGTTGACGTTGCTTTTGTAGGCTCTTGTTGATTACATAGGAGCAGCGGCTGAGCAGTGTGGGCGTCTGCGGCGGTTGGGACCGTATATGATGTTCCATATAACTATATACGGTGTGCGAAGTATCCGTTCATGTTAATCTATGCGATTTGGAGGGGAAATCCTCGAGGATCTACGGATACTATGTAATTAATCAATTGATTAATGTCAATGATTGAGATTAATGATTGATTGCCCAGCCAAGACCGATGATCGCACGGGCTGGTTCTTGGGAGCCATAGTCCATTACACGGACTGAGCCAGAGTTTGCCGCTATTGCATGGTTGGTTACATATGGGTCAGTTGTGTTTCTCTGCTTGGTGTTATTTATAGGGGGGATATGGATCCGTTGTGTTACTGTGGTTCTGGTGTCAAACTCGTTGTAGATAGTACATATTACTGCCTAGGTAGTAAGTAGTACCTACAATGTAGCTACTGCGTAGGTATGAACTGGGACTCACTATGATTAGGTTGCCATTTTGTAGGCTAGTCAATTAATAATGAGAGACCATTGAATTTGTTGTGCGATGGATAGATCGTGAATAGGTAGCCATTTTTTCTGTTTATTTTTCTTTTAATATTCTATTTTTCTGATCTATCTAACTATTTCTCCCGTGTGGCACATGCTTTCTGCCTGCTTTACAATGGCCAAGGTAGATAGGTACCTGTAGGCAGGCAGTTGACGATGTATGTCTTTGCATTGTCACAATCCACCATTGACCGATCAATAGGGGCGTCAGCCGCACAATTCAACCCTTGAACCCACTGTGGACAAGGTAGGTAAATGCAGCACTCCCTTCGGTAGTGAGGACGGACTCCGTAGTTCATAATATCCATGCTGGGATGAGACGCTGCTGCCCAATAGAAAGGGATCTTTCCCGAGTCCGTCTGCATGTGCGAGAACTGGGGTTTGATGGGATTGTTGCGGTGACAATGTCATCCTCCTCTTTTGATTTATTTTATTTTATTTTTTATTTTTCCGTTTTTTTTTTCTTCTGCTTTCCCTTTCTATTATTTTTTTTAATGGTTCATGCCTGATTGCTTTGGGTATTAGAAAATTTGTAAAAGGGGCTTGCGGATCAAAGACAAAGAGTTCTCTCAAAACCTCGGAGTCCCTAAGCCGGATCTAATAATAATTTTTGTATGGGCAAGTCGACATGAGAATGAATCATTTCCCCTACCTCCCGCGAACTAAGAGCCCGCTAAAACGATCGGTTGGAGACCCGCTGCGAAACGGTCGCCGGTCGTGGTGGAGGGTTGGGCTGGATAGACCTGAAGGGGAATATTGATAGGCCCCAAATATTACCTCGGTCGGTAAGACCTGATCCGACATTGCCTGTCAGGACTGACTCCCATCTTGGCTTCAATCTGAGCTCTCCCCCGGGCTGCTTGTCCGTCCGTTGGATAATGGATACTGACTTAAGTTCGTTTAGGTAGTCCTTAACGGCTCCCGGGTGGACCGGGTGGCTGCCTGTCTGGTCTGCCAATTGTGTTGCGATCCGTTTCTTTCCTTCATTTTTCTTAGTCTTCTCCTTTTCGTCATTTGTTTTCCGGTGGAAATTGATCATGTTACGGTTCCGTCCCCCTTTTTCTGCTAGATCATCACGTTGGGGTTGGGAAAATGTTGACTGTTGGACGTGTGTTATTCAGCCCCTTCTCATCTGTTCCATCTCTTTGTTCATTTTCTTTTCAGATGGTTAGGGGTCGAGTTGAGAATGTTCCAGCCTCGGGGATCAGCTGCTTTCCTGCTAGATTTTTCTTCCTACTTGACTAGGGCATGAGCTTAGTCGCGGTCTAGCTCCGCGTAGTGTTGGACCAGCGTCATGGATGGGCAAATTCGTAATCCCGAGATTTAGAGCAGTGGGAAGCCCTAGGATTCTCAGCCAACGGGAACAGCAAGAAAAGGTAGAATAGTCGGCAAACAACGAAAAACAAAAAGGATAAAACTCGATACATCAATTCTCATTCGGCTGTTGGAATGGTAGTCAACCTGTCGAACCTACCGACACACTGGTTCAGCAGACTTGGACGAAACTATTCCATGTGAATCATGCAAAAATCAAGTCGGGATTTTTTATTTTTATTTTAATTTTTCTATTTTTTAGCTCATGATTGAAATCTGCAATGTCCTCGAACGAGGACAAGGAAAGCGGTCCCCGATCATCCGTATCCTTTCGTGTCTCTCTCGAGTTTCAAGTTCCAACGCTGAGAGCAGCCTTCTCCTCGTTAGCCGGGTCCGTGGCGGACGCAGGTCTGTCGATCCGCGCCGCTCACGAGGTAGGTAAAGAGGGGGGTTCCATTGCTGATTATTATTCGCCGAATGGACGGGAAGAACAGAGAGCCAGCCACAAGGACGGCAGCGAGCTGAGGAGGTCCCAGCTCTGACCTGAGCTGGATCATTGTGTTGTTGCTATTGTTGTGTTGTCTCCTATTACGGGCTCCGTCCAAGATGGCATGGTAGCTTTAGTCGAATTGATGCATCGCGTCTCCTCCCCCCCTCCTGGCACTATTTCCGGACATGATTAAGATTGGCCCTGGGTCCCACGATCTGGGAGTGCAGATCGACTGTCAGCTGACCGAATCCGAGAGTTCGATGGGTGGGAGTGGGTCGAGGAGAATATATGGTTCAATGAGGATGAGCTGTGAGGTCGGATAACATGAATCATTGTTGAGTACTTTGGAGTATACGAATGGATTTCTACTAGACGGGAAAGCCAAGATTGATTGTGTCCAAACCCATCGGGATCGTGATTGATCGATCTTGACAGATCTGTTTGACAGGTTGGTGTGATATACAATCAAGGAACTCAATCTCTAGACTCGATATTTAGAATATGATTAATAGGGATTCTTGAAGAGATACGATGAATGACTCAGCTGTGGATAACTCCATCCCTCCACTATTTCCCATTGATTGGTACTTGGCTCCGATCAAACTCCAAGAATGATCCTCCCATTACAATCCTCACACTAACAACAAAGCCGAAGGAATGAGGAGGTTGGCATGGACGGAGGGATGGAGGGAGAAATCCTCTCCTTGGGGCTGTAGTGGAGGTTCCGCCGGGCTGGAACCATGGTATCTACATGCCTACAGTACCTACCTACCTACTACCTAGAGGTAGTAAACTAACACCGAAAAAGAAGGAAAATAAACCAAAAAAACAAGAGAATAAAAACGAACCGTTCGAAGTTCCTGCGCGTCTTGTTCTTCCACTTTACGGTTCGCTCTCCTCTCTCCACTTTCCTTCGTTTTATTAATATTTATTGATTATTGATTTATTCTCTCTTTATTGTTAGCTGATTTGACATTACTTTTTTATTAAATCCTTTCTCTCCCTCTCCACTCCCTTCTCTACTAATAATACCGCGGATCGAGTGATTATTTACCTACTGAGCTCACCCTATATACTCCCGCCATATACCCTACCTATCCACAGTCCACACAACAAACCCTTCCCCTCTCCTCCCTACTTTCCCGGGGACTCATTCTCTATATTTATCCGATCCTTTGGGACGATCATTACTCTACGGGGTTATCTCCCGCCTCCCCCCATCGTTGACATTGTTCCCTGGGGGTTCCCTACATTACAATCTGAACCCTGGTGGGATTGATTCCCGGATTCTTCACCCTACTCCGTCCCCTTGCAACATAACAACAACCTTTCCATGCCTGGTACCGCTGGGCCATTCCCGAACGTCTGATCGTCTCCTGGTTTGCTTGGAGTCTGGTCATGTCGTGTCGCAAACACGGTCTGCGATCCTCTGGGCGGCTCCTCCATCCAGATTTCGTCTAGCTTTTCGCATCTCCGTGGATGGGACCCTTCTCTTCGCCCGGTCGCGTAGAGGAGAAGTCCATCCGCCATGGAGTTGACCTCCGCAACCCGCGATTTCTCCCACAAGAAGACCGTGTCGACTTCGGCCGACCTACCGCCGCCCTCCGCCGAACGCGATCCCAACCACGCCAATGCCGACCCCCCGTATGCGGCGCCGAGTCTGCGACGCGCCCACACCGTGGCGCAGGGGAGGACCATGGGCGAGAAAACAACCATCAGCATCAAGGCGGCGAGAGACAAGATGGCAACGTCGATTCTACGTGTCAAGGATAGTCATGAACTACTGCGGAAACGCTCCTTTAAGCGGCCGGACATTTTGAGACACCCGCCGCGTGATGGGGCTGCTGCGACAGCTGCAGCTCCCGCGACGGCACCGACGAAGGAACGCCATCACTTTACGGTGGGAAATGTGGGCCAGAACGGAAAGATCTTCCTGAGGTATGGGACGAACTCGTGATAGCCGGGACAGGCGTGTGCGCCTTGGGTGACACGGGGGCCCTGGACAAGACAGCTCACTAACTACATCGGATGGTTTCACAGGCCGATTCAAAACCTGCCCCTCAGGGAGCCGCGACTACCACCTCTGGCTCCGCCACTCGACCAGGACAGTGACGAGTCCCTTCGCCCGCATGGAAATGGGACCCTAGGCGCGTCCAATGAACCGTCGCGATGGTCAGGCTCCCAGCTCTCGGAGTTACGCCCCGATTTAATCCCCGAGGAAAGTTGCGAAGACGCCGACTCAATCCGCTCCCGCTCGACGCGGACCGGCTATAACTATTCACATCACCGCCTCCGCCGGAGAGCGCATTCCTTTTCCACCATCTCCGAACAGAGGTCGATATCGCGGGCCGGACAATCGGGCGAGTTTGGGTTCACCCTTAATCGAGCGGACGAGCGACCCAAGTCGGCCGATGGATCGATACGCTCACCGCTGGATGTGCCGGTGGCTAGTGACCGGCTGGACGCGCTGCTACTAAGCGACGACGGCACCGCGTTGCATGATTCTATCTATTCGCGCCTGTCCGACAGATATCGTGTCCCACATTACCTGAGCGACAACTGGCCCTCGAGTCTATATGTCGACGGTGCCGGACGGCCATCTTTCGCGGCGTCGATGTTCTCAGGGGGACAAGCAATAGAGCTCGCTCCAACCCCCGCTGGTCCCGGGAACGGTGTCCAGTACGAATTGCAGGAACCTGTCGGGCCGTCCGTGTTCGAAGATCTGGTGTCGGAGATGGACGCCGAGTCGGTCGTTCGATATATCCCTGGCACCAAGGACATCGGCGCGGCCACCCCGGCGCGCATTGTGGCGCAGATATCCTCCGAGTCCTTCATGGACTACGAGCTCGTATCCGATTTCTTTCTCACTTTCCGCTCTTACCTCTCCCCGAAGAGCCTTCTTGCCTTGCTGCTTGCTCGACTACAGTGGGCGATCAGCCGACTCCAGGATGATGGCAGGATCATCCGCATCCGCACCTTTGCCGCTCTCCGACATTGGATTTTGAATTACTACGTGGACGATTTTATCCCTAGCTACGACCTGCGCACCATGTTCTGTGAGACGATCAATAACATGTACAGTGATGTCAAAGCTCGCGAAAATGGCGGAATGAGCGATCTGAAGATCTTGATCGACCTGAAGCGCTGCTGGTATGGGAAGTGCTCCCTGTACTGGGAATTCCAAGATCAGCATATCACCTTCCAGAGTCCAGACCTTCCAATTGTTCCCTGCGGCGAGGGCGTTCTTGAGTCAAACCGCGCGGAGGACTATCCCTCCCTGGCCAGGGCTAAGAGCAGCCACGGGATCGGTCTCGGTGAGGTGGAACGCTGTTCTATGACGAAACACGACCGCAATGGTTCCGCAGCCACCGCAAAAAGCATGCCGATCTCTGGGGAGAGTGATCAGAGTGTTCAAGCCACCTCCTGCTCGGCTCTGCCCCGGCCTCTTCAACGCGTTTCGATGCCCCATACCGGGCCCAAGGGACCACATCCAGTGCCTCTGGCGCCGCTCAAACCGGTAACGCCTGTGCATGGCTCACCCTCGGTGTCACCGGTTCTCTCCCGGCGCTATCACTTCCACTGCCACGCCCACAAGCGCAGCGGTAGCTTCTCCGACTCCGTCCGAGACGACAGGGCCCCCTTCGCTTCACTTACACATGACCACCGTAGTTCCTCCTCTGTGGGAGCACTGGATCTAGGCGGGCTGATCCGCGGCGAGCTCTACCCTCCGGCAGAATCATACATGACGATGATGGCACCCCCTTCGCCCCCATTGCCGTCGTCCACCAATTCTCCAGGTCCAGCTCGCCGGGGTACTTCAGAATCCATGCATAAGCCCACTTCTTCGGGCTCCGGTGTTAAGACCATCCTTGGGTCTATCCGCCGTGCCTTGAACAGTCGGCATGGTGCCAGTCAAAGCCTCTCCGGGCGCTTTGTCAATGCCCCTCTCAACTACGCAGTACGAGGGAAAACGTCTACTTTGCCGGCCAATGTTGCGTTTGGGTCGGATCTATATCGCGATCGAAAGGTCGCAGCTGCTTCCCAGAAACCGGTGCGGATTGATGTACTGTGCGATGAGACGCTGCATCACTACCGCCGCCTCATGGGTTGTAATCATTCGAAGACGTCTAACCCGCTCCACGCGTCTACTACTTCGCAGCAAGGGTCCGACCTAGATTTCCAACCACCAAATCGGCAAAGTACCAGTGCACCAGGCCGCGAAAGGATAAGGAGCGATCTTACCGGAGGCAGCGAATCTATCGTCATTGTCGATGACACCGGATTTGGGTCAGCTTTGATGTCTGGTGCAGTAGTGGCGGAGCCGGCTGGTATGGACGAAAGCCCTGATACCCAAGGCGCGGAGAATCCACCGACAACACCAAAGGCACATTTGGCCTTGCGCGTACCGTCCCACAGGTCGACCTTGACGGGCGACGAGTATTCATTGCCGCTCTTCTACGAAGGTTCTGATTATGCACGGGCCAGTCAAGCCTCGGGGCTTCTTCATCCGCTGGATATTGCAAAGGCACGGAGGTCCTTATCGATGGAAAGAGCATCGGCATCATGGAAGAGGACGTCGCCGTCCCTACGCCTTCGGAAATATGCCTCCTTTCAGAGTGGTATTTTCAGACATAAGGCCGTTTCGGGCATCGGGCCAGAGTCCTCGATTTCGGACCAGGTCTCGCAGAGCCCCCAGGATCGAGCCGCGGGGCCAAGTCTCCGAAGGCGGCCTGGCGGGGACTTGCGTCAAATGCGAGACGGGCGTGGCTTGCCCGCTCGCGCGGAATCAGGGTCATTCATATCCGATTATTCTTACCGTAGTTCCTTTGTTGACAGCACGGTTTCTCGACTCCGGGACGCCGCCTCACGACCTCAGACCAGCTTGATCCCCCCCAATCCACGGTTTTCCCTGATTCAGACCAATTCGTCGCAGGAGATTCGGCGCTCGTTTGAGGCTGCTATTGCGCAGTTTGCCCAGATCCCCGATGACATGGACGACGATGGGGGGATCGAGTCGACATTGCTCAAACTTGAAGGCAAATGGGGAGACACCCAGGAGACTGATGATGACGGGCAGCGCCAATCTACCCGTGATGAGGTCGCGCGGGAGCTGGAAATGATTTATCGCAGCCATCCCCACCTTCGGCAGGATAGTCGCAGAGGATCTGGCCCTGGCGGTTGGACCCATTCTGCATTCCCCGGAGAGAATCTCAGCTACTCGTCTGCCCGCGGGCGGATCATTCCACGTCGACCTTATTCTGACTCCGTCGCCGACTCGGAGGATTCATATAGTTCGATACCGCTCCTGGAGCGCGGCCTGAGCGACGAATCGATGAAGAGACCCGGGGCCAGCCAGGTCGTTCGTCCCCTTGTGCCTCCTCGGACTCAGCCAAGTGACTCCTTTACCCGGGGTACATCGGATGTGGATTCCTCTCACAAGTCCTATGATTTCGTGAAGGAGACCGAGAGCATGAGGGGAATACCACGGGGTTCGACTTTACCAGCGCCCGTTGCCCAAAGACCGCGGTACCGGGCAGGCCGTCTCTCCAATCTTTCGTCTGAGCTTTCGGTCGATATGATCGACCCGCGTGAAGCTCGGGAGCAACGGTTGTCGATAGATACCCGGACCCTGAGTGATTCGTCCCTCGGAATACCTCCCCACCCCCTCGCACACCCTCCTTCTCCTCCAATGACCATTCAGAATCCTCGGTCTGTGATCTCTTGCGCAACACCGCTGGACCCCATCCTCTTCCAAGCTCAGCCCCCGACGCCAGACCCTTCCCCCCACAGGAACGCAGAGCAAGCCAACGGCCGGTCTATCGACGTTTCTGGGGACATCTTTTCCCGATCCGAAATGGACCGTCCACATCACGGTCTTTCCCAGGCCCCCGGGCCCAGCCTCGACCACGTCCCCTTTGTCCTGTCGTGCGAATCACAGACCCTCGCCCAGCAACTTACCCTAGTGGAGGTAGCCGCACTAAGCGAAGTAGACTGGAGAGACCTCGTCGACATGCGCTGGAGCAGCGGCTCCCCAGCCATCCTGAACTGGGCCGAGTTCCTCGCGAGCGAAGAACACCGGGGCATCGACCTGGTAGTCGGGCGCTTCAACCTGATGGTCAAATGGGTGGTCTCGGAGATCATCCTCACGCAAGACATCCACGAGCGCGCGTTGACCATCACCAAGTTCATCCACACCGCCGTCCACGCTCGCCGACTATGCAACTACGCCACCGTGCTGCAGATCGCCATCGCGCTGTCCTCGACCGACTGCTCCCGCCTAGAGGAAACCTGGGCGCTGGTGCCCCCGGGCGAGAAATGTCTCCTGAAAGACATGGAGCTGCTGGTCCAACCGGTGCGCAACTTCCACGACCTCCGCGTTGAAATGGAGTCTGCCAACGTGCAGGAAGGCTGCATTCCATTTGTCGGTACGTTGATCATATACCCCTAGACCCGCGTCGCTTGAGATTTTGCGATCAGAGCGGACGATACTGACGAATGAACTAGGCCTCTATGTCCACGATCTGACGTACAATGCGCAAAAACCGGCGCAGATCGAAAACCGCAAGGGGGAACCGCTGGTGAATTTCGAGCGCCATCGGACGACGGCTAAGATCGTTAAGAGTCTTCTTCGATTGATTGACGCGAGCACCAAGTACAACTTTGAACCGGTGCAGGGCATCGTCGAACGTTGTCTTTGGATCTCCGCGCTGTCGGAAGAACGGATTCAAAATCGGAGTAAACAGCTTTGTTGAAACAAGGTAAAAAGCATCAAAAGAAGGGAAACAAAGGGAATAAAAGAAAAAAAAATAAAAAATAAAAAAAAAAGGAAAGAAGAGAAGAAGAAAGCCAAGATTACATGCATGATGGCGTTTGTCCGTTCACTGTTTCTCTTTTCCTTGGTTCTTTTCTTTTCTCGACTGATACCCTGACGAAGTTATTCCTTGGTGATGACGAATTTGAGGCATCTTTGATGTCCGCAACATGTATAATAGATAGGATTTGCATCGGGTGGAGGTTTTGATTGATTTGATTAATTAACTGGTATTTTCTTGTTATGTAGGTTGTTGTTTGATTTGTTGTGAATTTCTCGATAAGTCTGTTATTTTGATGGTCTTGTACAATGAAGCATATATGGAACTTCTATATTCACTGTCCTAAATATGTAGAAGTAAATTATCATTCACTGGTGGAGCATGAAACGTTTGGGATTTATCAGTGGAGAGAATGTCCGACGCGGTCAAGGAAGCTCAGCGCTTTCGGCCTTCCAGGTTTCCACTTCTTCTCCCGCCTTAACCTGACTTGTCTCTTTCAACACCTCCAAGCACTGTCAAGAACAAGGAGGTTATTCATCCTCCCTCCACGCGACTGTCTCCATGGAGCTACTATTATTTCCTGACTGTTGATCCGTATCATTCATTCATTCATTCTTCACCCATTTCCCCGCCCCCTCCCCTTCCCTTCCCTTCCCCTCCCCCTCCCTTCTCCCCTCAGTCCCAAATCCGGACCAGACCCAATCCATGATGGATGATGCCACCGTTGTCCACCGCGGGGCCTCCAACGACCTCGACCGCACAAACGGGAGTCACAGCAACAGCAATAACAACAGCGACAATGACTCCGACCGTCCTGACTCCCCGCAAATGCCCATGCCTGGTGGTTTACCGGATGATTTACCTACGTCGTTGGATGACCGTCGTTCGATCCCCGTCTTCCCGCAGGAGACGGAGATGTATGATGCCTGGCAAGGTATGCAGTTAATTCCCCGTTTGATCGCCCGCTCCCTCCTCCCTTTCCTTTGACTCCCCCCTCACTGCGTGCATCCCCGCTGTTTGTCTTGGTTTGTTTTGTTCTTTTTTCTTTTGCTTTGCGAGTTGCGGGGTCTTGCGGAATGTAGGCTCGGTTTGCGTTGGTCTGCGGTCATACTGTGCGACTGTCATGAGGGGAGACATCGGGTCCATATATCACAACTCGATCGAGAAAAGACAAAAGAAAAAAAAAAAAAACGAAAGGAAAAAGCTAACCCCCCAGGCCAATCCCAATTCCTTACTACCCCCGTCGCCGCGAAACCCTTGAGCTTCAGCCTCGCCCTCGACGATCACGCACACGACGATGAACACAATCTACAAGCTCAGTACGGTCGCGGTCTCGCTCCTCCCACTGATGACGACAACGAGTCGACGATCACCGCCCGCTTGGAGGACAGCGACGCCCGGCTGATGGAAATGCTCGCCGCACAAGCCGCCCACCGGGAAGTCGACTCCCTCGGCGCCGACGAAGAGACGATCGCGGCGGATGAGAAGCTATCGGAGGCGGAGAAGAAGGATATCTTACAGCGGAGCTTGAATATGGCGGCTAGCAATGGCGATGTCGACCGCGTACATAAGCTGGTGCAGGGCAAGGCGAGTCAGTACGTGGATGTGAACAAGCCGGATGAGGAGGGAACGGTGCCGTTGATCTACGCGAGTTGCTTTGTAAGTGGTCGCTTACCTTGGTTCTACTGTTAGGATGGTGATGGTAATTCTGGGACTGCACTGACGACCCATGCCAGGGCCACCAAGACGTGGTCTCCGCGCTGCTGGATGCGGGCTCCAACGTCGACCAGCAGGATCGGAATCAGTGGAGCGCCCTCATGTGGGCTATGACCAATCGACACAAGACCATCGCCAAGATCCTCCTGGACCACGGAGCGTCCCCGGATATCAAGTCCTCGTCTGGCGGAACGGCCTTTGACTTTGCCCAACCCGGCAGCGAGATCTCCGATTATCTACACGAGAACGGATACAATTTCGGCCCCGAGGCCGTCGAGGATGATTTCTACGACTCTGGATTCGCGCAAGGTCGCTTTGAAGAGGAGTTTGCGGAGAATGAGATGAAACGCCGGATGATGATGGAGGAGAGCGCTATTAATTTGGAGGTGGACTTGTCAAGCCTGGGGCTTGATGAGAAATTCGACGTGAGTATCATTCTTGTCTCTTGTTTTCAGCGGTGTCAGTCCGTGGGTGTGATGCTGACCGACCCACAGTCCGTGGATGACGAAGAGCTCGAAGGGGAACAACAAGAATTCGTCTGGGATCGGTGCCTCAACGATCAAATGTTCGTCTTCCAGGATCATGAACTGGAGAGGATCTTGGACATCATCATCACGAAAATGAGCCCCCAGCGGTCGCCGTCGCAGAAGCCGGTTCCCGCCAACCTACTCTTTCTCAGTGCGCGATACGCCCACTACCACGCCAGCCCCGAATTACTGGCGCAGCTTCTGGTTTCCGCCACCGAAAAGATCAACGACGTCGTGGAACGGCATCAATGGGACATGACGATACTCGCTTTCTGGATGTCGAACGCCACCTTGCTGCTACACTACCTGAAGAAGGACGGGGGCCTGGTTGAATCAACCGTGGAGTTCCAGCTGCACCTGGCGGAGCTCATCAACGAGATCTTCATCCTGATCATCCGGGACGCGGAGCGGCGGATGAACAAGGTGTTGGACGCGGCCATGCTGGACCACGAGACTATCCCCGGGCTGGAAGACGTGGCGTTCCAAAACGAGTGGAAGCTCTTCCGGTCCAAGAACAAATCCAAGGCCCCCGAACCAGCGGAGAAACGCTTCCGACCCCCGTCCCCCAGGCGGCGCGCGCAGATCTCTCCGCGCAACATCACCTCCCTACTCTCCTCGACGCTGTTCGTCCTTGATCTGTACGACGTCCACTCCGTCATCACGACCCAGATCCTGTCGCAGCTCCTGTACTGGCTGGGAGCAGAGATCTTCAACCGCATCATGACCACGAAGCGATACCTCGCCCGGACGAAAGCGATGCAGATTCGGATGAACGTGTCGACCTTGGAGGACTGGGCTCGGATTAACAACCGGCAGCCGGAACACTACGAGAATGGGTCGACGTCGTGCACGGGGGAGAGCACCATGGAGGCGGCGCGGCGACACCTCGCCCCTGTAATCCAGCTGCTGCAGTGGCTGCAGTGTTTCTCTTCCCTAGGGGACGACTTCGAGTCGCTGCTGACGACGTTGATGCAGCTGCAGCAGTTGACGCCGGCGCAGCTCCTCCACGCGGTCAAGTCGTATCGGCCGGAGGTGGGGGAGAAGGGACTGAGCAAGCCGGCGATGAAGTTCCTCATCGAGTACCAGCGTGATCCGGACCTACTGCTCCGCGAGCAGGGGAAGATGCAGGACGCCGCACGGCAGGGGACAGCGGTGAGCGCCGAGGCCGGCCAGGGCACGGCCGACGGGCGCCCGGCGACACCGCCGCAGGGGCAGCCAGCCGTGGGCGACCCCCGCCCGTCAACTGCGCCGGGGACGCCCGAGACGAGCGGGCGGACGTCGACCTCAATCGCGTCGCCGGGATCGCTCCGCGCGTCCTCGCGCCCGGCGTCGTTTCGCCTAGATGACCGCAGCGTGGCTAACAACGTCTTTCTGGACCCGTCGCTGACGCTGCCGTTCTCGCTGCCCACGAGCACGGATATGTTGATCAGCTACGGGGCGGGCTGGGGAGGGACCAATCGCGAACGGGCTCGCAAATACATCCCGACGGTGCCGCCTGAGGTACTGAGTCGATTTGACCGAGATGGGTAGTTTTCATTATTCTATCTCTATTTTCTGTTTTATTGTTTTTTCTTTTTTTTCTTTTTCTTTCTTTCATCTACTTTTTGTGATGTGATTGGGGGAAGCATGGGACGGTGTGATATACCCCGCGCTGTAGATGTTCATTCTGGGACGGATTCTGATCTTTGAGTATATATACATGAACTTTCTTCTTTTCTTTCTCTTTCTCATTTTCATTTTCTTTATCTCGTTTATTCATTTGGTTCGAAGGAAGCTACCAGCCATCCAGAGCCAATGGCATCAGTTGCCGACAGAGAACGTCCGCTAAGACGAAAGGGAGAAGGAGATGAGGCCAGACAGCGCACCCCGATACTATCTATCAACAGATGAGGATCGACCGGTGGGGTTACCGGATCGGGCGACGGACAAACGACGCTGATTCCTGAAACCCGGCAGGATCAATGAGCTTCTAGATGAAACATGGAGGGAGATTGACCGAGACGGGCTCCGCGGTCGGGGTCCAGGTGGACCCTTCGAGATGAACGAGAGAGAGAGCGCATCATCGGTAGGATACCGGAGAGAGTCTAGTGTGGTGTAGGATAGATCATCTCAATCGATCTCCGTGTTTGGTGGTTTGTTGCATCAGGCACCGACATTTCCCTCCAATCGCGTGGGATATCTGATTCTTCTTACTGCGTTCTTACTCTTTCCTGGCACATTTGAGATTCTTTGGTTCATTTTTGGTTTCTTATTCTTTGCTTCCTTTTGGGTTGACTGTCATTTCCATGATACAGGTTCCAGGGAATCCCTCCAGTTTATAGTGAATCTTGATTAGGATTCCGTGCATCCCGCCGGTCCGACCCGTGTTCCATTCGGACTCGGACTATTCATCCTTCTCTCTCTCTCTCTCTCTTCTTCATTTCTCCAGTGGAGTGCTAGGGAGTGCAAGTGTGCCAGGTGGCTGTTCAATCTCTGCCCATCTATCATCGCACTGATTTCCTCATTTAACACTGTCTCACTTCAACGGACTCCCAGTTCCGGTTAGACTAGGTGGATCGTCCGTCTTCTTTGGGTAAGTGTGCCTTGCCTGATCGGGGCAGTTCCTGTCTCGGTCTTTTGGCTTCTTCTCTTGTTCCTTCTTTATTCTTTCTCTATTCTTTATTTATCTTCTTCTCCACCATGTTTCTCTCCCTCTCCCTCCCTCTCTCCTCTTCTCTCCTTCTCTCCTTCTCCTCCTCTCCCCTCCCCCTCTTCCTCCCCCCCCTCCATTTCTGCCTCCTCCCCAATGGGGCTAGAGAATGCTCCTCACCTTGAAGCCTTTCAAGGACGGTATCAAAGCTCCCCATGAGTACTCGGTCGTTCGACAGTCTCGTCCATCTCGGCCCCCCTCCTCCCCCTCCTTGCTGGATCCCTCCGAGGATCGCCCCATGGCGTCGTCTCGCCCGGGGTTGCCTCCGCCCGCCTCCCTCGCCTTACCGCCTCCCGACGCCGCCTTCACTATGACTCCCGCCACCCAACACCGCCCCGCCGTCCCGCCCCCGCCCCCGCGACCGACCCACGATGACGCTTCCCAGCATTATTGGCAGGCCCGCGCTGAGGAGGATCGGAGACGACAGGAGGAGGAGAAAACCCGCCAGGAAACCCTGCGCCTGGAGCAGCGCCGCGTCGAACAAAGCATGCTGCGCGACTCCCTCCAGGCGGGCGTCCCCCCGCACATGGTGCCGCTCATTTTCGCCGGTCTCAATCCCGGCGCAGCGGCCCCGACCCTACTGGAGTGGTCCCACCCCTACCCCCCGCAGCTGACCCCGACGTCCCGCGCTCCCGCCGCCCCGCCCTCGCTCTCCCTCTCGCCCCGATCTCCCCCGCGCCGGTCCTCCCACCTGCGGCGCGAATCGCGCTCTGCTCTCCCGCATCACACCTACCCGGGTCCACCGCCGCCGGCGCCGCCGGCCGTTCGTGCCCCGGGCGTCCTCCTCTCGCAGCCCCTGTCGTCCTCCACTGCTGTGTCTCCCACCCCGTCGTCCCTTGGTCGCCCGACCCCCGCCGGCGGGGCCCCTGAATCCCGCGCCGCATCCCGCGCCCCCTCGACGGATGGCCCGGCGCCCTCGCGGCCCATCAATCTCAGCCACGTGCACTACGCTCCAGGGTCCTCCGTCCCGTCCACCCACTCCAGCCCGGGCCCGGCGGACAGCGCCCACTCGCGCCAGTCGCCGCCCGCTCTCTACTTCCACCACTGGGTTCCCCCGGGGCACTCGCTGTCTCACCCACCGTCCGGCCGGAGTCACCCCGAGTCCCCGGGGACCTCTAACTCCCGGCGGTTCGAGCATCCAAGCTCGCCGGGCCGGAAGCGCAAGGCGTCTGGGCCTCACCCGCCGGTGCCCCCACCCTCCATGCGTCTCTCGGCGAGCCCAGCGCGGGAGGCCTCCCGCACGAGGGCCCCTGAGGTGTCTAGTCCGGCGTGGGATCGCCGTCGGACCGAGGACCCCGAACGCCCGCGAGACCCGCCTCCACCTCGGCCCCGCGTCTCGCCGCCGGTGGCCCCGGCCCACCGACCGCCGGCTACGAGCCCTGAAAGCGCGCCCCGTGAATCCGACCCCAGGAGCCCTCGACCGGCTGTCCAGCACTTCCCTCACGCCCCCACCCCAGCAGAACCGGGGGAGGACCGGACCCGACCCGGCGCGTGATACACGCCGGATAACACGTCCGTTCTTTCTTTCCCTCATCTTCCCTTCCTCTGACATCTTTCCCTTCTCGCATCCATCCCATACCCGCATCATCAGTACATCCGCGATGTACTCCGCCTCGACTGGTTCGCGGCACCGACAGATAAACACCGGAGGAAGGTGGACATGGCCATCCAACATCGGGAATGTTGGATGAACAATATATAGATTGACTTTTTTAGACGGTATAACCCTATGAACGCGGTTTACAGATGGGTATCGAAATAGCATGCATGATCGGTCGTTGACCGCTCGCTTTCGTCCTTGAAGGATTGGGCGTTGTATTGGAAGTAGATTAGACGAGCTAGATCGAAAATCTAGAACCTTGTGTATACGCTGTATATTTACTGCATTTATACCATGGCATTTCCAACTGATTGACTGCATCGCTACAATACGATACAAGTTCGGTAGAACGAGACAAAAAGCTAACTGGCCTATTAATTTATGGCCTTTTTTGTTTTGTCTACTTACATTTATCAGACCCATCTAGTAGGTAGGTAAGTAGCCAGTTACTTTACGATACATACATACATCAACAAGAAGATCTAAATAAAATCGATTGGATAGGATGGCCCCAAGGAAGATAGAGATAAGACTAGAAGAAAAAAGACAAGAATAAAGACGGAAGAAGGAAGTAGAGGGGGATGGACGGATGGTTGAGTGGACTGGTTCCTAATGATAAAGTGTCCGGGGAATGGCAAGGGTATCTAGATTAGGATCAGGTGTGGATATTATCGTTTATAGATTGATTGGTTTGGTATTAATTGGGGCGCTATATAGGTAGGTGAGGTATAGATAGATAGTATGGATAGGGATGGATGGGATGGGATGGGATGGTGTGTTTATGTGTGTATAAACGCATGTAGGTGGGTATGAATGGATGGATGTAAACAAGGATCAAGGATACGAAACGAAACAAGGAAACAAGTAGAATGATGGACGGATGGTCTGACAGATAAAAGAAACAAGGAAAGAGGAGTGTAGTGTAAACGTATTGACAAGTTGGCACCAAGGAAATAAACAAAGCGAATGTGAGAGTCGTACTGGTGGTAGGAGGAAAGTATTAGATAGTCCCGCATATGTATAGAGCCTCTCAGTCCTGGGTATCGCAGACGTGGAGACATTGACATGGACATGGACATGGTTCTCGTGATGTGAGTGAGTGAGTGAGCCGTGAAAGTAGTAGGTAGGTAGAAGAGGAGGTATCGTAAATAATAATAATAATGATAATAATAGATAATGATAACCCGACTTTTCGGGGGGTTCAGTTCGTCAACAGTCGTTTGTCCATCACGTTCTTCCTGGAGAATGGAAGGGGCAGTAGGTCCGGAAGAAAGAAAGAAAGAAAGGGTTATTATGCGGGTATGATTATAATTAAAGCAGTTCGAGTCCGTTAGGTAGAGAAGATGCTCGACTGCGGAGGACTAACGCGTCCTCTTCCGATGGACTTTCCACTCCGCTTTGGCGACTCGCATGAAAATCTCGACGTCTTTGATAGGGACCCAGCTCGTGAGCACCTTCATGGCGTTTTCAAAGTCCGATTCGAGGATGATGTCGCGCATGCCGTCGATGAGCGCCGCCGATGTCGCGTGGAGGACGTCGAGGCCCTTGCCGAAGGAGCTCACGTGGCCATTCGTCCGTTTGCTGGAACCGGTGAGGTCGTCTGCGTCGCCGAGGAGCATGAACACGTCCCATACGCGGAGTTGGGCCGCGAATGGGATGGAGTAGTTAAATAGCGTTAAATACCACCGGGTACCATATGCAGTGGGCGGGATTCCGACTTCGTTCTGTGCGTCATTTTGGTTAGTTCTGAGCCTTTTTTTTTCGCGTCATATTGAACATGATGTACGTACCAGTTGCGTGGCGACTTCACCCCCCGCCAACCACTCGCGCTCAAAATCACCCAAGGCTTCCATGAGCCCCTCGAACCCGGACCGGTACAGCTGTTCTAGCCCTCGTAGCTGCCACAGTCGCACGAGCATGATGAACGTGTGCTCCTCGTCGAAATAGGCCAGGAGGGTCGCCGCAAGTGCGGCCATACCCTGGACGTATCCCGTGTCTGGGAAGTACAGAGACATGGCATGAAGTACACGGAACAAGAGTCGTTGACCCCCGCGATAACGCCGGCGGAACATGATGTGACTGGTGATGGTGCGCGGGACATCGATGTCGATCTGCACGTCGTCGGGCGACGAGACCATTTGGTACTCGTGGTAGGCTTCGATGAGGTCTTCCTCGGTGGGACTGTCGCTATGCCTATTGGCGCTTGCCTCGAGGAACGAGTACCACGCCGTCGACCGCCATCGGTCCGGGATGCCTTTCCACGTTCGCTCGATCAGCTTGGAGCTCTGCGTGTCGAACTCGAATCTCATGCCGCCGCCGTCCTTGCTCTTCCTGGCTGGCCGCGCCATCTTCGTCCACTTGTCTTCTCTTTCCCACTCCTTCTTCCGCATTGCTCGTGCCGCTGGCGTGTTGAGCCCCTCACCAGAACTCGGGGGCTCCATTGGAAGCGTCAGCATGTCTGCCGCTTCATCCTTGTATCGACGATCGCGATTATGTGGGAGATGGTTCGTTGCCTGGCGAAAACGTGTAGTCGTCCGCCGTAATGGCGCGCTATATGTGCTTTGCGACGAAGTGGGTCGTATCGAATGTTCCGAGTTCTTGCGCGTTGGTGGCCGACCATGAAACGACCGGTTACTTGCCAGGGCCGAGGGTGGGCGGATGGAGTGCTTCCGTCGGGGGGTCTCCGACGCAAGAAGCAGACTGGTCGACACGCGCTGTATAGGGCTTGGATCAATACCTTCAGCCGAGTTGCTAGTGGGAGAGCGGATGAAGCCATAACGGTCCACATCCCCGGCTCCGATATTCTGCCAATATTCGATCCCTCCAGCCAACTCGTGGGCTTCCTTCTTGAACGTCGCAGCCGCCTCGGGACCAATAGACGACGCTATGCTTTTGGTGTCTCCCCCTTGAGAAATCCTCCCGGAAGGCCCTGATACCTCTTTGATCGCTGCACCGTCTTCCCACAGCATTCCGTTGTCCATCGCCAATGACTGCGCCACTTCCGAATCGGTCACGTTCTCCTCTCCCTTGTCGTACATGAGTCTCACGCGTCGCGACAGCATGTCTTCGTCTGCGGAAATGGCTCTGCTGGCAATGGTGCTTTGCCGGACTCGAAGTGACGACGACGGCGGTTTCGGGCGCATCACGGGCGGCGCGGGTGGCTCAACCTCGGGGGCGGGTGAATCAGCCTCAGGGGCGGGCGAATCAGCCTCAGGAGCGAGTGGTTCAGCCTCAGGGACATTCTGCTCCATTGTGGGGCTCTGTGCGGGCAAAGAGACGTTGTCTTGTTGTGGTTGTCCCTCTTGTGCAGACTGCTGACTCTTGTCTTCTGGTTGCGCTTGTTCCTCCTGCGCAGGCTGCTCACTCTGCTGCTGCGCTTCGTGTTGTTCCACTTGCTGCTGCGCTTCGTGCTCTTCCTGCTGTTCGAGTTTCTTTCGATCCCCTTTATTGATGAGACTTCCGCGTTTAGAAAACCTCATCGATTGCGACCCAAGGCCGTCCAGGGACGCCTTCGGGATATCCAGGGAAATGCCGTTGAAATGCGGCTCAATCTGGGGCACGGGTGGCGGCAAATCGGACTGTCTTTCGAACTCGCCCGACCTCTTATGTCTCAGCCCACCCCATTTGCGCTCCGACCATCGGGAACCGGGACGAGAACCAGGGCGGGAGCCCGGACGGGAGCTGGGACGAGCCCCCGAATCATTGACGACGATGTTCGGAACACTGCGCAACGAGCGCAAGCTGACCGTGTCGTCCGCTAGGCTTTTCCTATCCTTCGCGATCGGTGAGGGCGGCGAAAACCCGAGGTCTGCTTTGGTGCTGCGATGCGACGACGGGCGGAGTAGGCCTGAGTGATCGCCTGTGCGCCCGGACGATGCGCTCGTCCGAGCTGATTTGGTGTCAGAGTATATTGAGTGGACGGGCGTTGGTAGCGAAGCCGATCGGAGAGCTAGATTCTCGTCCATGGAAGCCGTTTCGTCGTAGGGAACAGCATGGAGGGTCGTGGCCGGCGGTGGCTCGGACACCACGTCGGTGGATACAGACGTGGATCGTTGGTCACTCATTCTTCTGACATGACTTGCCCTTGGGTTGTTTCTGAAGATTCTGGCTCGTGTGAGTATGCGACGACGGTGCGAGGGTTGTCCCTCTGGTCCAGGCGACGAACGTAAAAGGGTATCAAGGGAGGAAGGCAAGAGGGGTGGAGGGGGGGGATAAGGGTCGTCGTGGACGTCGTAGCGGCGATTGGCACAGTAGGCTCACAGCGGGAGTGAGGTTATACAAAGGAAGGAATGGTAAAGAATGACAGATGTGATGAGAGAGGTTCTTTGCGCAGTTGCCAGTCGGGTCATGACTGACTCCACTCGAGAGGGGGCGAAAATGTGGAGGAGCTGGAGTTTGGGAGGTTGTCCTAAAGAAGTTGGTTGGACCGCGGCTCCTGGGATGCTTGGCGGGCTGGACAACCTTAACTTTTAGCGACCGTTTCTTTTATTCGAGTGACAGGAATCAAGAATCAGGAACAGAGGGAGGAATTGACTGAGAATAATATTGAAAATTAATTAAAAAAAAAAGCTGTATGATTTACTTATCATGACCGAATCGTTAGCATCAAACATCAGCCTGAGCCTAGGGATGTTTGTACGCCATGGATCCAATAAATCGCCCCAAGCTATGTTAAGAATCCTCCTCGCCCCTCTCTTCTCCTTCCTTGGACCGGCCGTTTCGTCGATGAAGATGATTATTATTATCGACCAACCAGCCACCCGTCATCGTCACTAGAGGAACCAAAGAATCTCCAAGCAGGGATCGCAAAGGGAGAGGGGAGGGGGGCCTGAGGTCCACAACGGGACAGCCTTGGGCCGCGCAGGTTGCAGCAGTGGAGTCTCAGCCTCTTGGTGCTTGATTGTCAAGGTCAAACTAAACTGGAGCAAGTCAAGCCCAGAAGCACACCCCGAACCATTCTAGTTAGTTTGGAAATAATTATAGTAGCTTCTGTTGGAGATTATGGGAATAGATTGATTACTTGGGAGGATCGGAATTGCCGTCCCACGTTAGTATTGGTTGCGTTTCCGTCGGGCGGAAATGACATCCAGATGATAAAGAGCTGGAAACTAGGGGGAAAATCAAGTCGAAATCCATAGAAACTATCGAGAAATAGATAAATCAATAAATAGAACGAATAGGAAAGTGAAAACAAGCCCTAGGCAGAACTCAATCAAAAGGGGCGGAAAGCCACACGAGCTGATCATCATCCGCCGTTGGATAACGACATCGGATTCTCATTCATTATACATCTCTTCCTGAGTACGTACCTTTGGCACTCAATCCCAGGAGGAGAACGTCCCCTCTCCTCCGCGACGGCGACTCGTTGATTGCAGATTTCTTTCATTGAAGTACTCTGATCCACTTGGGAGGCTATCTACATCCAGTGTAAATGCGAGGATCTTGTCCTTTTTTCTTCTCTTTTTCCCTTTTTTCCCGATTTACCTTCACTCCTCCTTTCCTTAGCATATGCTGCTTCTGCCTGTTGTAATGTCCTTATCATCGCTGTGTATCGGGGAATGCATGCCACCGTATTTCCTCCGCTTGAAAATGGACGCACGCCGTAACTCCTGTGTGACCAAGACCTGCTGGCCATTAATGCAATTCCGTACCCAAAATCAAATGAACCGGGAGAGATGGTTTCACAATTAGCCCGAATAGGACTGTTGGTCAGATCCCAGGGTTAGGCCATGGCCGCATTGACACCCGGCCGAGATGGTTCGCGGGCGCCACGACCCGGTTCGATCGGCTCTTTGGGCAGCAGTTCGATCTGGCGCACCAGGAAACTCTTTTCGTCCGTGAACTGGTCGTCATCTGTCCGGTCTTCCAGGAATCGAGGGAGGAACTTGAGGAGACGATCCCGATTGTTGATGAGGATCCGTTGTACTGCCACCGATTTGTTGGGGTTCGCGACAAATACCTGAGCCCCAGCTGTTAGACAAGGCTTTTCCAGATGCCAAGGGGAAGTCAGACATACCTTGAACACATGAAATCCTTCATATTGCACCATTTTCCGATCGTCTCGCAACAATTTCATGCATAGTTTGAGGTTCTCGCCGCTCTCAACGTAGGCCATCATCACGTTGTAGTTGGCACGATCCAGCAGGATTTCACCTAGTAACTTGATGCTCTGTCGCTTGGTGACGTACGAGTCGGATTGCACAAGAACGTCGTTGAATTTGGTGAAGAAGATGTCAAAGTTGGTTGCCAGGTATCCCGTTACTAGGTTTTTGTGCCGAGTCAGAATTTCCTGTTAATCGCTCCTTGTTAGTATATGCCAAGAGAGATTGGGGGCGTCACTTACCCTGAAAGTTGTGAAAGCGTCGGCACTCAGCTCAAAGCTACCCCTATCGATCCACTCGAAAAACTTCCAAAACACGCCGTTCCCGTCCTGAGGTGTGCCGGGCTTGACCTCACTGAGCCTGATAGCTGGTTCTCCTTCCTCGGACTGGTCGTACAAGATGATGGCCGCAACCACGTCGTATTTCAGTGCTTCCCTCAAGATCGTCCCACATGGCATTGCACTGTGAGAGTATCTATAGCCTTTGCATAGCTCGATGATGACCTCGGGTCGGTTGTGGACAATGTAGGAGATGACGGGGGGGTCCCCTTGACCCGTGCCGGAGTTTTTGAAGCGAAGAATCTGGGAGAAAATTGTCTGCACGTCTTTCCTGGCTTCGAAAGGAAGACGATCAATGAGACAAGCCAGATCGTAAAGCAGATCTTCTTGCAGGGTAGCTTGGACGAGTGCCTGTACTTGTTCGGAGGAAACTTCGATCTCTAGCAAGCCATGGGAATTAGCAAACACGCTGCTCCTAACTCTATCGCTTATATCCCAAAGCTTCCATCGGGAAACCCGCAATTGATGTGCCAACCTTGTGTTCCTTGGACCATCAATTTCATGTGGCCGAGCTGTTTAGACAGGTCATCTTCGGCCTATGAGTTCTCAACCATTAGCGACCAATCCCCAGCGAATTTTGAACCAAAGAACTGGGACATGAGATAGAAGTGTGTAAACCACGTACCTTTGTTGCCGCTGGAGCTTGGGAATCACGCAGCCTATTCAACCCCTCCTTGATCGACCGAGCAACTTCTGATGGCTGCCGAGACCGACCGCGATTGAAGAAGAACGCCATACTAGCACGCAGGAGCTTATGTGAGGGGAAGTGAGATTGCTCGCTTGACAAGAACCGTACGTCACAAGGATTGAGCAGCAGATGCAGGATATGTACGACCAAGTAATCCAGTTCCTCTGGAGAAGAGTAAGGCAAGGATGGTGGACTGAGGGGGAAGCGGTGACGCTGTTTGGTGGTGTTTGGTGGGGGGGAAAAGGGAACTGTTATCGGCGGGAGTTCTGGTAGTTCTGGGCCCGTCGTCGGGTCGATAAACAAAGTCGCAAACTCAATACGGCGGGGCAACCGGACCTTTTTTTTTTTTTTTTTTTTGGCCGTCTCCATACAATCATCTGCGGATCTGAAGTTTGCGACACCACTTTCCATTCTACATTATTTATTAAAAGATAGAAGATTTTGATTAGGGGACTTCTTGGATCGCCTTTTTCCTTTTTTAGTTTCACTCCGTTTATTAACGGAATCATTTCAACTTCATCAATTATATCTGCCCCGCAGTCCGTCGCTATGTCGGCTACGCAACCTTCCAATGTGGTCCCAGTCAAGGACGACGATGCGCGATCGTCTGCCTCGGAGGATTCTGATATCAGCAACGAGGAGGGATGGGAGGATGTCGAACCCGATGATGAGACTCAGCCCGTGGTGGGCCTGTTTTCCGAAAAAGTCTATCCCGATGTGCACGCCATGTTGAAGGAGACCAAGGAGAAATACAGTTTTGATCTGCAAAAGATTCAAAGAGAGCTCGGTGTGTAACAAATCAAATTCGAGCTCAGTGCTTGAGTATTCTCTCCGCTGCCTTTGTCCGGTTGATTCAAGATTGAACGATGTCGTGAGCATTCAAGCTAATACCTGCCTTTCTCCGCCCCTTCAGGTCTGGACTTTTTGGAAAAGATCAAACTAGTCAACTACCTTCGATCCCAGGTTAAGGCTGGGAACATGTCTCCCGACGTGTCTACCAAAGAGAAGTTCGAAGACGATGCCTACCTCAAACCCGTTCTCGAAGACGATGCCCTCCTGTACAGCCTGGACGACATTGAAGACACAGAATCGGAAGCTCCCCGCGGAACCGAAGCGGATAAGCGTGTTGTGGAGCTCCAAGAAGAACTTGAGCGTCTTCAGAGCCAGTTCCTCGAATACAGAACCGCCGTGCAGAAATCTATGGAAGACCAATTGACCCAGGAAGATGATAAAATTGTTGCGGCTGGGCCGTCGACGCGGACGGCCCCCGGCAAGGCTGAGGAGATTGATGCGGATTATTTCTCGTCTTATTCTTACAATGGTAAGTCAATCTACATCGCGCGTGCTCGCTGCCCGATTGCGTCTGCTAATGATGCGCCCCCAGCCATTCACGAGTCCATGCTTAAGGATAGCATCCGCACCGATTCTTACCGCGACTTTGTTTATGAGAACAAGCACGTCTTCAAGGATAAGGTTGTTCTGGATGTTGGGTGTGGGACAGGAATCTTGTCCATGTTCTGCGCCAAGGCAGGCGCCGCCAAGGTCATCGCGGTCGACAATTCCAACATCATTGACCGGGCCAAGGAGAACATCCACGAGAACGGATTTGGCGATGTCATCACGTAAGTGTATGCTTGATCTCTCTTCGATGGTCAATTGCTGACGATATTTAGGTGCATTCGTGGCAAGATCGAAGAAGTCGAGTTGCCCGTGCCGCAGGTTGACATCATCATCTCCGAATGGATGGGTTACTGCCTTTTGTTCGAAGCCATGTTCGATTCCGTCATCTACGCCAGAGACCGTTATCTCGCTCCCGGGGGTCTCATGGTGCCCTCGCACGCTACCCTCCACATTGCCCCCTTCGCCGACTCAGACTTCGTCGCATCGCACGTCTCCTTCTGGAACGAGGTCTACGGGTTCAACATGAAGAGCATGCAGCTCGGCATCTACGACGAAGCGCTTGTTCGCAGCGTGGAGCCGTCCGTTATTCCCGCGGAGTCTACCGTCTTCCTTCCTCTCCCGCTGCACACGATCACGGTCGAGGAGCTCTCGTTCCTGAAGGAGTTCGAGGTCACCCTGAAAGACGACATCGACGCACTCGACGGTTGGTCCATCTGGTTCGACATCTTCTTCATGCCGTCGAGAGATGCTCCCATCGCGGACGACGCCGTCGTCTCGGAAATGAAGAAGAAGGGCATCGTCTCTTTCACCACTGGGCCCTATGGACCGGAGACTCACTGGCAACAGGGCGTCCTTCTCATTGACCACGGCGACAAGAAGCCTGTGGCCCTTAAGAAGGGCGAGACCATCAAGGGCAAGGTCGGATATCAGAAGAAGAGCGAGAAGTCTCGCTCTTTGAACCTGTCTATCGAATGGAGTGGAGAGAATGCTGGGAGCGGGGCCCAGAAGTGGAGCTTGCAGTAATTTGTAAGTCTTCAATTATTTGCTAGCTTCGCTTTATATATAGATTCGCTGGAATTGGCTTATGGACGATGGAATGATATTGGGGGTTATAAAAATGTGTTATGCTTGAAATCTGGGTATCTAAATGAACAATTCTTGAGCACCAGTAGCTACTCTTCGCGTGTACGATGATGTCTCGCTTGGGACTCGGCGTCATGATAATGCCTGCTATCATTTCGACCGTGACGGCGATGATGATGACGATGACGTGAGTGCGCATGCCTCTCCGAATGCGAATGTCTCTCCGAGCGAGAATGTCTATCCCGTGAATGGTCTCTCTCCCGACTTTCACGACGGTGCCGCCTGTGGTGCCGATGTGACCTCCCTTCTGAAGCCCGTCTATCTGGTGAATCGTCAAGTTTGAAGTTTTCAAGACTATCTTGCGACTGTGATCTTCTGCGACGGCGGGACCTGTGTCGTTCCTCTGACTTTAATGCTTCGAGCTCCCGCCTCCTTTCCTCGTTCCACTTTTTCCTCTCCAGCTCGACCGACTTCAACTGTCGAACACCCTTCTTCATAGCCGCAAGGGGATCATTCGAATTCATCCGGGCCTTTTCCCTTTCGCCCCTCAAAACATCTTCATCGCCCCAGACATCTTTACTAGACATAGACTCTGGCGCCACAGCGTTATTCCCCGAGGACGAATACCACGGCTTCTCCCCAACAGACTTACGAAACCCCGCCGCATTCGAAAAGCGCATAGTATACTGATCCTCAAACCTCCGCTCTTTCTCCTTAGCTTCCTTCTCAGCCTCTGAATTCTTCTCCGCACGCCCATGTTTCTCCTCAGACGGAAACAAGTTAATATGACCAGTGCTATCCTCAAGCGGGGCATCACTTGCGCGCGACGGACCCGCCGGCTCTGTCCTCCTCGCAAGCGCCAGCTGCGCATCTTCGCGCGCAAACCGGATATCACGATCCGTGTCGTTTTCGCCCGCCAGGCGCCTCCGCTTCCTCGATCTCCTCGGATGCTCTGCGTGGCTTTGGCGGTCGGCCTGGACCGGCGACGGCGACCGTGGGGCAGGTGGTGGTGTGGGCGGTCGTTCACCGCGGAGAATCTTGATCCGTCGCTCGGCGTCGACCTCCTGCATGCGACGTTCTTGTTCCTCTTCTCGGGCTTTGGCTTGCGCTTCGTCGCGCCGAACGCGCGCGATGTTCTCTGGGTTGTAGACGTTCCATGATTTCTTGCCTAGTAGATGCCTATTGGGGGGAATCGCGGGTTAGTTTAGGTGGAGTGTTGGATTGGTAGATTGGTATATCTTACAGAGGCATCCTGGCAGACTTCAGCCTTGTGGCGATGATTGGTATAGCTTTGATTCTCTTCGGTGGGAGCTGAGATGGGCTGCTTGTGGTTGAAGATCACAGTTGCGATAAGGAATCTAAGGAAGGCGGTGTGCTATATCAGCGGAAAGATAGGACATTCTGCCCTAATATCAGAATTGCCTAAAAGGAAGGTAGAAGTATAGGGAGGAAAGAGAAGTCGCATTTCCAGTATCTAACTTCCATGAAGAATAAATACTTAGAACATTTGTAACGCAGAAGAAGTAATATAAACACTCTCATTAGGCCGATTTTGATGAATTCTGGGCACTATCATTGGACATGCGCGTGAAATTGTTGAGACTTCCCCGTGCAACAGACTGGTCCGGACAATTAGGCTCAACATGGTTCTTTACCAAATTATTACTGTGTGAATATCAAGACAGATAATTAACAGTAAACTTTTAATGTGTCATTCTTACTTCTTCTTCTGTTTTCTGTTTCTTTCACTGTAAAAATCAACAGATAGGCTTACTCTTTTCCAGGGCTACTAGCATGTGACTTATGAGGACTGCTGATTCACTATATATTCACTATCAGCTACTTATTCTTCTTCTAACTTTCTGCATTCTATCACCTCTTCTTGAATTTGTTCCTCCTCGGCATCAAATCGAGATCAGCCATCCTTGATATAATCATCCAAGCACTCTGCATCTGCTTCCGTTATCACTCCATCTCTCGTTCATCGATTCACTTTCAACATGGATGCTACTCCAAATCCACAGAGCTCCTTAAAGATGGTCTCTCAGACCGAGTACAGTCTGTTGGAAGAGTGGGCTCCTCAAACCCTAGATGACTACTCATGCATCAGGAATGACAGTCCCCACGCCCAAGAGCACCAAAGAGACGTGCAGACTTTACCAAAGAAGCTTCAACAGAACCCCTCTCCTAGACGGACTAGACAGCGGTCATCTTCGGTTTATGAGGAATGGAAGGCTCAGGTGTCTTGCCCTCGAGTGAAAAGCGCCGTCCCTATTGAACCCCGCGCAGCACTCAACGACGTGAGTCCCTCTGATGTCAACCATCCTACCTCTCAAGTCGCTCAGGATTCCCACGCGGAAAACGAAAAGACCAAGGGCCATCCACGTTTAGTGGTGGGTAAGTCTATCGCCAATAACCAGAAGCCTTCCTCGAAAAGCGCAGGACAGAGTGGTAAATGATACAGCCTCCCAGATGATTCTCATGCACACAGTGTTTGAGATCCACGGTCTAATCAATTACTTTATTTCCAGGCCACAATCCAAAACCGTCCACCCGAAACAGCGAGCGTCACAATCCGAAGAAGACCAACAAGCAGCCACCCAGAACAACTGATTCTAATAAGCCCAATTCAGGACATAAACACCCTATTGGAGCCGAATTTGTTGCGCCAAATGGTACCCGGATCTGTGACGCTGATCTGGAAAAGCTGGGTGTAGGAGTTATAGCCCAGAACGGAGACAAGGCGTGTTTCCTCATTAGCTTCATAGCAGATCCCTGGAGTGGTATGGAACCAATTGAGACCATGTGTTTCCCTCGCAATGACTCGACGCCACCCTTGGAGCAGGGCGCGTTGGCCATCTTCATCGGCAATCGTTGATTTTCCTTATTGCATGCTTCAGGCCGTTACGTGGGAAATGTTCAATGAAATTACAGATCGCGGGGATGCGACACAAGGAATTATTCCGCATGGGTCTAGATAGCGGGGAGAGTTACACTACAGAAGTTACACTACAGCACTAAACGAGAAGCCGATGGTTTGCGGGTTGTCTTGCTGCTATCTATATCACCTGGGATGTATAAAGTATTGAAGATAAATCTCAGAGATTGATAGACCATTCTTTCAGTAGAGATAGCGTAGTGTCTCAAAGTTGATCGCGTCTTAGAATGAAGCGAGCTATGCCTTAATGAGTACCTTACTTGATATTGATCTCCGATAGGGTTATTGTTAGGTGCGAGAGTGTTACGGTAGCCGTTGTTATCTAGATGAAAAAAAAAAAAAAAAAATGAGTAGCAGGCATAAGAGTCGAACTGAGACTATGGTAGAGAAAAGTATGCCCTCCTCATTGTACTAGGGACATTTCAATATCCTAATTATAGATTTGAGAATTCTTTGTTTGTGGTTGGCCCCATTCTACATTCATTGTCCGGCAATGAGATCCATTGCCAATGGAAAAGATCCCCCTGGCTACTTAGAATTTTGAGTTTCGGAGCTAGGTAGATGATTCTTATTACTTCCTATTGGTTCCACTCGATATGATACTATCACAGGTTTTGACGGGTCATATCTTCTCCATGACACCCTGTCAGGGGCGTGCATACCCTAACAATCCCCCTTTCTTCCTCTTCCTTTATTCCCTCATTCACATCACAATAACTGACCTCAACATGGTGTTCCCCAAAGCTACACTGACTTTAATCACAGTTCGTATTGCTGATTTACGGCGAACAACGGTTGCCCGACTGGGATAACCAAAGTCCGACGGATGTCGCAACTTCCTTGACTTCACGATCCTTCGTCATAGAAAACATCCAGGTTCCCACATCCCCCCACAAGCCACAAGTACCGTACTTGACAGGAACCCACATCACGCTAAGGACCCGCTGTTTGGGCGGTATCCACCCAGCTTGATTGTTTCTCCAATGGAAAGGGGCGAATGCATGAGGTGAGGTCTATTTAAGATTACGCTGGTCTAACATCCTGCAGCTATAGCTCCATGTATCTCTCACGAGCCTAAATACTAGCCGCTACCCTAACAAAGGAGCCCCCTCCCTGTACCATTGGCTACCAAGCGGTATTTTTACATATCTAGTGTCTCGAGATTTCGCCACGTGTACGGCGCATGGGCGCCAAAAGGGTCCACATCTCGTTATCCCGAACGCAGGGTCTCCCGATGGCACCTGGTCAACTCCGGCGGTAAAAGCGGCGACAAAACTGATCGGATCCGGGGGGGTGGAGCGGAGCGGGGTTGGGCGGAGCTGAACAGTCGCCGTCCTGCACTCGCCCACCTACCTACTTCACCAGCGGGCCGTTCTACACTATATCATGTGATTGCAAGGGTAATTCGACCTGTCCGTCTGACTCCGAGCCACGCCCCCCTTGGAATTGTGGCTGGAGTGTGATTTCCCCTGTCACACCCCTTAGGGCCCCGTGGTGTGTGCCTCGGGGATGCTCGGAGGACCGTGCTCCCTTCGCTACCTCCGCGGGTATCCCACAAGGTGATCATGGGTTTGCGCATGACCTGAAATGATCGTCAGGGATGGGCCCCATGGTAGGATGGTTCGATGTCCCGTTGGCTTGGTACCTGGAAGGAACCGGGGTGACAACGTGCACGTGAGTGGATCCAGGTAAAAGGTAAATTTGACCTTCCCCCTTGCTCTCTCGCGGTGGGAATGCAGTGACTTCTGAAAGATGAAATTGAATTTTTCCCAAGCAGTAGACACAAGAACGCGCCCAACATCAGTTTGTGGGAAATCGATTATAAACAGCAGACCGTCCCAAAACGCCAATCCGTGAACCAGCCATAGGCTGGATCACAGAGAAATGACAACCATTGATCCATCCCGCGAAAAGATAATTAAACATGAACTCATGACCGCCGCCAATAAATATATACCGTGCCCCTGAAAAGAAAAGAAAAACGATGAAAGGTTCATTTTCTCCACGGGGAGATCAGTTGTCGTCGTCAAAAGTGTACTTCTTCGCCGCTCGTCGGTACTCATCAGGGTGCGCACGTTCGGCCTTTGTCTTCAGGGAACTGATAGTGATATCTGTCAGTATGCATGCTACAGGTTGCACGGCTTTGTCATCTCCGCAGGAGATTCAATTTTGCAAATCCGACTCTTGTATGCTGCCAAGAAAGCCGAAAAGAGTGGAGAGCGGCGGAAAATCCACAGTACGGCGGAGTGGAATCCTCCGGCCGGTATACCATAAAGGGATGGCAACGGAGAAGCGGAGAAAGGCTGATCACTCACTTTACGCGTTTCTGGGTCCACTCAAGATCCCGCTTGGTCTCACGGGCAACCTTGATACCGTCTGAGAAATTGGCGCGGGCACCTTTCAATCGGCGCTGAGCGAGTGCTTGCAACTCAAGAAGTTCTCGCTGCTTTGCGTTCAACTGGCCAGACCTATTTGAAACTCGTCAGTGGGCATTCTCCTGGTCGATTGTTCTCCTTCCGCCCAACTTTGATCGGCAGACAGATCGGAGCGTCTAAGTAATACTCACGTTTGCGCCTGCTTTGCTAGGCCTTTGTCCAATGGGGTCGGATCAAACACATTCTGCATGCGATCACTCAGAACGTCCATAACATCAATTCCGGAGTACGAAGCGGCACTGGTCTCGTACTCGCCGCCCACGCTTCCGGAGCCATAGCTGAACCCAGCGGAGGTGCGACTTCCCGTAGTGGTGCTGGTGTCAGAGACATCTGGAGGAGAGCCAGATATACGACTGACGGGATAGAGACCGGCTGGGGCAGGAGCTTTGGAGGGAACATTGATAGGGAGGGCAGGGGATTGATAGTGATGGGTGGCCATTGTGGTAAGATATGTCGAAGGACAACAGACGTTGAACTAATAAAACAAGGTGACAATGGTGCAACACTGAAGACCAGTGATCTGACAAGAGTATAGATGTGGTTGAAGAAGTATGGTATGAGAGAGTGGTTGGAACTAGGTAAGTTGATATGACCGGGCTGGGATAGGAAGTCGAGGACGGGAGAGATGAGAAAGGAAGAGGGAGGGACAGGATGATCGAGGGAAAAGATGACGCCTTTTATAACCATCCTCGGAAGTTCTTCCATCCGGCGGAATGGATCTCATGAGGAGAATGGGTTGACAAGAGGGGGTGGGAATGTGATGGGCGAAGCCATCATTGGGCACTGGACCATCCCGGAAGCCTTTACTCCCACTTCCCCCGACTCCCATCCTTCCTACTCCTCCAATTCTCTCCAATCCCAACCCACCAATTCCACCCGGTCCTCAACTTCTGGCTGCCAATTCGTCCCTTGCCCCGATTCGACCCCGCTCTGGGTGGAAAATTGAAACCTACGAAGCGGAGACAGATGGACGGAGACTGGTCCAGCCCTCTCTCCTCCTCCACTCGGCCATCCTCCCGCACGGCCGTGGCGAGTCTTATCAGGCATTGACCCAAAAGAGTCTTGAAAATTGCCTCATACAATTGGGCTGTAATGTGAGAGAAAGTACTTTCGCTGCAAGATATAAAAGGGAGTTGGTGGGTGTCCCGCGGACAGGCTCGAAAAGTTCATATCTGGCCCGCTCCGCGGATGACCGCTGCTACTTATGACCGACTCGTTCCTTCCACTTCTCCCATTTCCCTTCATTCTATCTCTCTTTGACGACTCCTTTTTGTGCTTCTTTCATCTCTCACTCGGTTCTTAAATTCATCTAGCCCTTCTCTCCCCTATTCTTCGTCTGCAAATTTCTCAGGTTTATAGATCTGCTATTTCCGCGTTTCCAGCTCCTAGACCGCGTGCCACCCAATTTTCAAGAATATCGGGAGGCTGGGTGGCTGGGAGAAACATGGCCCCTGGGACCAGACTCGAGATGAACTCGGCATCGATGTGATACCAGAATTGTCCGACGGGACTACCGCAAGTTGACAGCCCTGAATTGTCGATTTTCCTCTATTCTTCATCAGAAACGCTCCATATTCGGGGACAAAAAGATGTTTCAACTATGTTTTCACATGGTTGATGTACTTGCCTACGTCTCACAAGCATTGCTATTCCCATTGACTGGAAATGAGACTGCCATGAAGAAGGAAAGCCAGATGTTAGACATTGCTCATATTGATTGAGATACCAAACACATGGCCTGCTTGGTGTATATGTCAAATAACCAGCTTTCATGGTGCTAGGTAAGTATGATTTCAGATCTTCATGGTCCTGCAGCCGGGCGTGGGAGTGGAAATCAAATGGAGGATAGGGAGCTGAAATGAAAACAGGACCCACGTCCCAACATCACAGGACGTGAGGATTGACAGATTTGGACACAGTTGCATGGAGTGGAAAAAGCCGAGTCTATTGGTGCCGGTTATCGTCCACGACTGATGAAGATTCGTGCCCCTGTCCTGCACATCCATGTAACGAATGCCTAAGATCGCTCAAGTGGTACTGCATGGTATTGGGATAAAATCGTCAAAAGGGATGTGAAATTGTGTAACGTGAAGAGCTCATTCGTTTCTCAGCATACTGAATGAAGAAAGAAAGGAACCCGGATTTCGAGACATCCTTAGATCCCACTGATCGGCGGCTGTCTGTGAATCTTCTGGCCCAAACAAAACCAGTACTCCGAGAATGGAGAACTCGATACCGTGAGCCGACGACAAGCGCTTAAAACGCCGCCAATGAGAAGATCTCCCTGGGAAATTGGGCCACGGGCGACTTCGACAGACAGCTTGTTTTATGAAGTGATCAAGCTTTTGCAAGTTGAGTGACCGGCTTTATCATGTGGGAGTTACGACATTAAGTTGAATATGGGGGATGAGACCGGATGCTAGAAACGACAGAAAAAAGGGCCCACCTTTACTAGCGAGAAAGAAGATCTCTCGCTGATATATTGGCCACAGAGAAACTTGCTTGACCCAACATGCAACTCCCCATGTCCATTCATATTCCAGGAAGGGGGCGAAGGCCACCCAGTGTTATCCACCCCGTTCACGTTTAAATCCACCCGAAGCCTAACTGCAGTAGTGACAACCATTCGCTGGAAACTCCTTTTATGCGGGTATCGTCATCGCCCACCAACCTTGCTGCCTCACGGTTGTTGCCTGACCAAGTCTGGCTAGCGGTCCCTCCCGGTTCTCGACTTTGTCTGCATATCATTTCGACAGCGAATGCACAGGGAATTGGCCGCATCAAGAGCCCCTTTACTGGCTGTTAGCCCGACCGGACTGTTGGGTTACACAGTGGACCAACTCACTACTGGATAAGAGCGGCACGAGGGGCCTCTCTAATGACTCCACGACGGCTTTGCCAAACTGGGCGATGTTTCCCTGTTTCCCTTGCCACCGGTATATAATTGACCTGCCAAATCAATATATATGACGCCAGTCAAACAGAAGCAGTTGAGCCTCTAATAAACCGAGTCGTGATTTTGACAGGCTGGATATCACCTCCTCCATCTATTCTGTTGAGATACTCTAATCACCCCACGAGTTCATGTTTCAATGCATCTCGATTGCATGGATTGGAGTCCATTTTTATCGGATTCCGTACACGGGTTCCAAATACGGTAGCCTTCAAGGGTCTGTCCAAGGTTCCTTTGCACAATCCCAACTGTGCCCAACGACTCAGCTGAGGTCCGTGTTAGGGCTTATCATCAAAGACGGGCAATAGGTCCAGTCATGCCGTCGCCTTTCCAGAGGAATAATACCTTTTGTGTTCAACATTGATCCTCTCCCAATGATAGCCGAGCCCGCACCCCCCATGTTCGTGGACGCAAAAATGGTCGCAGCGAATGTGGGGTTGGGTTGAGATTCGCCTATAGTGCGTTCGCTTTTTTTTTTTTGACCCATCCTTCCTCACCGCCACAAGCAAAGCCGATACCTGAGTACAGGTCCAACGAACCGGCTTCGCAACCTATTGGGTGTCAAAACGATAATCAGGCCGTACGGGTCTGTTACCCTTCTATGTTTGACTTTCTAGAACGTAGTGGGTTCTCGACAAGGTTGGACCAAGCAGTCCAACGACGTGGCCCGAGAGAGGCCGGAGCGGATGCCAACACCCCCATGCTCATGCCTGACCTACTTAAGGCCCATTTTTTGGGAAAAGCATCTAACCTCTCCCTGCATGAGAAGCCCCTCCTCAGATGCTCGTCATAATAGACGGCATGGCATCTGGAAGCATGTCTGTCACTTGCCAGTGCCGTCTTCAATTAAAAGCGTTGGGCATTTTGGTTCTACCCCAACACTGATTATCCTGGAGAGAAGTACCTCTTTTACTTTTCAGTTTATTCCTCTTATACTATTTATTTTCCATCTCCGTGATGTTTTCAACGGCATTCCACTCTTCACCCAGTCTAGGCATTTGTGCCACCGGACGCAATGCAGCTCATAGAGGGGAGGGGGAGGGCGAGGGAAAAGAGCGGAGATGGCGCTAGCTCACCACTGCGTTGGCACCTGTCGCCCCGATGAGGTATGGCGCCACAAGTCCTGGACTCTGCTAATGATCTGCATCTCTTTATGCCAAGCAGGCCGTCAAAACGAGAGAAAGAATACATTATCCAATAAATAAAAACAAATAATAGACGTGTGCAGAGAAATAGCGACACAATTGGTGTCAACATCATCAGAGCATCTCTTTTACAAATAAACGTACCAAAGATGCGCGTGCACCATGTTGTATTGACAAAGTCAACGTTAGTTAATCATCTGGACACAGCCAAACTTCCAGTTACACAGCAAACGAGGTCAGTCCGTCTCTATCGGCGATTTCGCGTATATCTCAGATGAGCCACATGGTTAGCAAAGGCAGCAAGGGATGCCATGTCACAATGACGTTGGCATCTTACTTATTATACCAGGTAGCTACCCATTCAGAAAAGGAAGGACGGGATTTTGGTAGATTGGCTCCCATGTGACCGTTAGTCGAGGTACTCAGATGGACCATACAGAGGGGTTGTCCGTACGGCGCCTCTCTTGGCTGATTGACCGTCAGTGAGACTAGGTAGAAATGAGTGAGTGAATGAATGAGTGAGTGAGTGAGTGGCACTTGGTTGTAGATTCCACTGCAGGTTGATTAATGCCCTTTCGGTCGCAGATGCGTTGCTGCTTACAACAAGTCAGAGCAGAGTAGGTGGATAGATGATTGTCGATACACTAGTAGTATACTACAAGTACCTGCTGCTGTTGATTTTCAATTATATAAGGGCCTGAAGATCCAGTACAAATATAATCCGGTCGTCCAACTACTATCCAGATAGCGATAGCATTAGCGTGCAGTATCTACAAATATGCGTACCATAGATGCACATATGCTCAAGAAGAGAGAAAAGAAAAAGACCAGATTATAAGTTTATGTATATGATTAAGATGGAGAATGCTCTTGATATCAGCAAATACAATTCCAGAAGATAAAGAAAAGTTCGTGCTCATAATAAGCTGGTATCGGGGTGTAAAGCCAAAGCCGTAAAAGAGGAGGGGGGTGAACATGGGTTTAAAACAATATGAATGCTCAACAAATCCGAGAAAGAAAAACAAGACTGACGCCATGCACGAGATTTGAAAAATTTCAAAGTATATGGATAAGATAAAAAAGCTTGAAAAATCCGGCGGCCCCCGTAATGCTGAAAGGTATCACTCAAACTTGAATGCCGAATGCCGATGAGATGCATGGTGTGGAGAATAGTAAAAAAGGAGAGAAAGGGGAAAAAAGAGGAAAAAAGAGCAATAGCCAAATATAAGAAAAGAAGAAAACGGCCTGAGTATATAAGCCGTCCAAAGACAAGTTGCGAACAGTGGTAGTAGTATGAATAAGTCCAAGCCCTCAAAACCATCCCAAAAAAAAAAGAAGAAAGGCGCCTTTCCGTCCGATATAGCTCTCGCCAGCCCAAAAACTGGGGCCCAGCCCATGATAAGAAAAAGACAATCCAACTAGTAACAGATATACATCATGGCACGGGAAAAGGTTGTCACAGGGATTTATTTGCAGATATTCACGCGACCAGCGACTTGGGGAGCGCGTGGCAGGCAGATGCCTGAAGTCGTCATGTTGCATACAAGTGCGTGCTCTTCCGATAGGCGGGTGTCGTCCTGTCTGCTCTACTCTACTCTTCCCGGTGACTGTCCTCACTGTCGGGTCTGAGGCGATCTCGGAGTAGGAGCAGAGGTCGGTTGGGGTCGAGCAAACCAATCATCATCTTTCCCAATTCGTTGTGTTTGATGGGCTTGGTGACGTAGTCGTTGAAACCTGCACGCGCTGCATCCTCAATCTGATCTGTCATCGCATTGGCCGACAGGGCCATGATCGGGATTTGGGGGTAGTGGTTCTTCAACTCCCAGGCACGAACATCACGGCAGGTGTCATAGCCGTTCTTAATCGGCATTTGAATATCGCACTGCAATAGTGGGTTAGCCACTCCTTCCTACACCTGATCAGATTAGAATGCTGGTCACTCACGATGATGAGAGAATAGTATCCCGGTTCCTTGGAAAACACCATCTCGGTACACTCCTGTCCATTGGCGGAAGTTTCGGCCATCACCTTGATTTTATCAAGATATTTCATCATGACCTAATTTCAAGTTAGACATGTCAAATAAAGGACAAACCAACGACGCGTCTTACCATGCGATTGGTCTCGTCATCCTCGACGAGTAGAACGCGATATCCTTTGTTCCCGATAACTTCTTTCACCATCTTCGACATAGTTTTGAAATTATTATTGATTTCTCGGGCCATGTCCTGGTTTCTGTCCTTGCTCAGGTCGCGTCGGTTGTTGGGGTCGAAGATCGCCGAAAAAGCGGACGGCTTGACGGGCTTCGGCACAGTGTATACACGCTTTCCGCTTGACGACAGCTCCTTGATCTTGGTATTGATCAGTCGTTTTTGGTAGAGGTCGGAAATGATAACGAGAGACGGGGCAGTAGCAGGGTCGCAATCGGACACATTTTGGATCATCTCGGCGACATCGTCAACACTCGGCAAATTGAGAACCAGATGGGTGGGTTTGAAGCCGCCTCGATCATTCATTGAATCCCTCCAATCCTCTACATCGGGCATTGTTGTTATCGAAAATGGGACCTCGTGTGGTACAACTTGCTCAATGTGCTGCTTGATAGCTTTGCGCGTATTATCCAACGGACAAAGGATGAGGATAGAGTAGGGGGTTTGAGATTTCGAGGTGCTAGGTTCTGTTTTGACCGAAGCCGGTTGCTGAGAAGACAACTGTACGTTATGCGAAGTCCCCGTCCCCACGGAAATGGACTCTGCCGCGTGCGATGTTGAGCCCACTGCTTGGGGTCCAGTAGTGGGATTAGTAGAGGAAACAGAGGGCGATTGAGGGAGGTTCGATGCAAGGCGTGAGGGAGGAGGCGGCTGAGATTTAGACGTTTCAAGAGCAGATGAAAGTTCGGACACATCTGAACCTTTGGAGCCGATAGAGGTGGTGTGGGAAGACGCGAGTTTTGGAGGGGGGGCTGGTTTCGTCTGCATCGCAGGAGTCTCAGGTGTAATACGCGCAGATCGAGGCTCCTCGGCAGTTAGCGGAGGGGGCGCATCGACCTTAACATAGAAAGAGAACTTGGCCCCTTGACCTTCTTTGCTGCTAGGGGTCAATCTACCGCCATGCATTTCAACAAGCTGCTTAGACAAAAACAGCCCTAACCCACTGCCGGCATGTTGCTGAGAGCCATTCTGGCCAAGTTGGCTGAACCGTTGCATCAAACGTTCGGCGTCTCTGGCGCTGAATCCTTTCCCGGTATCAACGACATCAAAGTTCAACAGCAACTCGGTCTCCTTAACAATTGCAGATGGGTCACGGTGCATTGAGCAGCAAATGTGGATTTCCCCTTGCGCAGTGAACTTGACCGCATTACCAACGAGGTTGATGAGAACCTGACGAATTCGGAACCTGTCCCCAACAACCATCGGAGGGACATCGACATCCATGAGATAGTTGATTTCGAGACCCTTGTCGATAGCCCTAGATGAGACAGTGTCGATTACGTCTTCGATAACTGACCGCACATGGAACCAAGAGTTTACCAGGTTCATCTTTCCAGCTTCGACTCTCGACACATCAAGGATATTATCGACCAATTCTCGCAAATTGGTGGAACTGTTTTGAATCGTGTCAAGCATCCGCCTCTGATCAGTATCCAGGTGGGTATCGAGGATGAATGGGATTGTGCCAAGTATTCCATTCAACGGCGTTCGGATTTCATGAGACATGTTGCTGAAAAACTTGGTCTTCGACTCCATCTGGTTGTTCAATTGTTGCATGGCCTTGTTAAGTTCTCGTTCGAGGTTCTTGCGGTCGTTTATGTCCGTGCAGGTACCATACCACGAGGCCTCTCCGCTGCCAAAACTGCTGGTTTCCACGCGAATTAAGCGGACAAGATGCCACCGGAAGTCCCCACCCTTGGAGCGAAGGCGAATCTCCGTCGAGTAAAACACCCGTCCATTCTCGTCCTTCTGCACGGAGGCGACTCCGCGCCTCACAAGCTCATCCAGTGCGGGGGTAACGCCATGAACGAGAGGTCTCTCCAGTGGAGCGGTACTCGTTTTCGCCAGGTCGGTTGATGATTCGCCGAAATCCGGAAAAGCGGTTCCGGCTTGGGATTCGGCAATGTACAGCGAAAGTACTCCGCACTTCTCCAAATCATCCGGATGTATGTGTTTCGCGAAACCGAAGTTGAGAGCCTCCTCCAGCTTTTGGCCGGTGTAGAGATGCCATTGCTCGTTGGCGAATATCAGGCCACGATACTCGGTAGCTTCGAACACGACTTGCGGGATTGAGTTGGAGAACGCCCGGTACTTTGCATCGATTGCAAATTTTTCTCTCTCTTGCGTGGCTTTAAGCTCGGCTATGTGCTGCTCGTGTATGTCAAGGAACGAGCCGATCCAGTATAACACCTCTCCCGTGCCAGAGATAAGAGGGTTTGCCCGGAAGATAAACCAACGATACGCCGACTCGTCATTATACCTCCGCACGCGCACGCGTTCAGTGAATTGCGAACCCGTCCGTAGGGCATTGGCCCATTCCCGTGAGACATGTTCACGCTCACTATCGTGAATATTCTGCCAAGGATCTCTCAACTTTTGATCCTGGTGTTGGCCCCTTCTGTACGCGTCAAACTTGGAATTGGTCCATACCACTTCCCCACTCTGGGGCTTAGCAAGGAAAAGATGGAGAGGGACCGAGTTCAGCATTAACTGGGAAACTGTTTCGGAAAATGGGCGTGGAACTTCACGTTGTAGCTGAGCGTAGAAAGAATTTGTTGGGGGATGGCGGGATGCGGCTTGGGTTGGAGAGATAACGGGGGGTGCTTTCGACTCTTGGGGCGGAGAGACTAGTGGTGGACTCGGATCTTGCGCGGGGACCTCTTCTTCGACCGGGTTCCTATTTAACGGTTTTCCCGGGGATGTAGGTGTCGACGATGCAGCGTTTTGCTTCAACTTGCACAGACGGCTCCGATGCTGATTGATGGCCTCACGGAAGTTCTTGGACTGATAGACATTGAAGTAACTATCGATGTTGTCATTGCTGACCTTGGCAGGTAAACCGGATGACTCTCCAGGGATGTTCGTCACTCCAGTACCGATGTTGCTCAACTCAAACCCGGGTGTACCCAACCCGGAGATGGAAGGGCTGAGCTTCGTAGAATGAGGTTTTTCATCGGGACTACAGAGGCTGGCGTGCGCTGATAGAGACCCATCGTCGCCAATCGTATAGTTGACATGCCCACTGAGACCAGCTACGAGTTCTAGTTCACTGCTCTCGTCGGAGAACGTACCACCCAGACCGAGAAGCTGTCCGTAGCGAGGAGCTTCCAGGCGCGTGGCAAACTGTTTCTCAAGCTGACTGTATTGTTGAGCCAAGCAAAACGAAGTCGTAAGGTGTGGTATGAGATAGGACAGCGACTGCCTCAGGTTCGAAGGGTAAGGTATCGCGGGCGAAAGTATGGATATAACCGCAACCGGAAACCTCAACGTGCTCGACGATGTTTGTTTGGACCGCCCCGCATGCACAAGGGGAATATGGACCACCGACTTTGCGGTGTCCACCCCGATCGCTTCTAGCGGCCTGAGGGTGGCATAGTCGTGAGGAGGGGGATGTTTTGCAAAGGCACCTTCATCGACGGTGTGGCTGGTGAAGAACGGGTTTTGGTCGGCTTGTGCGCGTGGTGCCGGGGACGGAGCAGGCGACTGGGACCAAGGAGACGGCGGCACTTGCTCGTACTCGTCGAAGATTTCCACCGATGGGTGCCGACGCGCGGGGGTGTCGGGGTTGATGGGGTTGGACATAGACCTAGATCGAGGGTCGTAAGGTGCTGGTTGGGCGTTTTGGTCCTCCGCAGTCGGTGTCGTCTGAACCCGATCTTCCGGGGTTTCAATCGCCTGGCTCTGCGAAGGCTGGGAACTTGCAACATCGCCTGCATATTCGCGCGTCAACACAACAGGCCCCGTCCGCCCAAACAGCTTCGCGACACCTGTTCTTTTGATCAACGGGTCGGTTTCGGCCTCCAAAGGCCTAGGTATCGGGAAAACAGCTTGCCGAATATTATATCGAGCAGGACTTAACGTGTCAAGTGATTGATCTTGGGTAGGGATGCTTTCCTGGCCTGAGCTTGCTTCGACCCGCGATTCATTCACTGGCACAAGGGAAGTGGTGTCGCTGGCAATCAGGGCGCGTTTGATTTCCACCCTCGAAGACTGATTCTCTTGCAACAGATGATGCAATGCGTCCGATTTGTGCGACGTGGGAGGTTTCTTGTCTTTACCAAATCCAGCGAACGAATGTCTCGAGAAGAGCGCGGGTCGCTTGAGCGAGGCAGCGGCGGCCAGCCCTTTCGTCGAGTCGTAAGCGTTGACCTCTCCCTTCTGCTTATCTGCGTCGCCTGAGTCCCTCCGGGGACCGTTCCCCGCTCCCGCCGCCTCGGTGGGCATCTTCTGGCTCTCGACCTCGACCCCTAGGTTGTTGTCGAAAACCGCCTTCTGACCCCACGGGACATTCTCGAGGTCTGTCGCATCCCCAGGAACAGCAAGTGAGGCCCGCTCCGCACCGTAATGCCTTTGCAAGACCTGAACCACATTGGTCCACCACGCATCCAGGCCCGGGTCCGCGTTCAGTCGCAAAGTTATATCGTACAGATTCGGCGTAGGGTAGACTGGATCCTCGGCCTGATTTTTAGGGTACGAAGGGAGAAAGATGCCGTGAGGGGTAAGGGACTTCGCGGCGGTGGGCGGTCGCTCGTCCGTGGTTGGCGATGGCGCCATATGGAACTTGAGCTTCTCGGCGGGAAGGGTCAATTTGAAGGCCCCATTGTTGGTCGCTGGGACTTGCATCGAGCGCCGTGGCGCCTGCTGGTCCATCGTGGGGAACGGGTAAGAAGAGACCTGGTTGGGATGGTTCTCGGACGAACCATGGTGGTCTCTATCCTTGATCGTACCGGCCGAGCCGGTAGAGTCGGAATATGGCGCCGACGATAAACCTTCAGCTGCGGGCAACGCGACCTTCGGGGGTGATACATTGGAGAGACGTCGTTTCCTGCCTAGCTCGTAGGGGTTCGATAGTGGATCCGACTGAGGAACAGCTTCTCGCGGGGCTGATGAGCTCTGGCTCTGGGATTGCTGCATCTGTTGGTATACCAGCAACTCTTCCATCTGCCTCCGAAGCTCCTTGAGCGTCTGTAGACTTCGGCCTTGATCCTCTTGGGGATAGTCCTTCGGCGGATGGGGGTTCTCCTTCGCAGGTAATGGTACGTGGCAAGGATTCGGGGTCTGTTCATGCACGATAGAAGAACGAGAGTTAGCCTTGAACCCATTATCTTCCAACACGGCATTTGTATCGGCTGTGTATGCATCGGGGTTGCCGGGAACGGAGCCGGAGGTCGAATGAGAGACATGATAATGAGAATGGGGGGCGGCAGCAGGCGACGGAGCCTCAGCCGATGATGGAAGCGGAGGCGTCCTCATGCTGTGGTGAACTTCCCCCATCCTTGACTCCGTCCACCGCCAGTCAGATAATCAATTCTCCTGGGCGATTCCAACTCCACAGGAGCCAAATGGGACACTCATCTCTCGGACAAACAGGTCCGCAATCAGAGAGTAGGGAACGAGGGAAGCCAGAGAGAGAGAAGGAGCAAAAACTCAAAAGGCAAAAAGAGGGGCAATAGGGAAAGGTAAAAAAAAAAATAAAAAAATAAAAAATAAAAATAAAGTAAAATAAAAAACAAAAAAGTGGAAAATGGAAAATGGAAAATGGAAAAGTAAAGGAAAAGGAAAAGGAAAAAGACCGAACTAAACACTAAAAAATAAAAATGAAAATAAAAGTGTAAAAAAATAAGTGTGACTTAAGAGATAGAATGATGATAGAGGTTTAAAAAGGGGGGGGTGGAGAGTGGATGTTTTTTTAGAAACCGTGAACCACCAGAAAAAAATCCCCTTCCAGGATGTACCACGGTATAATTCGGGTATGAAGCAGGAGGGAAAAAGGGTGACAAGAGGAAGTCGAGGAGAGACTAACAGAAAGACAAAAAAGAAAGAAACGGGAGAAGTGAAAAGGGAAGGGAAAAAAAAGGAAGTTCTTCTCCAGAAAGGTCACAAAAGCGGTGTATCAAAAAAACAGTGGTGGTAAAAAAGCAACAGATGATTGTGAAGAGGCCCAAGAGGAAAAAGGGAAAGTTTGACTGATCTGACCTTTCCTAAGGCTTTCAAAGCACTACTGGAGCACTTTGTGCTATTCGACCCAGCAGATCGACGATTTGTGAATGTGCTGAAAGGTGTAGTGTGGAAATGGTCCGCCTCCGGGGGGGGGAGAAGACCCAAGCTATGACGTAGGAGAGCGACTGGGGCTCTGACAAAACCGCGGTTACTGACAAAGTCTCCCAGACTCCGGGGCTGAGGATGGTTAGAGGGGTAAGAATGGCGGGTACCATGTAAAGGGAGAAGTGTGACGTAGGAAGGGGGAGAAAAGAAAGGATGCAGAAAACACAAGAAGGATGAGGTCTAGGTTCTTTACGGGTGAGCTCGCGTTTGTTCAAAGATCTAGAAAAGATCAAGAAGAAAGAAAGAAAAAAAAAAAAGAAGAAGGACAAGAAACCAAGACTGAAGGTACCAAGAGAGAGTGCGAAGGGAGGTAAATTGTAATGATTTGAGGGAAAGGATGAGCAAAGCTAGGAGGACCGGAAGGGAAGTAGAATAGTCCGTCGTGGAGAGCAGAATCATTCTTTTAACTGTTTAGGTCGAATGGGAAAGAATATTATAATCATTATTATCATTATAATATTGTGATCTTCTTCTTTTTCATGATGATGTTGTTGTTATTATCATCAGTATTATTTCTCATCATTGGTGATCATATAAGACAGGGCACATAAACACACTTCAGTTCAAATGTAAAAATAAAAATAAAAGTTTTTGGAGAAACATAATAATAATAATAATAATACAATGCATCAGTCTCGGTAAGATACGAGAGTGACTCCCTACCTACGAGGCTGAGGGATGGTGTTGAATGTTGCTTTGTTCAAAAATGCAGCGTGCTTGTTGATGACCTCATACTCGCAAGGTCCAGAGACCCACCGGTAACCTCCAAACCAGACATGATGGGAAGAATTCAAGACATGATATGTTAATAGATCAGAATCCTTTGGTACGAGGATTTGGTTGATTATCTTCCATGCCTCTTTGACACCGATATCTTGCACAGAACCCTCCCGTCAAGCATGTTCCTGGAGATCTTAGGGATTGTGAGGTGGATTCTCTTCCCGCCCCGTTTGTATTGCCCAGTAAATACCCGAGAGGACAGCAGACGGTGGATGGGATGGGGAGCATCCCACTAGAAGTCAGTCCTCAGCAAATTGGATTGGTCAAGAACCCACATCTTTCTTGTCTCTCACCCTTGGGAATTACTAATAGGCGTTCCACTAGTTAACCACTGGAGGATGCAGTACGGACAACCCCGGACAGTTTTCATCAAGAATGACTTTGGGCCCTTGGGTCAGGAGGTGAAGCTTGGGATCTAACTGATTGCCATGAAGTTGTCATCAGGACGAGTGGATCAGTGGTTCGTCAGCCTGCCTGCCTGCATGTACCTACCTAGCTAACTCCAGTCCTCTGTCAAGATTCAGTGACAAGTCTCCCCTGAAAAGCTACTAGAGGGGACCGATTGATTGACTCCACATTCTATTGATTTAAGGGGAACGAATGTTATAAAATAACAGCAAGACAAGGGAAGACAGTCGATTCCACTGATCTAAAAATACGATTAAAACGAACCCAAAGGACCACCGACGTCAGCCCAGCACATGGCCCTATACTATCTATCTTCCGAAGGATGGAGTAGGCGCTCCTGACTCCAGAAATTCGGTAGAGATCAGTACCTAGTACCTACTAGGTACTACCTACAAGGATCAAAGCTAGATGGTATGGACTATTCCCTCTAGAATCACCAATAACCATGACAACCAGTAGTGCGTTCTAATGATTCAGTTTGTATCGAGCTCTCTTTCTTACTGCATAACGGAGGTAATTACTGTATACAAAATCATCAGCAATGCAGAATAGACACATCTACTACATTTACTACGCGGCAGGCAATATAACAATCCACCATCATCAAGTTGCCTACTTACGGTGTAGTAGCCACGTCCCCCATAGGATCCAGATACCCCAAGCCCATTCCTCCGTTGCTTATTACAACACGCCTGCTATGGCCAATCTCCTATTGAACCAACACGAGTGATCCTTCCAGGCTACATCATCCCGAGTATTTGGTACAGGATTCCATCTTTCCAATGGATAGCAAAATCGATAAATTCAAGTGCTAGACAACTAGTCAATAGTTGGTCGATTAGTGCAATGCTAGCGACAGTTCACCCGACCTCCTATCATCAGCCATCATGTTGGATGGGCGACAAATTATGGGGCCCCGTCAGGGGCTCTCGTAACGGCCGAGTCACCCGGGGCTTCTATTCCACATCATCAGCTCTCAATAGTTCCAATCCTAATCATTCAATGACTCGTCGTCATTCACTGATCCACGCTAGCAACTGTATATATTTATCAAATATTTACCTTGAAGACAGCTCTAGAATTAATTATCCTTTTCTGACACGAGTCAGTATTGCTTTTTTTCAATCTGACTATATATTTCCCAAATTCTTCCTGCCATTCGCCTGTAGTCAGTTATCTGTAGAGTGACTTATCTTTTTTGTAAGGGACTCTACAAACACACCAAGAAGCTTGAGTTTCCTCACGCAAGTCACAATGTTACATAGTCTCTCTATATCTTATAACCATGCCAGTGGTTTCCTGTTTGACGAAGTTTGTTTTGAAGATTTGAACCTCCGTTGGAGGATTTAGTATTGGGCTCATTTTGACTGATTCTACGGAGTATCAACTAATATACTATTAAATAGTACCAACGGGAGCATCCCGAGCGCCTACGCCTACTTAACGCTCAATGCATGTCTTTCATTCAGGTGCGATGATAAGGAGACCCTGGTTTGATCCGCTGGTAGTATGAATTGAATGAGGTTATGCCGAAGGTTAAGCAATATAAATAACCAGTCACCCGCATTAATATGGAACAATGGTTGATAAAAGATTAGATATATCACATACTAAGCCCTGTTTAGATTAATCTTTCCACTTCTGATGAAATATATAGACATCAAACTTATCGAACCTATCTCAATATTTCAATCTTTGCCCATAGTCTGTCATTATTATGCTTCAATATGCTGTCTCGTGAGGAGTCCGAGGACGGCTGACTCAGCCCTCCTGAAAGGTGCTTGTGACCTTAACTGCCTGAGGCAGGAAAAACACTCGAACCAGCGGGCCAAAAAAAGACTTATTTCGGAAACGCCCAGATCAGGTGCTCCCCCGCCCACTTGCAACCTCTCTTTGAGTCGCTGAGAATTATTGGAGCTGCACCGTGTCAAAGCAAGCTTAAACCCGCCTGTCGCCTCGACTTACCTTCGAAAGCGAGTTGAGCGCAACCCCCCCTCGCGCCTTCGAATATACGACGCCCGTACCCCCCTCCCTCCGGTCTTACGAGGGATAGGCGTCTTGCCTCTCACCTCGACAGCACGGTAGAGCCGATTTGCCCCTTCCCTCTATGACACCGGCCTCTCCACCCCAACGTCTTTTTTGACCTTTTGATCGATTACCCCGAACGGTTTGACTTATGGCTGTGTGTTGAGAGGAAAGTGTGATAGTCAAGGGTATCTCGATTTTTGGTTGCGATGGACGACAGTCATATCCTTGGCGAGGACCTACCGCTCCCTCCGGCACGGCTTTTCGAAAGATTGGCGCAGTTGCCTGGATACACCTGGGATCAATCAGTGGAGCCTTTTCATTCGACTTATAACCATTGGCATGTTTTCGGCCTCCGCCACTCGACTGAATCCGACGCCAGCACCCCCGCGGCGACCTCATCGGGACCGTCGAGCCTCACGCGCAACTCCCCGCGGACCGAGTCGCGCCCCCAAATTCGGCACCAATGGAGGAGTAGCCTGAGCGAAACGAGTAGCGATATCTCGCTGTCGCGCGCCGACCATGAGCCAATCTGGACACCGGTGATAGCTCGGGTCTCGTCTCACATAGTGAGGCTCGAGCGCGAGTTCCACATGCTGAGGTCTATCGTGCAGACGTCCGACCCGGATTGCAACCACACCATACGCCCGATTGATCTTATACGGATGCCATCCGACCCAGATGACGACGGGACTCTCCTGGTGGCCATCTTCGAAAACCCAGGCCCGAACATGCTGCGGGAGATGGTGGCGTTTGGCCCTGCTTGGTTTGCAGTCGGAGATAGGGGTGATAGCAACGAGCCAACCCCAGGGGAGCAGGTCTCCCTCCCGGTCTTTTTGGATTTTGCAATTGGCGCGTGCGACTGCTTGGAGCTCCTTCACTATGGACTCAAAACCGTCCATGGTGAAATCCGTGGCGATGCATTTCACTTCAACAGAGAAACTGGGTCGGTGAAGCTTACAAATACTGGTAATGGCGCAAAGTCATTCGATAATGTCCTTAGCGAAGGCTGGTTGACGGTCTCGAGGGAGCTCGGCGTCAAGAACAAACTACAATTCATCGGGCCAGAGCAGACGGGAAGAATGCCGACTGAACCGGATAGCCGAACGGACATTTATGCGCTGGGCGTGCTTTTTTGGACAATGCTTACTGGGAAGCCCGCGTTTACTGGAAGCGACCCCGTTGAAGTCGTGCAAAATGTTTTGGGAAAGAAACTCCCTCCCATTTCAGCGAAAAGAATGGATATCCCAGACGCTGTCTCCGCTGTCATCCAAAAAATGACACGGAAGGCAGTCAATGAGCGCTACCACACGATTTCTTCGGTGAAAAGAGATTTGGCTCAGATCGCTCAGCTACTCGGGGATGGCGATAGCGAAGCGCTGAAGGATTTCCAGATCGCACAGCGTGATGTCTCGTCCTTCTTTACTCTCCCGACCCGCATGTTTGGCCGACAAGAAGAATACGGGAAGATACTAAGCGTCGTCGAGAAAGTTGCCAGGCGCCAACAATATGCCCACTCCCGGGTTTCTGCGCAAACCTCTAACGGACTCGGCTCAACTTCTTCTATATCGGACAGCCGTGTTGACAGCTTCGAAATTGCGTCGGGTTCTAGTGAATCTGGATCGTTCCAACTACAGTCTAAATCGACGTCAACCCCCAGCCCCAACAATCTTGGACGCGTGTCGACGCATGAATCTCTCCACAGCACTGAGTCTTCCCTTTCCACCCCTAAAGCTGGGCTTGGTTCAGGCAAAGCAAAGTCTCCAGTGGAGTCGCGTGCCTCCTGGGAGAATGTGGATCGGGAGAGCCATCCGTCTACTGGCACTAATTCCCTGAGCCACCTGGATGCCTTTGGTATCAACCGTCACAGAGCTCCTCCGCACAAGGTTCGCCGCGCCGGGAAATGCGAGGTCGTCACCATTTGTGGCGCTGCTGGGATAGGGAAGACTGATCTCCTCAATCGTGTTCAACCAGCGATACGCAAACTCGGCTACATTGGGATTGCTCGTCTGGATCGGGCGCGAAGAGTGCCCTTTGAGCCCTTTGCGAAGATTCTCGCCAGCCTTCTCCGCCAGATCTTTTCGGAACGGGATGTAACAACCGACTATCATGACAACGTGCGCACTGCTTTGCGACCCATGTGGCCGACTCTCCACCGAGTCCTCGAGCTCCCGGAGCAATTGATGTCTTCAGGACGCAATGAAAAGCAAATTTCGCCTAAGCTTTCTGCCGCGCAGCATATCTTCAAGGACGATTCCACCAAGGGCGAGCCCTCGAAACGTGTGGCTCTGCCCCACCTTGACCACGGTCAGAGCTCTGTGGAGTTCTTCTTGACAAATGCGGCATCGAAGAACATGCGGTTGATGGAGACCTTTTTGGAGATCCTCAAGACGCTTTCAAACTATAAATTAATCTGTGTGGGCGTGGACGATTTGCACTATGCCGATGATGAAACACTCGACCTTATCGTGAATATCATGAAAGCGAAAATCCCTTGCGTGCTCATGCTTACCAGTCGCAAATCCGAGTTGGAGTCGCATATCATCAAAAATCTTTTCGAAGCGGAAGGTCCCAATGTGACGAGGATTGTCCTGAAGCCGCTTGGAGAAGAAGAGGTCATGGGGATTGTGGCCTCTACAATGCATCAAGAGCCGAACCCGACGTTGACTGCTCTCTCGGCGATCATCCAGGAGAAGAGCTTAGGGAATCCATTCTATGTGCGAATGATGCTTGAGACTTGCTACAGCAAAAATTGCATCTGGTACTCATGGAAGGATTCGATATGGGAATTCGATCTCGACCGGATATTCACGGAATTTGTCGCTCCTGAGTATGGCGAAGGCCTTGGGCTCACCTTTCTCGCACGACGCCTCCAAGAAGTTCCTCCCGCTGCTCGATCAATACTCGTTTGGGGGTCCCTGTTGGGGAGCCCTTTCCCTTTTTACCTTGTGCAGAAGCTCCTCACGGGCGAGTTTCTATATTCGAGTGAAGATGACAAGTCCATCGATCTCACATGCCCACAGAATGCTAGTATGGTTAAACAAACAGAGGGGGATATTGTAGTTGGACTGCAGTATCTTGTCCAAGCAAATTTAATCGTTCCAGGGAAGACCGATGATGAATTCAGGTATGGGCCCCTTTGACATTACTGTCCCCTAAGAACTTGGTTGACATGGTCTTGTAGGTTTGCCAATGATAGACTTGCGCAAGCCGCAGCGTCTTTGACAGACGGTCGCAAGATCGAGAAGATGCACTTTATCATTTCTCAAGCTATGATGAAATATTATCATGACCGCCGTAGCCGCTATTCTATGGCTCGCCATGTGGCCTTGGCGTCCAGAATAATACGGTCTCGTGTCGTGCAACGGCTCGACTACCGAAAGATACTATGGGATGCTGCGCAGACTGCTTCTCAATCTGGAGCACGACCAACGGCGCTTTGGTATTTCCGTCATTGCATTGCCTTCCTTCAAGATGAGCCTTGGGATGACAACAACACCGATGTCTACTATGATGAAACATTGCGACTGTATCTCGCGACCGCAGAAATGGCATGGTCTCAGGGGCATAATACTGAATCTCTTGACTTGCTCGACAAGGTGTTTGAACATGGGAAGAGCGCCGTGTGCAAATCACGGGCGTGGATTGTGAAAGCAAAGATCTACGCACAAATGGGTAATCACCTAAGGTCCATGGATTCGCTAGTCACATGCCTCGAGGAACTCGGTGTTCATCTCCGAGAGTTCACCACATATGATGAATGTGACGTCGCATACAAGAACTTGAAGTCTTACCTTGACAAGGCTGACCTCGGGGCCATCATACGCAAGCCTGTCAGCAAGGACATCAACATGATAACCATCGGCTCGGTTATGGCCGAGGCAATGGCTGTCACGTATTGGGACGACCCGTTGACATTCTACCGGATGGCGATCGAGATGATGAACCTTCACTTGTTCAAAGGCGGATTCATCCAAATCTCGATAGGTTGTTCTCACCTTGCTATGGTCTCCTTTAGCCGTTTCCGGGACCTGGAGTTGGCCGTGAAGCTCTCCGATTATGCACTTGTTCTCCTCGAGCGCTGCCCCGAACCATGGACCCAAAGCCGAGGCTCAATTGTTCACAATCTTTACGTGAGTCATCTGCGCGTGCCGCTATCATCGACCCTTCCGGCGCTTGAGGACTCTGTAGAGACCTCCCTATCCATGGGCGATCCGTACATCACGTTGATCAGCCTCTCGTCAATGGCGATGACGAGGCTGTTCCTAGGACATGATATGACTCAGCTGGAGAGCTTTTGCAATGATAGCCCCGAAGATCTTCCAGACTGGACGAATGATACCCGTGGAGGTGCGAGCCTTCTTGCTGTCCGACAAGTCGCGCGTGCCCTGCAAGGCAAAACGTTCCATCACGACCCCAATACGATTATGAGCGACGAGCAGCACTGCTCCCACGAGTACATCGCTTTCTTAGAAAACAATGCCAGCAATGCTGATCGACCTCGCGACATTTACTGGGGACTGGCCATGATACCTTTGTTTGTGTACGGACACCACGCCAAAACGATCGAGCTGGGCATCCAGATGATGGAAACGATGCCCAGGCTCTGGTCTGCTCGAGTTTCTTACGTTGTCTACTTTTACCTCACGCTTGCTCTTCTCACCCTTCACCACGAGTTCCCCGCTGGTGGGTATCTAGATGGCAGTCTCAAGACGGTTCTGAAGTATAAAGCGGAGGTCGATTTCGCTCGCAGTGCTTGTGATGCGAACTATGGGATGTGGTCATTGATTTTAGAAGCGTTGATTTCTGAACTCCGGAATGACCATACTTCGGCTATTCAAGCTTTCGAGGTTAGTTGGGTCTTGGAATAATTCAGGGATGAGTGTGCTGACGATGTGACAGGCGGCGATCGATCATTGCCAGATCCACGGCTGGCCTATGGAAGAGGCTCTCGCGCTTGAATTGCACGGTACGTTCCCCGCCTTTCTCGCTGCCATTTAGCAGTTAAGACTGAACAGCGCGCTAATTACGGGAGCAGGGGAATTCTTAATTCGCCGCGGTGCCAAACGAGCAGCGCGTTCGGTGATGCAGGATGCCATTGGTGCATGGGCTGCAATAAGTGCCGCAGGCAAGGCGGCTCAGCTCACCGAAAAACACGAATGGCTCTTAAAAACAGCGACGTCATCTAGAAACGCTGACGCAGCTTGTCAAACCGTCGACTCGCTCCTTGCAATCGATCACAGCACAGCTCCGGAACACATGGGTGTAGGCCAGAATATGGACGAGGATGACCGGAAACATCGCTGGATAGAGCAAAATGGGGTCACTACCGGCGAAAGATCCCTTGATATTTCCGGCGTTGGACTCGATATTATCGACTTGTCAAGCATCCTTGAGTCCAGCCAAGTGATGTCTTCTGAACTCCAGATCGAAAAGCTTCTGGCTAAGATGGTCGAAATCGTGTTGGAATCGTGCAACGGGTCTGATTTTGCGGTGATCGCAACGAATTTCGACGGCAACTTTACCGTTGCCGCAGCGGGCGACCTTGAAAAGGGCCAGAGGTCTTTTGTTGATGGCCTTCCCTTCTCAGAGGTCGAAGACAAAATGGCCCAGCAGATCTCTCACTACGTCATGCGCACCCGGGAAGAGGTCCTCGTTCATAACGTTCTCGAAGACGAGCGTTTCTCCAACGTGACTGAGGCCTACCAGAGTCGGTACCCGCTCGGCCGGTCCGTGATCGCGTTGCCCATAATGCAGGCGGAGAATCTTCTTGGGGTGATCCATATCGAAGGGAAACCCAATTCCTTTACACAGCGGAATCTCGTCGTTCTCCACTTGCTGTGCAACCAGATTGGGATTTCCTTGTCTAATGCGTTGCTTTTCCGGGAGATTCGCAAGGTTGGCGCTACCAACGCATCGATGGTCGAATCTCAGAAGCGCGCTTTGGCACAAGCTCGCGAGGCGGAGCAAAAGGCGAAGGTGGCGGAAGCAGAAGCCAAGCACAACGTGAAGCTGAAAGAAGATGCCGCAAAGGCAAAGTCTATATTCCTGGCCAACATCTCACACGACCTGCGCACGCCAATGAACGGTGTGATCGGGTTGTCCGAGTTACTCAAGGGAACCCGGTTAGACAAGGAGCAAGATGAATATGTCGAGTCGATCCGCGTCTGTGCTGATACGCTGCTTACGCTTATCAACGATATATTGGACTTCTCGAAGTTGGAGGCTGGCAAAATGAAGATCTCCACGGTGCCTCTTAATATTAAGGAGACGATCGCCGAGGTTGTACGTGCTCTGCGCTATACGCACCGAGACCGAGGGCTAGAGACTATAGAGGATTTGGACAAGGTACCGCCAGATCTTGTCGTCCTTGGCGATCCTGTGCGCTTGCACCAGATCTTCATGAATCTTCTCAGCAACAGCTACAAGTTCACGCCGAAGGGGTCTGTCACTGTGAAGGCTAAGATTTCCCGAGAAGGCAAAGGCCGCGTCCGATTGGAGTGCTCGGTGTCTGATACGGGCATCGGTATTCCCGAGGAGCAGAAGGCTCGACTTTTCCGGCCGTTCTCCCAGGCGGATAGTTCAACTGCTCGGTCCTATGGCGGCAGCGGTCTTGGTCTCAGTATCTGCAAGGCAATCATTGAGGATGTTCTGGGTGGCGCAATCTGGCTCGATTCCACCCTCGGCAATGGCACTACCGTGACCTTCCATCTATCTTTCAACAAGGCCAAGGATCCCGCAAAGTCCCTATGGTCTAAGCACTTGAAACAGGTTGAAGCGAAGGCCTCACCCACACCCACCGCCCGCGATCTCACCCAGGTTCCCCGTGATCAAATCCGGATATGCATCGCCGAAGACAACCCCATCAACCAGAAGATCGCCGTCAAGTTCGTCAACGGGCTGAATCTACAGTGCGAAGCCGTCAGCGACGGTCGCCAAGCAGTCGAAGCACTGCGAGCACGCTCGCGCGAAGGACGCCCATTCCACGTGGTCCTCATGGACGTCCAAATGCCAACGCTCGACGGCTACAACGCGACGCGTGAAATCCGCAGAGACCCCGACCCCAACGTCAACGAGGTGCTCGTCATCGCCATGACAGCAAGCGCGATCGAAGGCGACCGCGAAAAGTGTCTCGACGCAGGAATGAACAACTATCTTCCCAAACCTGTCCGATCAACGGTGCTCTGCGAGATGCTCGACCAGTACCTTGCGCCGGTCCCGACGTATACGCGAACGCGGCTGTCGATCCGCGCGAGAGAAAGTATTAGCCATGAGGCGGGCACGCCGAATAGTGTTTCGTCGTCAGGTTCTGATGCACAGGTTCTTGGGCTGACGCCGGAAGAAGAGAAGCCGCCGCCGTCGCCTCCGAAGCAAGCAGAGACTAGTTGACTTAAAGGCCTTTTTTTCTCAATTTTCTAGCCAGGAGATTGAAAAAGGAGAAATAGTTGATTCTCTCGCACAATGCACTAATCCTGCGTGCGGACCCCAATCCCCGCCAGCCAAGTAGGCCGAGGAGTGCTTCGCCCTTCTCCTCTGCCTTCTCCTCTGCCTTCTCCTCTGCCTTCCCCTTCTTTGTCCTTAATATAATCCCCATCCCACACCAATTGGCGTCTATAGGTTCAACGGCGTAAGGTCCGGATTTCCCATGTTTAAACCTATTTTTGTTTACACTTGACGATGATGAAGGATATGATTGACGAGTGATAGCGATCATGTCTAAACTTACAACAAGACGCCGATCGAAGAAGAAGATTTCCTTTCCTGTTTTCCCCGTTCTTATCTTTTTTATCGGGTTTTCCAAATACCTTTCCTGATTAAGATGTTCTATTACTTCTTGTTCAGACGTTAGGCTCTCTTACAAACAGCGATTAATTTATCTCAAAGATTTTGCCTTTGCTGCAAATGCCCGTCTACTTTCTTATCTGGTACTTCTACTTGGTTCTTTTTTTGTTACTTCTGTCTTTGTGTTTGGTCTACGGTGCTTTTCTTGCATTCGGGGTTACTATGTTCTGATTGGAAACAGCTATCTTCTGTTCTGTAAATAGTATATAATTGGCTACGACTGGGCGTTATGTATGAATCAAGCTTCACTGAAATAGGAGATATCATATCAGTCATCTGGTTTCCTCCCTCCCTTCCCTATTGTATCTTGTATCATAGTAGATGTCACCAACCAACCAACAGGGCAAAAAGAAAAGCAACCCAACAGTCCTTCCTTCCCTCCGAGCCTCTCTCTCCCCCTAACCTGCCAAGCAATAACCTTGTACAATAATCCCAGCACAATGACATGACGTGCACCTTGTGTCTTACTTCTTCCCCCCCGCTCCCACGATACAGTCCAGTCTAATCCCCAGGGGTTAAATGTATACATACATGCATATGTATACAACGTACACGGTACTTACTACCTGACTGTCGGAGTAATAAGCAGCATACCCAAGCACAAGAAAGGGGTCACGTCACGACCAGATTGAGTTGGTAGCGTGGTGAGAGATCATGGGCTCGTCCGTCCCGACGGTTGTGTAGCGAGTGGGTTTTGTAGGTAAGTAAGTAGTGTACTCCATGGATCATTGAAGGTGAGCGGGATACATAGGACAGGGAGGAACGGCTATGGCTATCGCCGACGACGTAATGTAAGTAGGTTACTTATGTAGTGTGTCGGACAGAAGGTCTATATGTTACACTTTGTGGTTATGCGTGTTGGTTGTTGGGCGGACGGTGACGCTGTTTGTTCGACCTTTGTTTTTCTCTTTCTTTTCTTTGCCTCTTCTGCTGAGTCTAGGGTCCGTGGACATTGGTTGTTGTGGCTGGGGAGTATAGGAGTTTTTTGTTATTTTCTTGCCACTATTAGCATTGTCAGAGGTTGGATAGGGGAGGCTTTGATCGAGGAAACAGTGTGGTCTAACTATTTCGAAAAAGACTTGGATAAAACGTAGAGGAAGACGAACGAGGAAATAAGAGTAAGAAGAAGAGAAAAGAAATCATTATTGAATTCTAAAAATCCCGCGCCAACGATGCAACCACTCCTTCGATGACGCTCCCATGACAAGGCAACAATAGTCATAAGAGTAAAATGAGAGAAGTAAGATAAAACAAAAATGAGAATGTATCAATGAAAAAAGAAAAGAATGAGAAAAAAAAAACTAGGAAAGAAATAAAAAATAGTTCAGAAAGGATAAAAAGAAAAGAGAGGAATAGCTCCAACCCTCCCCTCACCCCGTACTGTTGGTTGCAACCTCCTCCAACGTCTTGTATCGCCACTCGTACTGAGCCAATTGCTTCTTCTCCGCAGGCGATAGGCTCTTGCCCTTGTCCGCCATTTCTTTCTCCACCTGCTTCAGCATCTCCCAGCGTTTGAGGATCTTTAACTGGTGGTCGCAGATGGATTTGAGGTTGGTGTCCTCGAGAGCCAGGCGCTCCTCGATGGTGGAGTGGTAGGAGAGTTTGGCGTGGAAGAGGGCCATGTCGGATTCGTCGTACTTGAGGCCTCGGACTTCGGGCATGGTGGTGGTGGCGGGGTAGGGTCCTCGTTGCGGGGGCATTGATATTGTGGTGTAGTGTTTGAGAAGGTGGGAGGGGATGTAGTAGGTGCGATGCTCTGCTGTGAGCTTGATGGTTGATGTATATGGGGATTGGAAATGAGAGGTGGGCTTTGAAAAGGGAAGCGGGCTGTTTGTTGTCTCGGTGCGTGGTAGTCTCGGACAATCTGAGTAGAAAAAGTGATGGTAGATAGACGATAGATTCCTTGGTGCTTTCTTCAGAGGAAAAAGGGAAAAAAAGCTTTGAATGAAGATCAATTCGAGGGGCTACTGGAGCTATCTTAATATACTTGACATCTCGCAGCATGACAGTCTCTGTTTGACTTGATGGTGCGTCTTGTGATGGTCTCTAGAGGCCAGTCCAATGACGACTCTAGGGAAGTCGTCGATTGCCATATTGAGATAAACTGTGAAACCACAAGGTCCGTCGCAGCGCAGCCGGTGTCTCTGGCAATAGTCAGTGAGCCCTTGAGATTGATGTAAGGCTCCGTTGTCTCCATTGCCGTAGACCAACAAACCTCGGAATGTTTTAATACTCCCGCCTCGGTCACTCGCCCTACCTGCATGCAATGGTGGCAGATTGGTGCAAACATACATAGAGCTGCCATCGTGGACTAAGGGACTGACGGTTAACGGCCACCGAGCGCAAACACGGCGTGGGCCATGCGAATCGTCTGTCCCACGTTTGAACAAAGGAATGTCAACATGTCAGGCTAGACGGAGCTAGGGTAGAGTGCTCCAGATGGCCGAAAGCATGCAAGATGGCCCTTCTGATATAAAGAAGTCTTACATTCAATGGGTTGGGCTTGCTGTTGCCATTTGCATTATTGATTCGTCTCGACTGAATGGCAAGCGTAGGTTCCCTCCTCGCGAGGGGGATCCTATCATATCACGGGATGAAGCATCCCCGCTACTTTTGTTTAGCCTTTTGCTTCTCTAATATTTTATTTCGTTTCTCTCTCTCTTTTCTTTTTTTTTTACCTTTTTGGTTTCCTTTCTTTTCTTGATTCCGTTTTAATTTCCTAATTATGCCTGATTCGTGCATCTTCCCGTATGATCTGTCGCTAGCCGCGGGATGCGTTGTTGTGCAACACTGGGAGGGACCGATTCTGGTCTAAGAAAGGCCCCTTTGAACTTGCTCAGCTAACAAGAAATTGATGATAGGCTGTCTACCAGATATTACCATCTCCGGCCAATCCGGTTTGTCAATTGTGCCGACTGAGCCACACTGTCAATATAGCCTCGACCCGCAGTGTCGAGTCCCTGATATCAAAGAGACGTTGGAAGTCACTTGTCCGTGAGTAGATCAGGGAAAACAATGAAATCGTCTCGTCAAACACAAAAACGGAAAGGGGGGGAAATAAGATGTGAAAGATGGATGAATGTTTGGTTCCGATAACAATCCATGCATGGTTCATGCCTTCATCCGATGCTGGTCATGTGTGCCCGACTGGTCAACGGGCTCCTTGCAGATGCAGTGCAATGTATTTAGGCCATGAAGATCTAGTACTATTCTCAGTAAATTCAAACGGTTATGAGTGTTGGCGATAGTGCCAGCGGCCAAGCCTTAAGGGTATGTACGCATCCGGGGCTGTATAGATCCAATGGCAGCATCTGTGGAAGGTCTGAACACTACACAAGAATGGATAAGATCTGGCTGTTCAACACACCCACAAACTTATTGAAAAAGTCTCAGCACTCCGAATCTTAATCCTAGATGGGCTTCCAAGAAGAAGATCATCTGACTGGCTAGTATGGTGCCACATGAGGCTGGGGACAGGCACCCTAAGGATGAGCCGCGTGATGTTGATTAGGGCTGAAAATAGATATCAACTTAATATTCCCTGCTTCGGCCGAACAGAAGGTGACTTTGGTTCTCCAATGCGGGGTCACAGAATATAGGATCTCTAAGACTGAAATGCACCCCAAGCTCTTTTATGGGGTCGCGTGAGCATGAACCAGATACATTGAAGTATTAGGCGTGTGATGAATGCTCCAATAGACTGTAGATAAGTGACACCCTCACCAATTGCTTCAAGTGTCTCCTTTTGGCTTAAATATCTAATCAGATCTTCACCAGCGCACTCTGGTGTCTCAAGAACTGCCACTAGTATCTTCAAGAGCCAAATTATATGTTTCCAGAATGATGTAGTATAGTGGCACTAGACGAAGGTAGTTGCAGGCAGTGTAAGCTACTCAAATGCCGTGCCAATCTTTTCAATGCTATGGAGATACCATAGTCAGTGCCAGCACCACCTTGGAAGAGGGAGCACAGCAGCACAGAGCGCAGGGAACAAGGTTTGTGACGAGTAGAGACAATGGATAATAACGGCCGGCAAAGCAGTAAAGGTCTAGTAAACGTATACCCAGGGAAGAATCAACACCACAGTCGCATGACTTGCCTATCATGATATTTTTCTATGATTGCATAGCGGTGGCATTTTGAGATTATAATGCCGGCTCATCTCGTGAAACTTAATGGGCGCCGACGAAATCGGTTGGTTATAAGAGCGCCGACATCGGTAAACACAGAGTAGGTTGCTGTGGTACTGAGAGGAATTGCCAGTTGTTACATCGCGCCATCCACGCCAATAAGAATCAGTGCAGGGTCAATCTAGAAGAAGTCAGGCAAAGTCGAGCGCGCTCAATTAACTGCGAAAAAACGAAAAAAAGAAGGAGAAGGAGAAGAAGAAGAACGTTGAATCACAGCAGAAAGTAAAAGCAAAGTCAAGAAAAGCAAGAGAAGAAAAAGCAAGAGGAAGGGGAGGTGAAGCGAAAATTCACATGATGTTATGATACCACCACCATTTCCACTATTGGAGAACAAAATATAGGAAGGAACCATGAACCGAGACGAGTGACCCGGGGAAAGAACACACCACTGAATCCATCTCCATTCCTTCCCAAAAAAAAAACATCAATCTGTGAAACAGTAACTCCGATGATGGCCTCATTAACATCACGGCTGCTCGTGTGGTACTTGACTACCACCCTCCTGGCAGCGTCCCTTTCCCCGCGCATGATGTAGTAACGAGGCGACCCCAGGGTCAGGGGATAGATGGTAACACAAACTATGATAGAAAACAAAGCTTCCAGAATGAGTGGAACCCGACGGGTCCGACTACTGTCCACTTTGGGTAAGCCCGAACGTGGCCACGGTCATACATATGATGCCGGTCATCAAACCATGACAATGCACTGCCACTACCTCACCGACATATTTCAATGTGGACAAGATTGCGGGCCTTAGTTCCGTCGGAAACAGGTCAGTCATAAAATAGATGCACTGGTCGAAGAGTCTGGCAAGATTGCGATCAAAACTACCATGGCATTACCAACGAGATTGGACCCTCGTCTGCCCATAATACCTGGCAGGGGTCAGAACGCCGGCCCACAAACAATACCAATATCCTTAGAGCGGGTTCCAGGGTTCTGAAAGGAAATATTGATGCCATGTCATCATGAACGTTAACGTCGTCCATGAGCAGCCAATCGACAATGTACACAACTTGGCCATTCCCTTGGACGAAGAGGATGGGAAAGTTTGTCCATGAGTG